TTTTTCTATATATATAGTGCAGAGTATGATAATTTTCAATTCCGAGAACAACATCATTGTATCAGATGATGCTTGTGCATTACGAATAAATCGAACAAAGAACTTTACCAAAGAAGTGTTCATTTCAAACAAAATCATTTTTTATGTTTAGAAACTAAATATTATTTGATGTAACAATCTGTCAAAACTATTTACTGTGTCAAATTAAGACGAAGCAGCGCACTCTACCAATCATTTAGGAAAGTTGCTCTGTAAAATATTTTTTACTCACAAAAACAAATGAAATACCTCAAATTGTTAATATAATTATTATTTTCAACCCTTTTCAAATAAACTTAGTTTTTTGCTCATTTTTTTATTTTGAAATACTTATTAAAAATTAACTTACAATTAATATATTAATTATAACTGATATGATAGTATTATTAACATATACTTATTATTGATTACATACTGATAAATATTAAAATATATTTCAACAGACCTTAAAATTAATTAATTGTAAAAACAAAAAAAGCATTTTATATTAATATCATTTGAGCACATGAATACAATGTACATTTTTATACAAATGTTTTGTACTTTATTAAAACACAAGAGTAAAAGATAAAATTTTTATAATAATGTCATGAGTAACAATATCATGGTCGGAATTAGCATATGTCTACTTGGTAATATTTCTGTAATATCGATGCATCTGATATTCATTCATCAATTTAGTTAATTAAATGTAATCAGTAAGTGTATTTAGGAGGTTTCTTTGTTGTCAAAAAAGAAAACAAACAGTAATTGAAAACATATTTTTGATCTGTTCCGATTTTTTCATAAATCTATGCAAAACTAGACATAACCTTGAAAGTATAAAAATAACAAAAGGTAAAGATATTAGAGAAGGAGCTGTTCAGGGATGTAATACTATATATTAAAATAATATTTTATTAGATATGCCGACGTTTCTAATAAAACACTATTTTAATATTGTAATATTTCTTTTTTTTTTAACTAATAACATCGGGCAAGATCACTTTATATTATAGCAATAATTCCAAAAGAAATGTGTGGTTGTTAAGTAATAAACAAAATTATAAGAGTGAGACTATATGTAATAATGGTTCGGAAAAAGAAAGTATCAAGGAAAGAATAGCCAAATTGGAAAAACTAACTTTTGCAACCAGTAACATATATAACAAGAGAAACCTGTCCACGGAAGCATAACTACGACACTACAATACAGTTGTTAAACCTGTGATACTATATGGGACGGAAACCACATGCCTCCCCAGTCTGGAAAAATTGTTGAGAATAGAGCGAAGAATTCTAAGAAGGATTTACGGCCCCAAAAAGACAAAAGAAGGATACAGGCTAAGATCCAATCAGGAAATATTCAAGGACAAAAGAGATCTAGAAATGGAAATAAGGATCAGAAGACTGAAATTCCACGGACATATGGTAAGAATGGCCCCAGAAAGACTTAACAAGGAAATATTCCAAAAAATCCGTAGATACAAAAGCTTGGGAGGATACATCAGGCAGATGAAAGAAGAAACGGAAAGACTTGGAATAACGGACCGGGACTGTCTGGACAGAGAGGGGTATAGTAAGAGACTAAAGGAGATCACGGTTTTGCTAAGAAGAAAAGTTCGAGAAAGGGAGTCGCGTGGACGGAAGAGAGAAAGCGGCAGCACACGGATATAATGAGAGAGAAGTGGAAAGAAAAGAAAAACAAGAAAGAAGCCCAATGTCATGATATTCGCGTGGTCTCTATGGCCATTCCGTGAAAAAAAAAAAAAAAATTATAAGAATATTAATAAAATAATGATGTAGAGATGGTTGACCGTTAATATAATATGAGAAGGAGTTACTCGAGGGTGCGGTCAAATAAATTTAAAAAATTAAAATATATAAATTATTTTAATTTTTGCCATAAAAATACTTAAATTATTAAAATAATTTATATATTTTAATTTTTTTAATTTATTTGACCGCACCCTCGACTAACTCCTTCTCATATTAATAAAATAAACTGAAATTTACAATTTTTCTATCTCAGATGTGGGTAATGACAATCAGATCAAAACACTCAGACAAACTATTCTTATTTATACTAAATTAAACACTGATTTTAAAATAAAGTCAAGTATGGATTGGCAAGCTAACCTTTTTTCTATAGATAATGTTTCTTCCTTTGTTGCACTAATTTCATTTGTCTTCTGACATTTTCTTATGTTCTACCAAACACGTCTTCCAAAATGGTAATACTATCATCTACTCAACTCTAACTCCCCAGGACCTCTCTCTTGTGATTCCAAACAACTAGTTTCTCTGCCAAACAACAACTTCTAAGATGGTAATACTATTACTGGGTTTTACCCACTGGAGCCAGGATTCCTTTTCCCATTCTCCCTTCACCCCAGCCAAACACCAAACTTTAATATATGAATCATGAAAAATTAAGAATTAAAGGGAACGAAAGATAGAACAAATAAAAAATGTTGAAGTTATATAATACAAAATAATATTGAGTAAAACAACTTTCTTTTTTCAATTGTTTTACTTACAAGAAGAAATATCCTTCTATGTATAAACCATTTTACACATAATTTCATTCATTTGTGAAATTCACTGCATCGATTCATTTGTGACACTGTTTTGGGTTTACTTGCCTCTTTATCAGATCTTGTTAATCTCTACACTAAATGTTTTTAAAAATTAGAAAAAAAAATTAACAATATAAACAAAGAATTTAAAATAACAGAACATTATTGTAATATTTTTTGTATATATAATATTATTTTAAAGACTTGATCACCCTTATTTATTTAATTTTTTTTTCATCACTTATTAGTTTAAATTATATTGACATAATAAATCAAACTAATATTTAACAGAGACGAGGGCAGTCCAAAAGAGCAAGAAATAAGGAATTTAATAATACCATTACAATAAATAACAAGAAAGATACAGTCAGCAATACAATAACATCTAAATAGTGAAGAAGCATTAATTCATAAGTGAGATAATAGTTTTGCCTTAATACTTATTTCCCTTCAACATGGCATGTGTTATTTACTATTCTATAAAAATAAAAAAATATATAAATTTATCCATTAAGATATTAGTTTATGTATCTCTCTATCCTTATTCTCTATCTGTACATTATAGTAATATTTTTTGTATTGATATTGTATTTTTAAGCCTTGATCACCCTTATTTGTTTAATTTTTTTCATCATTTATTCGTTTAAAATATATTGACATAATAAATCAAATTAATATTTAACAGACCAAGACATAAGGGATTTAATAATAATACTATTACAATAAATAACAAGAAAGATACAGTCAGCAATACAATAACATCTAAATAGTGAAGAAGCATTAATTCACAAGTGAGGTAATAGTTTTGCCTTAATACTTATTTCCCTTCAAAGTGGCAGATTGGATTACTTACTATTCAATAAAAAAAAAAAAAAAAATAGATACATTTTTCCATAAAGATACTATACTTTATGCCTCTCCCCATTCTTATTCTCTATCTGTACATTATTGTATATTTTTTGTATTGATATTGTATTTTTAAGACTTGATCACCCTTATTTATTCATTTTTTTTTCATCACTTAAATTATTTTGTCATATTAAATCAAATTAATATTTAATAATAAAAGTAAATTAAAATTCAATAGAAACAGTAGTACAAGACATAGGGGATTTAATAATAATACTATTACAATAAATGATAACAAAGATGCAGTTGGCAAAAGATCTAAATCTAAATAGTAAAGAAGCATTAATTCATAAGTGAGGTAATTGTTTTGTTATTTTCACAAAATCTAAAATCTAATAACTTTAACACATTGCCCTTCAAACTGGCAGATTGTATTATTTACTATTGAATAAAACTAAATAAATAAAAAATATATAATGTGTCTATTAAGATATTACTTTATGCCTCTCTCCATATTTATTCTTTATCTGTTTTGGATCCAGGATTTAATTTTGGAGAGGATTCAGCCCAAAAGGTTTTTTTTTTTTTTTTAAATATAACAATCATTACTTGGGAAGAAGATGAAAGGAACTACTTATATAAAATAGTGTTTAGGTGATTAGTGAAATTATTAAATGTAAATAGACAAACAATAATACATTTAGACTTAATTTTTTAATATTTTTTTTCATAAGACATTGTTAAATTATACTATTTTGGAGGAGAGTTTTCAGCCGGAAAGCTTCTCCTCCTTCAGTAACCGTGGAGCGATCCTAGAGACAGAAGACCCTCTTTGGGTTTATCCAGCCTCTATAAATTTGATACCCTTTATTTAATAATTAATTAAGGAGAAAAACCTGGCGGTTGAGCATGATCTCGGTCAAATCATCTCCTTGCACAACCGTCGACCGAGAAACAGTGCTTTCCTTAAATAGTACTGAAACCAAGACCCTTCATGGGATGTAATGGTACAGGCAAAGAATAGAGGATTGATTTCTATTTGTGTGAAAAAAATATGCGATTTGATATTCTCTGGCCCCAGAGTAACTGTATTTTCAGAAAAAATAACAATTGAAATATTATTACAAAGTTTTAATTCTTTCTTTTTCTTATGAGCTGGCATTTATTTTAGTAAATTAATTATGAAAATACACTTTTTATTTATTTAAATTTTATTCCAATGGAAGTAAAATTCTTTTCTTGAATTTGCAAACGTTTCAATACTCCATACAAAAGCAGTGTATTTTTTAATAAATTTACTAAAATAGATGTAAGGTCGCAAGAAAAAGAAAGAATTAAAACTCTGTAATAATTTATCCACAATTTTAATCATATTAATTAAATACTTTTTGTATTATCGTTCTCTCTCCCGATAGACAATAAAATTTACCATGGACATTGCTGTTGTAGCTTTAAAATTTAATATATAAATATGACTTTAGATCGATTATTAGTAACGATACTAATATCGCAAATAAATGTATCGATACCCCAGGATATCATTAGTTGTTATCAGGAGGTTACATCATTGTTATCTTTTGGCGGGATTTTGATTTAAGAAACAAGATGATCCAATAATTTGTTTGCTAATTTTGTTCGTTTTAAGTTTTTTCTATACTAAACATATTCCAGTTAGTCCATTTAAGGAAATTATTCACTTTTACTTGAATCGACGAGAAGAAAGAGAATATCATTCTATTTTCTCTGTTTAAATCTTTCTTATATTCATCTAATTGCTATAAGGAAAACCCAATAAACCCCTGCTTGACAGGTGAGTTCTACTTTAATAAAAAAAATTGTTTGTCTCAATTCTGATTTTTTTATTAATAAATTATTATATTTTTTTCACTGATTCACGTAATGTATCATATATAAGTAAAATATAACAATTAAAACTATTAATTTAATAGAGGTGTAAAAGTACATCCAACACCTTATTAAAAGTTCATTATTCAAAATAAATTAAGTTGTCAACTGTAGTATACTTTCAGAATTCCATCTACAATGTGACATGACACTTGTAAACTAGTTCCTAATTTTAAATTTGAATATATTTCAAATGTTTAACATGACTAAATTTTTTCTTTGATTTGGAAGAATTCTTTAAAGTGAATATTCTATCATGGAGTACGGCTTTATTAAGCTGTTTGAGAGGTGGTTAATTTTAAGTGTAGAGGTAACAATAGACCATTTCTTTGTTCCTTTAGATTACAGATCTTTTACCACCTTAATCAGTCTCTTTTATCTATGGCTATTTCTAGTTATGTCGATCCAGTTCCATTGCATCTTTGTTGATTCTATCTATCCATCTGATTTTTGACCTTCCACATGATATTTTCCTTCTATTGAGGCTTTCATTGTTGTGTAAAAGATTCCAGATGAATTGCCTGGAGCTGCATATTCTGCCCATCTTAACCTCCTTGTCTTCATATCATGTGATATTAATTGACCAGTTTCTGTTAGCAGATCTTCATTGGTCCTTCTCCTTCTTGTGTTAGTACCCAGATATCAAATATTCCAGATCGCTACAGTTATAATGCGAAGGATTTTTTTTTCAATACTTTATTATAGAGTGCCGAGTCTATAAGATGTGCTGAGACGATAAGATGTTCTGCTGAAAATTTATTTATTGAGTTTGTTTATGTTTCGACACATCGGCAAACTCAATAAAGAAATTTTCGATTGCAAATCCTGACTATTTTTCATTCTTATTAAATTATTGAAGGAAGCTAGTCGATTGTTTTAAATATCATGGGTGATAAATATTCAGGACTCAGACATTAAATTTTTTATAAAAATAAAAATTTGTATAATGACTGCTTCCTGAATATTTATCACCCATGATTCTTATTAAAGTTAAACTTTACTTTTATTTTGTTGGTTTATAGCAAAAATTCACTAAGCACATTGTCAATTGCGCTGAACTTTTAAGTACGTTTTTATGAATTTTTTTCTTATTTATTGATACCAAAAGTGCATCAAAATGAAGAAAAAATAATCTTTTCTAAATCAAAAATAGCAGGGCTAGAAACAGAAAAAAAATAAACTTTATTTTTAAAAAGTTTTGGTATCACTGAAATTATTATTAGCGATAGGTTTTAAAGAACTTTTATTTTTAAAAAACATTTATTTAAAGGTTCTGTCAATTTTGCTGAAAAATGATTTTTATTCTTAGCTACTCAAATGACATATTAAAATCGTGTGCAATTCATTGATGACAAATTATAACTCTAATCTAATTCCAATTACTGTTTATTTTTCATTTAATGGAACTTATTTTTTTTTTACTTGAAAAATAGTTAAACTAACATACCCAATGTTCAAATTTCACAAAGAGAAAATTCATCAAAGTAATTAATGATTTATGTAAGTTGTGTGTAGTATTTTTTCAATTTATATTGATTCATAATATTATAGTTTATCTAGCATAATGGCAATACCTGTGGAAAATATAAATTTTTCTAAAGAAGAAAATGATGAAAAATGTATTCACAGCCTTCCTTGTAAGATACATTTCAATGGGGAAGCCAATATCAGTGATTTTTTTATACCGGCTTCCGAAAACGAAAATCAAGAAGGTAATCAAATTATGTTTATGATTTTTAGATGATTATAAGAAAGTTGATCGGCTTGTTTGGTATTCTCGTACAATATTAGTCTAAAAAAAAAGAAAAATTATTTATTTACAATGCAGAAAGATTTTGTACATGATCACGGATGCTGATATGTCCTTTGCGATGCGATACCCTTTATTGATATCACTGCTGACAGGAATATCGTATCGCTGAGCCATATTGCTCTCTGTGTGTACGGGTGGGTCTTTATATTCAAACATATTAGATTCACTTAATGAATTTTAAACATAGTAATACATTCTATTATTTATATATATATATATATAACATAATTTTAAGTTGAAGCGGTTATAAATGAATTTTTTTATTTTAATGTGTAAAAATAAACTAAAATAAATTAATTTAAATGTATGTATAAAGGTATTCAAATGCATGATTCATATTATGTACACATATATATTTACATAAATGAAAATAATGTACATGAGAAGGAGTTGGTCATGGGGTGCGGTCATATAAATACTATATTATTTTATAGGAAGGAGATGGTCCGGGGTTGCGGTCATAAATAGGCTAACTAGTGGTAAAACTATTTTATTAGCGACAAACCAGTTTTACCACTAGTTAGCCTATTTATGACCGCAACCCCGGACCATCTCCTTCCTTTATAATGCAACGGTCAACTATTAAATATTCAATTATATTATTTTATTCATTTGTGTAGGTCTCCATCAGGGCGTGGTATCGGGTACTGCAGGAAGCAGTTGGTCATTATTAAGCATTTACTCAGAACAACTCCTTCCTGCAGTGCCTGAAACTGCCATAAATACCATGCCCTGATAGAGACCCACAAAGTGGGCCGAAATGTCGGCGTAACGAATAAAATACTATTCTAATAATGTAGTATTTGTATGACCGCACATCCTCCTCTCCTCCCTCTCCCCTTCCCCCCTATAATAATGATATGATTCAGATTATGGAATGGTCTGGATTAGGGAGAGTCCGCTATATGTATTTTTTATTATAATGTGTATGAAGATTGGTACATTTCGTTATTAGCAGTAGAATAAGTTAAATATTTATAATTGAAGAGAACATGGTTGAAGATAGCAGTCAAAGTAAAAATAAATTATATTTATTTTCAGGAAGGGATGGTCTGGGGTAGCGGTCATAAAAAGACTTAAAATTGTGCACAAACTGTTTTATTTTAAGCCGATGTTTGGACCCAACTATGCAGGTTTTCTGCAGAGCTAGAACAAACAAGATACAAAAGGATATAGAGAATCGTGGGAGTCACATGATATCTAGATAAAAATTATAAACAGTGTAAATAGAAAGTATGTAAAAATATAAAGTTCATTAAAATGAATTTAATAAAAGCGTAAAACTAAGTAAACAGAGAAAATTAAGTATACCTAAGTAAGTAGAGTAAATGAAATATAGTAAACAGAGTAATTGAGTTATAAAATTTTTTTTGATGCAATATGGAGGAAGGATAATATATATAATTGTAAGTTTCATCTGAAAATCTTAATATATTTTAATTTTATATTGTTCGTAATATTTTAATTTACTTTCTATTTAGACTGTTTATAATTTTTATCTAAATTAACCGGCCCACCCACATAGAAATCTAACCCACAACGTTCAGAATCGGGCACTCTGGGACACAAGCACAATGTGCTCGGCCATCCCGTCCTCTTAAACATCATGTAGCTCCCACAATTCTCTATATCTTTTTGTATCTTGTTTTTTCTAGTCCTGTAGAAGACATGTATAGTTGAGTCGAAACGTTGGCTTAAAACAAAATAGTCTTTACACTATTTTAGGTCTTTTTATTACCGGCACTGTAGACCATCTCCTTCCTGAATATTGTACAACACTCAACGATCAAGTATTCTATATTTATTTTCTTTTTTCCGGTGTTACGGTCTAAGTTTCAGGCCTAAGAAAATATAAGATAAAAATTAAATATTATGAAAAAAGTGGACAGTAATAATAATTAATAATATGTAGGTAGTTAAACTTAACATATTAATAAATATGTAGAATGGGAAATATATAATACATAAATTAATTTGGAAGTTATGAAGTAATGGTAACTAAGTTGGGACTTATAAAATAATGGTAACAATGTTAGAAACTTATAAATAATGGAACTAACTTAAGAAGTTAGAAAGTGATGACTCATGAAAATCTCAGCTTTGTTACCGTTACTTTATAACTTCCAAATTAATTTATATATGATATATTTGTCATTCCATATATTTATTAATGTTAAGTTAAACTACCTACATATTATTTTACCTAAATATGATTATTATTATTATTACTGTCCAATATTTCCTCAATATTTATTTGTTATTATGTCTTCGCTTAGCCCTGATGAAGGCCTGAAACTTTGGCAAAAAGAAAATAATTATAATTTATTTTTACTTTGATTACAATCCCCAACCATTTTGTAACCAACAATACCTTGGAACAGTCAACAATTATCTGTCATCTTAAATATTTATAACACTTAAAAGTAGTTTGCGTATTCTATCCCTATAATATAGTTTTCACTTCCACTTATTCTGATAGAGATCGCAAGTTTAATAAATACCATTTTGAATTTTTTTTTTTTTTTTTTACAGAATTGGATGTTTCTTTTCGCGGTTATCCACTCTGTGGTGTGAAAGTAAAAGTTCCTGATGGTTATAATGGTTTTATTTTGCAAGAAAAAAGCGAAAATACGTCAAAGAAACTGTGTTGTGTAAGAACGTTTAAATCCATCACATATTGGAATTGGGATAAAAAACCATCGAAAAATGATCCATTTCTTTCCGCCTTGGATTGGGCTGATTTGTGTCAGGTTGGTTACAATACAACATTACTATATTATTGTTTTTATAATTATATATATTATTTCGTTCTAATAAAAGATTTAGGTACTTATTTAATAGCGGGTAGTGTCCAACTGCTATCTGCCAATGTTTATGACCTTAACACTGATAAGCTCTTCGTATTCATATTTATGTATTATATTCATATTATTATATCTTCGTATTCATATTTATTATATTGTATTGGTATTATTGAAATTTTGAACAAAAACAAAAACAAATGTAATAATAAAAAAATACTTTTATTTTACAACATATATAATTAAAAAACATTACGAAAACATTGCAACATATATATCAAAATAAATTAAATAATAAAAATAGGCAAAAAATAGATGAAATAACATGTCATGGGCGCAAACTTCTCTTAAAAATTTGTTCCATGTTACGATAGTTGCATTGGATAGTTTGAGCTGCTCTTTCCCCTCTGTATTGTCACCCATAAATGAATTTTAAAGCTGTTAAAAAAGAAATCCTCGACCCCTCTAACCACTTTCCTTTCCTTATAGAAACAGTTTTGTTACAACTATGAAAGCATCTCCATTTAATCTTCCCGTCGAACTTCATTTGGTGACCTTCATCACAATATTTGACCTTTGCAAATATCTTGGAGTCTTGAAAATATTTGATAGCCTCTTCTTCTGAAGACGGCAATTCCCACAACGTGACAACATCCATAATTAAATAACATTAACACAGCTACCACAAGAAACAAAAAATAAACAATGGAATAACTTAGTTAGATGAGATAAGGGAGGTTATGTGAAATGAGATTTCTTCTTCAAGATATTTGATAAGAAGAGAAGTTTTGACTCTACCCGCTATTAAATAAGTAGCAAGATTTATTCCAATTACACACTTTTGAATAGAATTATCTACTTTTCCACTAAATGTTTACAATTAGTTCTTGTCCCTAAGCAGTTTTCAAAGAACTGCTCTCTCTGTTCAGGTAATGAAGCTCTCCTTCTACGAACACTAAATATGCACAAAGCAGTCCAAACTTCCTTTATATCTTTTTTTCTCATCTTGTGAGCATTTTTAAAAAGACTAGTGTTCGCCCAGTGGTCAAAATTCTTCTTAATCTTCCTCCGTGTTGCCTTTTAGTGCAGAGAGGCCTCAATCCATTTATGCTAGTCTTTTCTCCTATAACCCAACTGCTCGCCTCTTTTCCGTCCCAGCTTGGTTATTTCATCAATCCAAGTTTCCTGGTGACGTCCTCTTGGCCTCTTCTGAGGGTCTTACCTCAAGAAATTGTCCATGGTTTCCAAAATTTGTGGCACCATAATATCTTCTCTATTCCGTTTGTTTTGGAATCAATCTCTTCTAGTTCGGCGAGCTATATTTCTCAGATATTTCATTTCGGCAGCGGTAAGTCTACTTTTGTTCCTATCTAGTAGGACCCAGCTCTCATTACCGTATGATAAGGTTAGAAGATATAATGTGTTGTATCTATATGGATTTTTAGTCATATTTTCCATCTCTCTTTCCCTATGACTGTGTTGCAAATCTGGTAATTGATGCCATTTGCTTTTGTTGATCCTGTTTGATATCTCTTGGTCTATTTTTCCATTTCTGCGAATAACTGTCCCTAGGTATACATATACCTCTACCAACTCTAGTATCTAACCTCAACATTTATTTGTACATCTTCGATTTCTCGATCTAGCTGCCCATTCCACAATCGGTTGCTGTAATTTTGGCGCTTAGTCTGCTATAAGGACCATAACATCTGCCTATACAAATCTAAATTTGACCATAATTATTATTAGGAAATTTTAGAAAATATTTGCATAATTTATATGCACTGAACTGTGTTGTTCTGCCTATTTATATAATGATTTTCACTTACATTGTTTTCAGTTTAAATATAAGAATATGAAACTTGTATATTTCACTTTATCTATCTTACAAATCATAATTTTTAATTAATATCTCATTAATTCAATTTTTATTATTCAGATATATATATTTAGTTTATTAAATATATAATTTTAATTTTCTGACCGTTTTTATTCTTTTAGCTTATTTATGAAAGCTGGAAGCCTATTACTTAGCCTTTTGTATTTTTAATTTTAATTACGTCCAATTATTATTTATATTTCTTTGTTTCAATTACAGATTCATGATCCCATCGAAGATGAAACTGAAGACTGAAATGAAGTATAATTCATGTATATTAATTTTATTTAATATGTTTCATGCTGTAAATATCAAAAATAAGTTAATTGTCATTTAATTTTTTTTGTTTTTGCTATTAAATTTTTTTCATATTTAAATGCGTTTAGCTTATATTTTGCTTACTATATGTTTGTGAGGATTATGTTGCTAAAGCAATAAAAGGTTATTTAATATTATTTATAATTTGTGTTTTTATCTGAAGTTAATTCTAAACCTTTGATAAGAATCAAAGACTTGTATTTATAAATATAACTAAGGACTGCCACATAATGGAGTGATGCGGCAAGACAGAACAAAGCGTTTGCCACTGCATAGTGGAGCGAAGCTACAACCGCTCATTACATTCCATTTTTCTTCCGTCGTCTCCACTTGTTTTTCCTTCTCCTAATAAATGGAAAATTCTTCATTGAAAACATGGTATACTTTGAGATGAAACAAAAGAAAGAAGACTAATGTTGATACCATCAACTGAAGATGGAATGTTTTGGAAAATTTTCATTCTTATTTTCAAATGGTTATTACTTACTTTTGATTACATTCTAGCTAAAACAAGAAGTGTACTAATTAAAATTTGATCCTATCATTTATTATCCTTACTAGCATCATTGTCACAGACTTTTCATTTTGATTGAGAGGGGCAATGGGTCAAAAAAAAAAAAAAGTGCCAGGAGTTAATATTATGTGTAAAAATTATACTACACCCTCAGTTTAGTTATTTGTTTCAAAGAAGAAACATGACAGTGTCCTATTAAATTCTCATAATTTTAAAGCATTACTGGAAATAAAACTTCACAGCCGCTAAAGCAACTCGTGAAATTATTAAATATGATGGGCAAGGTGTCATTGACGAGCGCACTGCTTGAAAAGGAAGAAGGGCTGTGGACGACTAATGAATATTGATGAGGTTCTGCAAGAAGCTGTTGAGTCTAATCCGTCCGTAATTATTATAAAATTATAACACTTTTGTCACCCCTTTTTGATTATGCCTACTTCATCATTCCACACTATGTAACAGTTTTTATTATTTATCTCCTAGTTCTTAGTCATTATTCTAACAATTTCATTTTACTTTATATCTATCTATTTTATTTTTCTAATAATTTTTTTTTTTTTATTTTCTCATTTTTTATTATCTTTTTTACCATCATTACTTTTGTTTCTCATACCTTGTTATCTGGTTATTTTCTTAGCCCTGATGAAGGCCTGAACTTCAGGTCGAAACGTCGGCATTTGTAAAAAATAAATATTATAATTTATTTTTTGCCTTCCTTTTTGACTGAGCACCCCAACTATTCTTCTCTTCATTATCCACGACAGTCAACCAATTACCAATTATTATAAAATTTGAGTAAGAGATGCGATGCAGTCACGGCAAGAACAGAGTAATGACTGAGGAAGCCAACACCAATGTATGTTTGGCTTAGTGTTGCCAATAATATATATTTTAAGAAATTAAAAAAAAATACGCAGTTTTGCAGTTTTTTTTCATCGGGAAGCATTACACAAAAAATCGAAAATCTTAGAATAGCATATTAGTATTGTGTTCAGTTTTGTACTAAAACAAGGTAGGAAACAATGAATAAAACGAACATTTCTATAACGTGAACCTGCTTAGAACTTTTTAAATTACATTTTCTACAATGCATTATTTTCAGTAATCTATCACAATCAATTAAATCAATATTCAAATTAAATTTCATTGCTGAAGAATTAAAAAAAAAAATATATATATATATACATAATCAATACACCTCTCGACACTAAAAAATCAAAAACTTTATCTTTTTATTTACCCAACTAAAAGTGATAAAATCTTTGTTAAAAAAAAATATTTCAACCTTTGGTTTTATTGAAAAAAAGTGTTTTTGCAAAAAATGTTTTAAGTTGGCCCAAAAAAATTGTTTAATACATGTTCCATTTCTGGAACAATGCATGTAAGAGGTTAAGTACTGCTCTATCCAAACTGATTATTAGCTTATTCCTTTTGTTGCAAGACCCTTCAAAGAACAGTTTGGCATGCCGCTGTCCCTCATCAGAACAATATTGCTTATTCCACAGACAGGTTCTGGAGTTATGGGAAATGTCTCAGAGTAACATGGCTAGTTTATCAGCCTCTTTGTTGCCTGGGATCTCCGAGGGACCAGGCAATCACTCAATGACAACTTTGTTATGCTCGATAAGGTTGTTAAGATTCGAGTTAACAAGAGTTGACTGTATTTCTTTCAATACATGAAAAAGAAATTTCACATACAAGGCATTTGATAATACATAACTTAACCTTCTAAAAGTTTTCATTTAAAATAAATACACTAATAAATCAATAATATATTTTTCAAGGAGATATAATAATACACAGATTTTGGTCTCACACGTTTATATTTAATTTAATAGAACCAATAACTACATGTGGTTGACCGATTATAGACACATGATTAATATATGTACGTAAATTTATTTATTTTTTAATATTTTATAAAAGGGGACTAGAAAAGTTTAATTTCAATATTTCAAATAGGTATTACTTTTAAAATGGCACGTTACAAAATTTTTATAAAAAAATATACTACACTTGTGCAACAGATCCTTCTATAATACATAATACATAATGAGGTTTTACATAATATAAATTGGCAGGTATACAAATTTGATAACACTTTTCAGCTCATATGGTAGAGCTTTGAAGAGATCAAATTATATTTTTTGATGAAACATTAAATTTCTATAAAAACAAAATAAGCCTGAGCTAGTACAGTTTAGTAATTTCTTGCAGAGTAACAATATTTCAAAACATAATACTGTCAGTAAAGTAACATATTATATACTCTGTAGAAGTAAAATGATGGAGTGATATAGTTATAAAAATATCATTAATTTTCAAGAAGTATAAATTACTAATCAATAAGTAATGGTCTTGAAAAAACTTTGTAAAATTAATTTACAGAGCATAATTCTGAACACATTAATATATTAGTTTTAAAATGTCATAAATTAAAACAATATAATCTCTTAATAAATTATAAACAATATTGTTTAAATTTGTCTCACAATGTTCATAACTGAAAGAAAAAAATATAACACTCACAGAGATAAGCTAAAATATACTAGCTCAACTAAACATACACTTTTATTATTTAAATGAAAACTATAAATGTTGTTTATAAACAAATGACTAGACATTGACTTACAACTAACACCTTAATTCACAACCTTTTCATTTCATACATTCATCGCTATCTTTAATAGAATGATAAATTCAAAGAAACAATCGCTCACAATTTATACATGGCACAGTTGTTTTTGTTTTTTTCAACATTTTTATACAATATATATACATATATCTACTATTATGTGTTAGTAATTAATTTAATTAGGATTAGTTATGAAAAACATAAATGAGAAATATATTCTCATTACAAAAACAAAACAATAAATTTTAATACATAAATCTAAACAGAAGAGAAGTGAACAAATTTAACTTATAATTCATTGTTAATAATCAACAGGACATCAATTAGTTAAATTTTTGCTATTTATGTGTATGCGATTCTAAAATTATCAATGAAAAATTATTGGATGACTATTGTATATTTTAGAGGAAGGAGGTGGTCCAGAGTGGAAGTTTATTGGTTCAAAGACTAAAATAGTGGAAAAACTTTTATTTAAAGCCAACGTTTCAACCCGACTTTGTAGGTCTTCTTCAGGGGGATGCGTTCAGCAAGGAGTCAAACTTAAGACTTGTTTCAAATGAAACTCCTTGCAGAACGCACCCCCTTGAAGAAGACCTGCAAAGTCGGGTCGAAACGTTGGCTTCAAATAAAATAAAAGTCTCTTTATGACCGCTAGCCCGGACCATCGACTTCCTCTAAAACTATCAATGAATGAAAAAAATTATAATTTTCATATTTTGAACTGAAACACATTAGATATGTTTGGTGTACTTAATTTAAAAAAAAAAAAAAAAAAAATTATATATAAACTATTATAGAGCACCCAAAAGATGATATACCGAGGATGAATACATAGGAGACTAAAGTTAAATTTTTTTTTTCTTTACTTCCAATTTTATTTTAAAAAAGTTAAAATTTTTTCTCCACCTCTGCCTGTCTTGGGCTATTTCTTCGCAGTTATCTGCACGCAGCTCTATTAAGTCTTAGTTGATTCCATCTATCCACCTGCTTTTTGGCGTTCCATATGGTCTTTTGCTTTCTACTTATGCATCCATTGTTGTGTAGAGGCTTCCAGATGGATTGATCAGTTTCTGTAAGCAGCTCTTTTTTGGTTCTTACCCTCCATGCGTTAGGTATTCTGATCTAGATCGCTCTGGCTATTGTGTATATATTTTAAAATAAAATTGGAGATTAAGAAAAACAAAAGTTAGTTTCAAATTGGTCAGTTTACTTTTGGTCGACCATCTTATTGTGGGGAACCTATAGTTATAAACATTAAAAATTCAAATTTATCAAATATTAAATGAAATTGAAACATCAATAAACTACTACTGATAATTAAAATAGTTAAAACAAACTTTACTTTCATAATTTTTTTCTAATGTGGCTGATTTGTATTTACAAGATCAAAATAAGATTGAAAATTATCTAGCAGTGCTTGTAAATGTATTGAAATATACCTTATTTTAACATTATTTATTTTTGTTTTGTTTTTTAATATAAATACACATTACCATCAGTTAGAGAATCAGATCCTTGGCATTAAATAAAAAACAAGAGAAACTACTAAAGCATCTCTTTATCTAATATAAACAAAAAATTCATTAGGTTAAAGCAGTCTTTGGTCACGATTAATTTTTTGCACCATTCGTTGTCACTGACTCCATATTCCACATCGAACGAAAATATTTTAGAAATTTCGCTTCGAAACAGGTTATAAGTTATAAATATTAAGATTTTGTACACAACACAGATACATTAAGGGGTTTGATTATTCAAAATTACATAATTTTAATTATTCAATTCGTTTTAACCGGTCATTAATAGACAGAAATTTATGCCCAATATGATGATCCGTATGCAAAGATAACAGCCACTGTGCAACATTCACGATTTAGTTTTCTATTTTGACCCACTCAGTAGACATTTACTCTTTGATTTTAATAAGAAATTCATAGAAGATACTATAAACAGTTTATCATACCATAATTTTTAACACACACATATATATATATATATATATATATATATATATGCGTGTGTTTGTGTAATAATATATAACTAAAACTTGAAATCAAGAGTATTGTACTATAGATTAGACAACATTTTCAAAACCATAATGAGAATTATCAAGTAAGAAGATCCAAAATAAAGCTTTTTTTAATGGCAACCATATATTACCTACCAAATCAATAAAATAAAAATAAGGAAGTGATAAATCCATCTTATCATACTCATATTATTAACAATTATAATGAATGATTTGTATGTAATGTTTACATAAATAATTTAATTTTTTTTATTCTCAGAGAAATGCAGACCAATAAATCGTCTTTCCAGGATAGACTTTGGCCTCAAATTTCTTGTTTCCCAAAACTTAAACTGTTCTTCAGTGGTGACATTTGGATGATGTGGAAGTTATCAAAATAGAAATGACGAGACAGCTGAAGAACCTCAAAATAGAGTACTTCAAATGAGTTGTCTAGCAGTGAAAATGAAGATTTTGAAAGGGACAATATTGAATCAACTCTCACCTCGAAATATAATAGTCGAATTCAATCCATGGAGATGTGCAACTTTTGTTAAGTTGCAGGAAAGAAAATGCGACATGATAGAATTCGGAACACCACCATACTGACTGGCCTCAAAGTTAAACCGGCCAAGACCGTCCCAGAGGAGCACAACGTAAGATTATTCGAATGTCTCCTTAGGATGGGATCAAGAAAGAACCATCAAGATGATCTACGAGGCCCATTTGGAGGGAAGGAGACAGTATGCGAGAGGCATTCAGAAGGTAGGATATAGATTGGAACAGAAGAGAGCGAAAAACCTGGTCCTGACTCTACAAACAGCAACCGCACACGACCTAGCGTTACTTGGGGATAAAGATTATGATGATGATATTAAATTAACTAATTATATACATATAATTTTTTTTCATGGTTTAAATTTTAAATGTTTTGGACCTTAAAATCCATCTCCAGGACGATTTTTATTTATAGTTTCGTTTTCTCCATTATTAATTCTTAACATTCCATTCACTCATTAAATAAATTTAATCCTCTCCTCCTGTAAACAATATTTCCTCCTATATTTCCTACATCTACAGTCTCCAACAATTCAAATCTTAATTACAACTTCCCTTCCCACAGAACTAAAACCTTTCAACCCCGCTCCACTGCCTTCTGGAATTTCCTACCGTTTAATATTAGGCATACTTACAGAATGCATCTTTTGTGTACTTGCATTTATAAAATATCATTACGTATAAAGTAAACAATAACTAGCCTTCAGCATCAACAATCACAAACCACTAAGTGGGGAAAAAAAAATTTAACAGAAATTTGAAAATATCAAACTTATTCAAGGAATCAGAGGATGTGATGGCTGAGCACGTAGTAGGTTCGATTCCCACCTGTATCGGTTAATTTTCATTTCTCAGCAGCCCCACTCTTGCAAGTACCTGGCGGAAACCTCAAAGCAGACTTGGGCAGTATTTCAAGTTAAATTTATTTTATTTTAAAATACAAAATAAAATATAATTTTTTGTTTGTTTATATATTTTGTTAAAGTTGTTTACTAAAATCTAACTGTATTTTCTTTTAAAAATACAAATAACGTATTTTATTTTCTATTTTAAAAACACAAAATATATTTTTCCCAGGTCTGCCTCAAAATAACAGTCAGGGGTTGGCAAAAAGGACCCTTAGGCCCAATTGCCGGACTAGTTCCTAAGAACTTAAATCTTAATCACAGACAATGTCTTTGATAAATGTAAAATTTTACTGGACAAAAGTTATTTAGCTTAAACCTATTTAACAAAATATTGATTGTTTCCATTATTGAATCCATTTAATTACTTTAAGTTCGCTAAGAAAAATGAAATCGGCTTGATTTAAAATATCTTTTCTTATTTGACTGTTTACAGCCCTTTGTTAAATAAAGATTGCAAAAATTTCCTTTAAAAGAAAATCATATAAGATAAAATTAACTAAACAACATCGCTCGATCTCCAATGGCTACCAAATTATATTAATTGACTGAGACATTAAAAGGTAGCAGTATTTGCTTTACCTTGTTTTTTTCCCTAGTTTTATGTTTGTTATTTCGTTTTGTGTTTTCACTTTAAATTATTATTAATTAACAGTTCTATAAAGATTCTTCATCAAATTTGAACGATTGTGATTTATAATCCTAGGGTAATTATCAATGAATTCTGTTTTTTTTTTCCGATTTCATTTATGAAATGTCATGGAAATTAACACGAAACTTGAGTGTAGCAATAAGGGGCTGAATTATGAACAATACTGTTCCGTCAGAAAATGCCGATAATAACAGTTATTTTCAATCATCTTTTTCTTTAATTAAGGCTTCTCTAGGCCAGCTTGATTATTGAATATACTCTTTTTTGAAGTAGGTATTAGTAAAAAGAGCTCTATGTAATTTGGAGAGAAGTTGGTTAGGGTCTCCAGTCAATGAAAGAACAAAGTAAAAATAAATAAATTATATTTATTTTTGTATATTGTGCCGATGTTTTAGGCTATTATCAGGGCTAAGCAAAGACAAGCTAACATAAATATTAATAAAAACATAATAATAATAATAAAGTGATAAAGCAACAAATAATGGTAACAACTTAATGAAATTAAACAAAGTGATAAAATAAATAATAATAAAATAGTGGTAACGAATTAATGAAATTAACAAACCAATGAAAACTGAAATAACTAAGAAATTAAAAAAGTAAAATAAATAGGATGACTTAGTTGTTATAAGTTCATGTCTTAAATATGTTCAGAAGAGAGATAAACATAGAATAATAATGATAAAGTGATAAAGCAACAAATAATGGTAACAACTTAATGAAATTAAACAAAGTGATAAAATAAATAATAATAAAATAGTGGTAACGAATTAATGAAATTAACAAACCAATGAAAACTGAAATAACTAAGAAATTAAAAAAGTAAAATAAATAGGATGACTTAGTTGTTATAAGTTCATGTCTTAAATATGTTCAGAAGAGAGATAAACATAGAATAATAATGATAAAAAATAAAATGGAAAATGAAGTAACAAAAAGAAAATAATACAAATAATTTAAGAGGGTTGTTAATGAAGATAATGTCTATGGATATTGGAACTTATTTTACTAGCCAAGTATTACAAGTTTTCTTGTATCTGTAATCAAATCAAGGGTCAAGAGTCGAGAGTCGTTATCAAGAGTCAAAGAGTCGTTATCAAGAGGAATCCTGATCAGGAAGATCCAAGTGTCCCGCATTCGCCAGATCCTCGAAAAAAGTCAGAAATATCAATTCACTACCCACCATCTGTTCTTAGACTTTAAGAGTGCATTCGATAGCATTACAGGAAAAGTTGTACCTGGTGATGGTGGGAACTTATAAGACTGTGCTGGGCAACAATGGATGGTGGGTCGTGAATTGAAAGAATACAAAATGAATATTCTCAAGACTCCATATGAAAGACTGTAGTGCGGTAGAGAGAAGCATTCACATGTCTTTTAGCCCTGGAGCCAGGGCCCAAAAATCGACCTCATCGCAGGCGAAGGTTAAATTGTAAATTACGAAAGTGTATCTTATTCTGAATAAAAAGAACCTTGTCTGCCGTTCCAGAGCCGCTGATTTAAAAAATATTAGGCCAGTAATTTGAGGATCAAAACGGGAAATCCTTTAAGAAAAATGTGAGAAAAGTTTTTATGTTTTTAACTTGTATATATGGGTTTAGATATGTAAAAACCAAAATAATATTAAAATAGACTCTAGGATAATTTGGCTATCTTCTACTTAAAACTCACCAATCGATTTTTTTTTTTAGTTATAGCCCTGGAGCCAGACCTCAAAAATCGAACTCATCGCAGGCAAAGGTTTGGTTGTAAATTATGAAAATGTATGTTATTCTGCGTAAAAAGAACCGCTGTTTGCCATACCTGAGCCACTGCTTTAAAAAATGGAAGCTGTTTTAAAGAATATTAGGCTAGTAATTTCAGGATCGAAAAGTTGAGCGGAAAATGTGAGAAAAGTTTTTAGTTTTTTAAATTGCATATATCGGTTTAGGAATATAAAAAACAAAATGCTAACACAGGCCACCTAGGGAAAACTTTTTACAGCCTAAAAGGTCAGATTTTTTCGACATTTTTTTGTTTTTTCACCTATAACTCCTAAACGATGCATCAAAGCAAAAAATGTACTCTTTATTAAATTAAAGAACGTTAAATTGTGCGTCAAACAAGTACATAAACTTCATAATTTGGTTACGCGTTAAGGTATAAAACCACGGTCAACCTAGAATTACTGGCTTAATATTCTTTAAATCAGTCACCATTTTTGAATACAGCGGCACGTCAGACGAAGTTCTTTTTGCTCATAATAAGATACACTTTCGTAATTTACAGTCAAACTTTCGCCTGCGATGAGGTCGATTTTTGGGCTCTGGCTCCAGGGCTAAAAGACAAGGTAAATGCTTCCCCCTGCTGCACTACAGTCTTTCGTATCAATTCTTGAGAATATTCATTTTGTAGAGAATGTTCTAAAATTTATTTTTGAAAATCATAGGACTTTACTGAGTAATTTAAACCATCAAACTTAAAAATTGGTCAAGCTGTTCAGTCAAAACATCATCATTAGATACCTAGAAAAATAGATTAATTTATTGGTATTTCTAGCTCAAATTGTTTTTAAAAATCCAATGGATCTGACAGAAAATTTGAGCCATCGAACTTGAATATTGAACTGTCCAAGCAAGAACTAGCATGTCAATAAGATCACATCGAACCTTCTCCCTCTCGAAACGATAACAATATCTTTCTCTCCTCCCTTCCTTATTTTATGCAGTTTTAACTTTACAGCCATTCCCAAAGATATGTTATGATGAACCTTTTAAAGTCATATCTTGTTCTTTAAGGTTTTCAGTAGAAAAGAATTATCGGCTCTCTTTTATTTTGAACACACCAATGAATTTTTATTTCACCTTACCAATTTCACAGTAATGAATAGTTCCTCAAACATGTTACAACATTCATAATTGATACTAAAAAAATCTTTTATATTAAACTTATGAAACGAGTAGTTCATGTAATGATTATTTCAAGTGCAGAAATGAATTTATTCGAACTAAATGCCGCTTTAAGAAGCGGCAAGAAGGTAATAATGACTACAGAGTTATGGATTCTTACACAAAATAAGGATGTGTTCAAGATTACACAAAATGTCATTATGTTTTATGAAAACGAGAAGAAATTGTTATTCCTTTCATATTCTGTTTTATTAATTAAGCATTTTGAAAGTTCTCAACTTTCTACGTTGAACACACCAATGCATTTTTTTTTCACTCTAGTGATTTCACAGTTATGAATAGTTCCTTAAATGTGTACATGATACCTGATTGATACTATAAAAACTGTAATAGCCCTGTCTTCATCGCAGGCGAAGATTTGATTGTAAATTACGAAAATGGTGGCTGGTTTAAAGAATATTAGGCCAGTAATTTGAGGATCAAAACTTTAATAAATTAAAGAACGTTAAATTATGCGTGAAACGAGTACATAAACTTTATGATTTGGTTACAGGGCAAGGTATAGAACCACGGTTAACCAATGCTGATCTTATCCAAATTTGTCAAAAACTGAGACAAATTATTATAAATGGCCCTATAACTTGAAAAGCATCAAATTTTGCGTTCACTGAGTGCTGACATTTTTGTTGCAGGTCAATACTATATATCGAATCGGAATTGATTATTCCTTTATGAAATTCGGTATCTTTCAGCAAATCTTTTATCAAAATCCTTTGCAGCTAAGAGGTGGAAAAGAGGCTTACACTGGAAGTAACAGACTCTAAACAAAAATAACTCAGTAGAATAGATGCCTATACTGTTGAAATATTGAAAATCACGTTTATCTTCAATACCAATTTCTAATCATTGGGAGATTACAGATTTTTTTCCCAGTAAGTGACCTACATTAAATTAGTTGGTACTCAGTTCTCGCGAAATTTGATGCTCTACAACTCTGATTCAATGGGTTTTTCCTCTAAGGGAATTCATTTCCAAGTTACAGAGCCATTCATAGTAATACGTCTCAGTTTTTCACAAATTTGGTAAAAATCAGCATTGGTTGACCGTGGTTTTATACCTTACCGTGTAACCAAATAATAAAGTTCACGTACTTGTTTGACGCAAAATTTAACGTTCTCTAATTTATTAAAGAATGTATTTTTTGCTTTGATGCATCGTTTAGAAGTTATAGAAGAAGAAACAAAAAAATGTCGAAAAAATCTGACCTTTTGGGCTGTAAAAAGTTTCTCCTAGATGGACTGCGCTAGCAGTTTTGTTTTTTATATGCCTAAACCCATATATACAAGTTAAAAAACTAAAAACTTTTCTCACATTTTTCGCTCAACTTTCCGATGCTCAAATTACTGGCCTAATATTCTTTAAAACAGCTTCCATTTTTTAAAGCAGTGGCTCCGGTATGGCAAACAACGGTTCTTTTTACGCAGAATAACATACATTTTCATAATTTACAACCAAACCTTTGCCTGCGATGAGTTCGATTTTTGAGGCCTGGCTCCAGGGCTATAACTAAAAAAAAAATCGATTGGTGAGTTTTAAGTAGAAGATAGCCAAATTATCCTAGAGTCTATTTTAATATTGCTGTCATTACAATCACACTTTTCTTTTCTTAAAGCAAAATTTTGAATGGTAAAGACAACAGAAATTTAATTGTTTATTAAATGGGTATAGATAATCATTTTTCATCTGATCTTTTCTTAGAACTTTAATATTTATTTCCCCTCTTTCAAAATTATTAATTAGTAAAAATGATAATAAATATAACAAATACCCAAGACATGTTTTTTTTTTGTTTTTTCCTACCTCGCCTTTTAGGCTATAAGGGATTTTCCCAGACCGGGGGGTGAGGGCGGGAATTTAAAATCCCCTCCGACATTGGGACGCGAACTTGTACTTTTTAATTTTCTCAAATATGTTATCCAGTTGCCAGGCAGCTAACTCGTGGTGGTTACATTCTTTAGCACATGCTTTAGCCCAGTTGGCCACCCTGCCCCACCAAATATCCAGGACTAATCATTAGGTTTAACTTAAATAACTTTCGATAAGAAATCATATTTAAACTACAAGATACTTTATATAGCAACCCACAGGCTTATCAAAAATTGTACAGGTAAGCATATATTAATTGTTTTTTATAATAAACTTAATTAACTTATAGATGCTAATTGCTACCCCTCCTTCTTCTAATGATATATCAGATTTATTAGGACGATTTTTTCTAGAAAAAAATATATCTAGAGTTAGACAAACTCATTAATCATAAGAACTATAACTAGAGTTGACACAGACAATTTGGTAGAATAAAATTGTATTTGAAAAAAGTTTACTTAAATTTTATTATTGAGAAATGTTCTTTAATGAGTCAAGTTCACAAAAAGTTCAAAACCAGTTTTTCTTCACATACTGCAATAAACATTGCATTCATACATCTATTACCAAAAAAAAAAAAACTATAAAGGAGTAGATCGAGGGGTGCGGTCGAATAAATAATTTGACCCCCTCCTCTCCCGACCAACTCCTTATATTATAATCACGGTCAACCATCTCTACATCATAAAAAAAAAAACTATAGTTACTCACCAAAAATCTAAACTATGATTAAATTTTATAAAGAAGAAAAATGTAACTTCTAATGCCTAGAGTTTATAATGGGTCTGTTTCAACAAGCAGTTCAGGATTATAACTTCCTATAAACTTTGAAAAAAAAAAACAGCTGTTTTCAAAATCATAACTTTGAAAAAAAAACAGCTGTTTTCAAAATAAATTCTTAAATATATTTTGTTAAAAATATAGTAAAAGACATATTAACCTAATTAAGCATTCATTACATCAGATCAAACTAAAAGGAGAAATAGAATAAAATCATTCGACTGAACTTGAATCATTAGAAAACATTCTTAGTAAAATATTGATTGCTTTTATTATAGAATTTATTACAATAAATTCATTAATTACTCTTCTTTGCCATGTTAAATTGAGTCTTAAATTTCTGGCATTTTACATTGCCATATTTAAGATTCGGGAGAATAATCAGTAATGACTGATCCATAATACCCTGATGTAATTTTTGGAATCAATGCGAATAATCGCAAAATTTAGTACACGACAGATCTAAAGTTTTGAAAGCAACAACATTGAGATGCAGATTGAAACAATCTTTCAAAATTAAATCAGAAATCCCAGACACTTTTTCACTATTAGAGACTCCAAGATAGATATTTTCAATAAGCAAACTCCCCTAAAGGAGCCGTAATTAAAGAAAAAGGAAAATGGTTGTTATTATTGTGGTATGCTCTAACAGAACAGAATTGCGTAATAAATCACTGTTGACACGATACAGTCACCTATTGCTATAATAAAGTTTCATATAAAATTCAATGGCATTTCATAAATGAAATGGGGAAAAAACCAGAGTTCGTAGACAATTACCCTAAGATGGTAAATCACAATCGTTCAAATTTAAAGAAGAATGTTTACAGAACTATTAGTTAATAGTAATCCTAAAGCGAAAACGTAGAAGGAAATAACAACCATGAAACTTGGAAGAAAAATAAGGAAATGTAAAGCAATTACTGTTATCTTCAAATGTCTCATTCAATCAATATAATTTTGTAGCCATTGGAGACCGGGCGATGTTGTTTGGTTAATTTTATCTTATATGATTTCGATTTGAGGGAAATTTTCACAATATATATTTAACAATTGACTGAAGACAGACAAATAAGAAAAGATATTATTAATCAAGACAATTTCATTTTTTTTAGCGAACCTAAAATATTCAATAGATCCAATATTGGAAACAATCAATATTTTGTTGAATAAATTTAAGCCAAATAACTTTTGTCCAGTAAAATTTTACATTTGTCAAAGAAATTGTCTGTGATTAAGATTTAAGTTCTTATGATTAATGAGTAAAGTTATCATGATTTTTTAATTTATCTAACTCTAATTTGGATTACTTGAAACTTATCGGTTTCACCCTTGTAGAACATTATCAATCTTCCTGCCGAAAACTTTCTGCAAGTATAATGGTAATAACTTAACATTGTTATTTTATTTTTTTCTTTCTTTGATTTATGGATGTTTTTGGATCAAATGAATCAGTAAATACAGGTGCTACAGACAATCAGAGCAATTGCAATTGCGGGCCACATTTTTGTTTGTAATATTGTAATCGTTGCTATTTATTTGACTTCTTAGGTCGACCTATTGGACTATCCGTCCTTCATGACATTTTTTAATTTTCAAAATGGTTTATATCAATTATTGGTTCATTAATACTATAATGTATAAGGAATTAATAAATGCTGTAAAATTGTTTTTAGGTTAATAACAAAAAAAAAAATTCATGATGCTAAAATGTATGAAAGATTGATCGATGATGTAAAATTGTTTTTAGATTAATAATGAAAAAAAAAGTCATGAAGCTGAACAGATAGCCTGAAACGCCAACCTCAGACATGGTGCAAAATATATAAACAAGGATTAAAATATATCTTAAAAATAAAATAATATTATAATAAATTGAATATACTTAGAAAAATAAATTTGATTTGTAAAATATATTCAATATATCAGTCAGTTTATTATTTTATTTATTTATAAAAATTCAAAGCCATTTTATATACCCACTTGTCCATTTCTGATTGTTGATGCAATAAAGTTGTTTTGTTTTTTTATACAATAATCAAACATAAAACTATTCGTCTTCATTATTAGTTCATCCTTAAATTTCTATAATTCAATAAACATGTTTTTCAAGAAATAGTTCAGGTTAGAAGAAAAAAAAAAGATAAATTACATACTAAATGAATTTTAAAACACAACTTCATTTCATAAAGAAAGATACTTGTAGTGATAAAATTTGTTTTTAGAAAATTAAATTGTTAGAAAAAAAATCTTTTAATTACTATTATTTGGAGGATCTACTGATCTGATAGCTTTGTGCCTTTCTTGGTGCTGTTTTATAAAAGCACTCAATCTGTTCAGAAGAAATTGCTTATCGTGACCTTCAAGAATAAGTTGCTTTTTAAGAACATTAACCATCTGTTTATTGGCCTTTGATACAATATAATAATAATACAAAGATAAAATGAGAATAAAGAACGTCGGAACGGCAAACGTAGATGAAACAATCCCTTCGAAACAGAAAATAACCCAAGAGGGAAAACTATTATAAAATTCTCGTATCAGAGACCAAACTGAAAGTCGACCCATGTAAGGTCCGCAAGACTTGGAAGGTTCCAACTCTGTCATAGTATAAGCCCATGGTATAACGGCTACGGTAAACGATACCAAAAGAACAGACATAAACATCGAATCACTTCTTGAAGCTCGATATATGGTAGTCGAAGGAGAAGAGTTTACTAAGCAAGCAAATTTCTTTATATAGAAAACCAAGAAGAACAAAACCGTGGCTAACGCTGGAAGAAGTGGAGCATAGAAGCTACCAAACCAGACCAACGTTTGACTGTAAACAACATCCAATACATGTTTCGGTAATTCGAATTCCTGCGCTCCAAGAATTTGAGTAAACTTGCATTTTAAATGTTTGGCCAGCAACATTCTCGGAAAATTCACAAGAAATGTAATGGCTGCATTAGATAAAATATCCAATATCAGAAGTTTGTATATTTGCTGCCCGATGTACGTTTCCCAACACAGCGGCTTTTGACAGATAGGACTACTACATGTCGCTGGGTCAGATGTGCAACGGACCAAAGAAAAAAATGACGCCAATAGAACACCAAGTGACGATAAACGCAAGATAACAGTCCTAAAAAATGCTACTCTCAAAGCAGATATGGGACTATAATTTTCTAAAATGACGAAATAATTCAATATATTAGGAATAACTAGATTCAATCCTACTATACAAAGATATGGGGCGAATTCTAATAACAATCTGTGTAAGTCATCATGAACGTCTTTCTGAAGTTCGCCAACGGAATATTGAAAGGTATAAAATATAAGTAGTCCAGCAAAAACACAGATCAGGATACTGATACCGTTTAAAAAAACACGAATAAAGAAAAACCTCAACTCCTCTTCCTCATTTCTGTTTTTCTTTTCTTCTTCTCTCCGTTCTGTCTCTAAATTTTCTTTAATTTCCTTATAAATGGCTTTGTGTTTTATTTTGGCGGATGATTCATTCGAAATACAAAAATCCCAGCCTCCGAAAACCATACTACAGTATTTGTAATATTGTCCCTCAGATTCCATTAATCTGTCTTTGAAACCGCTCGCTGCTTTTTTTATCATCGCACACAAGCTTAACAATAAATATACGGCCGCTGTTGCAATGTAAGCAAGGGGAAGGTTATAGTTCAGAATAACATTTTCAAGGATAGAGTTAGGATAATAACCGTAGAACATAATGGTTGATTCGAGCCAACCATTCCCCTGCAAAATATTGTACGGAGTAATCGTCAGATTCGTCCAACTATTAAAATATATTTTAGGACAACATTCGTAAGAAGTGTCGTTGATTTGAGCACAAGGATCTGATTCTTTTTCCTGCATTAACAACGTTGGTACAACAACAAAGCAAACTATAATAACTGTAATTGTCAAATTAAGAAACATTAGCCATTTTATAAAGAAGAAGAAGGCGACGACTCCCGTGCCAAAGTTCCCTTCGATAGTTATAAAACACTGCCTCCAGAGTTCGATCATCTTATATAACTCTTTCCTTCTCACTTTCAAATACTCCCATAGTTTACGTTTCTTCAATTTAAATTGTTTTAAGCCTTGCAAACGGAAGGTATCTGCGCTCTAGAAAAGTAATATAAAATAGTAAAAATTAATTTAATATCTTACAGTAAAACCACAGCAGAGAAGGGATAAATTATTTTTGGCAGCTTGAAAATATGATCTTTTAAGAAAATTTTAAATCATTAGAAACAAATCACAGATTAATTTTTTTTCTCCAATCTATCATATAATAATATCTAAAAATAATTTATTTTATTAAGGTTAGTAAATTACCAGGAGTTTGGCTTTGATTTCTCTCTTCTGAGACATGTTTATAGGCATCGTTTTTATCAGCATCATTTCTTCCCATGTCGTCTCTTCATTAGCCAGATTTTCTAAAAAATGAAAAAAAAAAAAATTATTAAAATAATATGTAACAATTAACATTAAATTTTATAATTATTAAATGATGGTGCAATTACCAGACAAATCAGGCATCATAGCAACGTGGACATCGTTTTGCATTGTATTCTGCTGCATGGTGCTGTAGTTCTGAGATCTATTAGTTGCACACCTCTTATAAGTGGATTTCGTATCGCATCGACTTCTTCTAGTAGTCGCTATCAAAATAATGAATAATAATTTGTCATTAAAAATACTAGCTATAACAGAATCATACATATTATTAAACTAGAAATTAAATAGGGCAAAATTAAACATGAAAAAGACTAATTTAAATTGAATAGCTATTTATTTACATTCCTTTTATATTACAGTAGTCTATCATAATCAAAAAAACTCAACATTAATCATTTGATAATTTGATTTTTAGAGCTTTTCCGCCTGCATTAATGATTCAGAATACTCTTCATGAGACTTCAGAAACGTATGGTTACCTCATAAGTGCAACGTGAGTATAATTGTTCGAAATGGTAGTACGAATGCTAGAAGATTAAGGTATGAGCTCAGTAAATCATTCATATGTTAATCTGTGAAAAACCTGCATTTCTACAAAATTATTTTTTTGCATTGACATTAAAAGTTCTGTGTTTAATCTACTATTCACATAATTCTTTATTTTTTCTTTAAAATGTCACATACCAATTTTTAGTTTACCACAATTTAATTGAGCAGCTAAATAGCAGATAAAAAGTTTTTCACACACTCTTATTAATAACATAAATTTTTTTTTAAAGATAACCAGAAGTTAGTTGACGTTTTGACAACCTGTACCACTAACAACCCATGAAGGGTCTTGGGTTCAGTGCAGTTTAAGGAAGTACTGATATAAGACCAACGGTTATGCAAGGAGACAACGGGTCAATATCACGCTCAACCGCCCAGCCAGATTTTCCTCCTTAATTAATTAAGAGTACCTACTTTATAGAAGCTGGGTTTGCCCTAGTGTTTCACTTACACTGCTGATCACCCTCTTCTTAGCAGAAAAAGGTATTTTCAGACAAAGGGGAAGAGTAAATAAAAATTATAGACGCTATATTTACTTATATTTTATTGTGGGTATTTTTATTTGTATAAGTACCATTATATATAAAAAAATTAATATTTATATCCCTGTAATCTATACACTTGAATATTAAATAATACCAACAATAGGATTTAAGAAAAAAACATATGTATATTCATATAATATTGTCGGAGTCCATATTATATTAAGCTCATGTTACTAATGGAAGCGTGTTCTACTTTCTGGCGATCGCGGGTGCACTCATATTCCTTTGATTCCTCAATTACAACTATTCTCCGTTACGATCTCTTATTTCTCCTTTAGTTAATTATCAAATTCTTTCATATTTTATATTAGAAATTGATGTGAAATGGTCAATTGTTTCAAATAAAAAAAATTAAAGGTACTTTAGGGGAAGCTAATATAGAAAATTAGCCATTTACGCACTGTTAGAGAACATGGACCAGAATAAAACTACATTTTATTTTAAACTGCTTAATTTTACAATAATATCATGAATTTAATCAAAATCATCAGAGCCATTTTTGAGAAAATAATAAAAATGTGTTTAGTCCATTATATAGTACCACTTCCGGTTAGCCGATTTTGAAGAAAAAGTTGCTGTAACATCTCTGGCATATAAAAAACTTAAATATGCAATTTCACTTTCGTTTGACTTTTTGTTTTTGAACTAGACTAATAACATACCCAAACCATTTTACGGGACTTGGTTATCTGGACTCAGGAGACCTCAAAACGTGTATTTCTGTTGAAAACTGAGATTTGAAAATTTTCATGATCGCAATACTCCCCTTTACTATATATTTCATACATAGGTAAGTGAAAGTAAAACATAAAAAACTTGTGAGATTGGGTCTCATAAACTAGATTAGGTTTATACCAAGAGATAATGAACATTTTTTACATTGATTACCACAAAACTGTTAAAAACGATTCACCATGTTAACTTCATAAGCTTCCATCAATGTTCACTCAAGGAAGAATCCAATGAAAACAATGCAATGTTCTAGGAACATACCATTTAAAGTTAAGAGTTCATAACGTATTATTTTATTATGATGCATTTAAATGAGTTTTGAATAGAAGTCACAACTAAAGGTACTATTCTGCCTGTTTAGGTGGGTTAAGGTCTCATAATACATTACAAATGGAATATCGAGAATAAGGGAATGTAGACAAGACCACAAACTCAACTGAGTAATGGTTTACAAGAGTTCCACTCATATTAGGCGTGGTTCACATCTATTTCGGTCATACGTATTATTATTAAATTTATTATATAATAAATTTGTATCTATTATTTATAGCTTTTAACAGATAATTTCGTCGTCATTCATAATTTTAAAAAAATCTGAATCAAATATTATAAGATATTTAAAGTTATCTATCATCTTATTATTCGTTATACGAGTTTTTCAAAAAAGGTTTTTAATAAGAGTTTTACAAATATCTGAAAATTCCATGATACTGAATAATGGAAATCATCAATAAGAAAAACAAATATCATCAAATAGTATTCAGTGATATAATAATTACAGGTTTTTGTCTATTAGTATTTCTATTCCACAGCTGTATAATATATGTATAAGTTCAATTTAAGTTACGTGATATAAACTGAATGTCGAATATAAGTTGACTCATGCTCTGTATAACTCTACTCTAGGATATACAAGTACTTTAATGGCAGGAAAATTATTAACTTATTATTAGAGATCGGCCGCCATCATACTCTTTTGGATAAAACTAAATGTATTCGGCAGACCATGAACAAGTGTGACCGAAGTGATTGTGAACCACGAGTAATCGTACACAACTTTTGTGAACTAGTACCAATTGAAAGGTCACGAAAGTCTTTAATCATGATCTGACTAATGAAATCCTGTGCGATTATGAGCTCTTGTGCCCGGCCATCAAAGTGGTGCAATACCTGTAAAGTTGCACTTAACAAAGCACTTGAGTTATACTTGATCGAAAGTGTACTTAGAAACTTTTGACAATAAATCAAGACAAATAACTGTATGATACAAGGTAAAAATTAAAAGTATACCTGCTCGGTTCTGTTTACTCGGAAGTAAAGTAGCAAAATAGTGAGGGTCTCTCGGGAGGTGTTCAATATCTAATTCAGCACCAGGATAACACTCTTGGTAGAATTCACCCCCAGCCTCCTCCCATCCTGCACCTTTTGATATACGTTTCTTCCTTTCCCCACCGGACATTTCATAAGCATTCTAAATAAGAGAAAAAATTTAACTTTAATAACAACCAATTGTTCAATATTAACAATAAGTAAATATATGAGTTTTAAATAAAACAACTTACGAATAGTTGTAAATCGTTCAAATTACATTTTAGATTTTATGCATATCATAAAACAAAATGTAATATTCTACGAGAACGATTACAATATTCAACAAATGCCAAAAGCAATCAGTGATTACATCTTTGATTACGTGAGTTTTAATCACAACCAACCCCGAACTGAGGGGTGTGCACAAGGGAGGGCGACATTTGACACTAGATGCCTTTTGAATTATCAACCCTTCCATTTAAAATAAATTTTTAGCTTCAAATGTTAATTAATATGTTGAAATAATTCATTCAAAAATTAAATCGGTTAAATATATTTTTTTTCTCTTTGCGGAAATAGTTATAACATTATCGATATACAATAGCAATATTCCCCCCCCCAACAGACCTATTGGCGCCAATTCCAACTTGCTCCCTCCCCCCAAAGTAGAAAATAATTATATTAAAAAAACAGAAAATATAAATTACACATTGTTAAAAGCATTCTTATCAGCAAATGGTTGGTGATTAGTACTTAAAGATTTTTAAAGAAACTAATTAAGATAAAAAAGGACACACAACTGTGTTTAGATGTAAACAAAAGAAATTAAACTTTGAATTGACAACATCCTGGTTCAACTATATAACAAAAAAACTGAAATACAATTGTATTTTTTTTAATCCTCTACACTAGCGGATCCAGGATTTAATTTTGGAGGACTTCAGCCCGAAAGACTTTTTTTTCATATACATATAACGATAATTAATTTGAAAAAAAAATAAAGAAATTAATTACCTATATGAAATAATGTTTAAGTGGTTCTTGAAGTCCTATTAAATATAATTACACGAACGTGAATATTTTAAGAGATAGTTTTTAATATTTTTTTCTGTAAAACATGGTTATATTTTACCATTTTGGGGGGGCTTCAGTCCGAAAGCCCCTCCCAGTAGATCCGCCTGTGATCCTCTACGTATGCATGAATAAAATGTTAGAGAATTACTTAGATTGACTAATCCGTTCGTATATTTTCCGAGAAACTATAAGTGCCAATGAAAGGTTAATTGTCATGCAAATATATTTAATCCTGGGCACAGGCTAATCTACGGGGGGGGGGCTTCCAGGCTGAAATCCCTCCCAAAATGGTAAAATATAACCATGTTTTACAGAAAAAAAGTATTAAAAACTATCTCTTAAAGTATTAACTATCTCATAAAGTATTCCTGTTCGTGTAATCAAATCTAATAGGACTTGAAGAACCACATAAACACCATTTCATACAGGTAGGTCTTTATTTCTTTCTTTTTATTTCAAATTAATTATCGTTATATATCTATCTATCTATCTATCTATCTATCTATCTATCTATCTATCTATCTATCTATCTATCTATATATATATATATATATATATATATATATATATATATATATATATATATATGAAAAAAAATCTTTCGGGCTGAAACCCCTTCCCCCAAAAATTAAATCCTGGATCCGCTAATGATCCTGGCTTCAGAGTTGAAATAAATTTGACTGTAGGACACCAGCATGAAATTCAGTTATCATCCCGGTTATTGCCATTAATCCAGCTTGCGACGCTATTATATTCAAAGAAACCAACTTATAATCAAAACCTATGTCCGATTATACGTTTTCCAGCTTTCTTGTACAAGTAAAACGTAGACGTGACACAATTCGTTATTTTCAATCTAAATTAAGGAAATCTGATCTCATTGAACTTGAAGGTTTGTGGAACCCATTTCGGGCTGAAGCCCCCCCCCTCCCACTAGCGGATCCAGGATTTAATTTTGGGGGGGGCTTCAGCCCGAAACCTTTTTTTTTCATAAAAATAACGATATGAGAAGGAGTTAGTCGAGGGTGCGGTCAAATAAATAAAAAAATTAAAATATACAAATAATTTTAATTTTTGCCGACGTTTCGACCCACTTTGCAGGTCGTCTTCAGGGCTACAAAAGATACAAACATGTTGAAAAAATAAAAATAAATATAAGTATATATAAATTACGAAGAAGTTGTCAGATACAGAAATAAAAGATAAAGAAAATAAATACATGATAAGAAAATATATAAAAGAAAATAAATACATGAATGTTAACGAATAAATGAATGTTAACGAATAAATAGATTGAAAATTGAATAACTATTGTTACAGTATATTTACTGTAACAATGATGAAAATTGAATAACTATTGTTACAGTATATTTACTGTAACAATAGTTATTCAATTTTCAATCTATTTATTCGTTAACATTCATTTATTCGTTAACATTCATGTATTTATTTTCTTTTATCTATTTTCTTATCATGTATTTATTTTCTTTATCTTTTATTTCTGTATCTGACAACTTCTTCGTAATTTATATATACTTATATTTATTTTTTTATTTTTTCAACATGTTTGTATCTTTTGTAGCCCTGAAGACGACCTGCAAAGTGGGTCGAAACGTCGGCAAAAATTAAAATTATTTGTATATTTTAATTTTTTTATTTATTTGACCGCACCCTCGACTAACTCCTTCTCATATCATATCAACGGTCAACCATCTCTACATCAAAAATAACGATAATTACTATGAAAAACAGAAAGAAACTAACTACCTATATGAAATGGTGTTTAAGTTATTCCTAAAGTACTTTTAAATGTAATTACACGAACAATAATACTTTAAGAGATATTTTTAAAAAAAATTTTCCCATAAAACATCGTTATATTTTTCCATTTTGTGGGGGGCTTCAGCCCGAAAGCTCCCCTCCCTCCCCCTGTAGATCCGCCCGTGCCCCCCTCCCATCAAATGTTAAAACATAACCGTGTCTTATGAAATAAATATTAAAAAGCTATCTATAAAAGTATTGTCGTTCCTGTAATTACATTCAATAGAACTTCAAGAATCAATTTAACACTATCTTATATAAGTAATTAGTTAGTTTCTTCCTTTTTCTACCAAAGTATTAATCATTATTTATAAAATAGAACTCTTTCGGGATGAAGCTCCCCCACCAAAAAAAAAATTGAATCCTGGATCCTCTAGTAAACAATGGCAGTTTACTATCAGTTAATGAATTCGCCGGCAAGCAGTTTGTAAACTCGTCGAGTTTAATCGTGTCTTTGACTTGGCATTTATACAATCCCGGATTGAAGTACATAAATATAATAATATACATCTATGGATTAGTAAAAATGCAAAAAGAAAGGCAATTTTTCGTTATCACAACCAAGAGAAATATGATTACACAAAAGTTTTAAAAAATTGGTTTTTGACTTAATCCGGCTTTATTCCAAACTAGTGATATAAATTGTTAAACTTAACTTTATTTTGTATATATTAATATTTAAAAATTCATGGGATATCTTTTACTTTTTGAGTTTCCCGCGTAAATAAACTGCTTATCGGTTTTATGTAATCACACCAGCGCCGAATTCGAAGTCGGCTTACCTTTGCTATTTATAAACCTAGATATCAGTTACACGTGTTCCTGTAGTTTTAGTTCTGTAGATTTTATGATAAGTAGCTTTCGATTTAATTCATAGTTCGATATATTCCTACTTCTTTTAATTCATTTAAGAACTAGTTACTTCTAATTTTAATTTTAAAAATGCCGAGTACTCCCGACTACAAAGTTGGTTAGTATTTCTTTTTAAAAAATTTGTTCCTTCTTAAGTTATTTTAAATTTCGATATGAATAACATTCTTATCAATATGAAAATGAATACTTTGATGAATGAAAAAAGTACTGCATTGAAAAGTATATGCTTGTTTAAACAATCAAGACATATTAGTATTCAGTTTTTCCTAAATTTTAATTTATTTTAGTTAATGCATGTTTTCAATTAAGAGACTTCTGAAACTGTCAATTTCTGTTTTTTTTTGTAATATTAATTTATAAGAAGATAGTGTGGTTCACAGTTAAACATCAAGTCATGCACAATGGTTTATTTGCAGTTCTACATTGAGTAGTAAAACTGGAACAACAAATGAGAGAAAAACATTGAGTTTATTCATCAGCAGTTTTTTTCAAACAAAATATAATGCAACTATTGTGTAGTGTCATTAGTTTATATAATGGACCTTTGTGCACAGTTTGGCTTACGTTCGATATTGTTATAGATTTTAATTTTTGTATATAATAAATAATATTCTATGCAAACAATTACAATATTAATCAGTGCTTGTTCTCAACTTTACTGACACATAGGTTTGCATTAAAACTTAATAATTTGTTTATCACCATAAAGAGTTTATCAATTTTTAATAAAATTCCTTCTAACTTATATTATGGCTTATACAGTTTAGTAAATTTTGAACTGTAATGTGCAATTTTTATATTATTTTTAGCCGACATTAGTCTAGCAGAATTTGGAAGGAAAGAACTTATGCTAGCAGAGCAAGAAATGCCAGGGTTTAATGGCCCTAAGAAAAAAATATGGTCCAACAAAACCTCTTAAAGGAGTTAGATTAGCTGGATGTCTTCACATGACGATCCAAACTGGAGTTTTAATAGAAACACTGATTGAATTAGGTGCTGAGGTATGAATTAAATGAGTTTTAAACTAAATTTAGTATTAAAAGAATAAAATAAAACCTCCTTGACCCAAGTTTTGTCCTAGAAATTTTAGTTTATTACTTAGGATTTTCAACCAGTAAGGGAGATCACAGAGTTTACAGACCCTTTTCAAAATTAAGTTTCATAGACAAAGATGGAATTGTAGTTAACATATTTGTCTACTTAGGGCCAGTTGCTCCAACACAGTAAAACTTAGGGATTAAGATTAAGTGTTATCTAAGATTAGACCAACTTTCACCCATCGCTCAAACGAAGCTCAGCTTTGCAATCGAGTTTAATTTTGATCTTGATTAATACTTTGATGAAAAACTTAGTTACTTAGAGTTTCACTTTTCAACTACAGTAACCTTCCATAGTATTTTTGCTGTATCAATTGTGTTAATCTTTTTTATTTGTCTTTTCTCTTGCAAAAAGGGATATGCTAGATTTTTACGACCTCAAAGATGACGAGCATTTCCTCGATTTAATTGCATTTTTACTAATGGAGAAGTATATCGTCCTCGGATGAATCATTTTATCCATTGGTTTGATGACGAATTTTTTGATAGATTTAGATAAACATTTTTGGATAATTAACACAAATTAATTTAACTTTGACTTTCGCTAAACAAAAACAAACACTTGACATTGAGAGGCTCACACAACAAGGAACTGTGGAAAAACTTATTAGTAACCTCCTACTTCCTTTCTACATTTCGGTTTAGGTTTAACTTTTTACCAACGACTGAAAGAGGTGATAACAGAGCTGAGTTGTTACTGGTAGAATAAGCTCAGATAACTGAATCTTGGTTAAAACCGTCAATTGTGCAACTGGCCCTAAGTATGCCAAGAAAGTAACATTTTCTCGCAAATTTATTTTGATTATTGTTGTGTTCAGTGTTTGTTATTCATTTTAAAAAACAATTGAAGAATGAATTATCATTTATATTAATTTAACTTCATGTATGGGGTGTCCCATAAATATTGGAAAATACTTATGAAGCGATGGTAAATGTCAAAAGCAACATAAAAAGGTACTAGTTCTGTTTCACTACATTAAAGTGATGGCCAGTTTTAAGCTCGCCCATGACATGCTACTCTTTGATTCCCGAAAATACCAAAATTTCAAGATAAAACAAAAACAGTTGGATAAAACATCTCTTAATTTTTCTCTCTACAGGTCTCGATAACTAACAGACAAATAATCGAATATATTTGTTTGAATAATCCTTAAATTCGTAAAGTGGTTAATTGTCTGACATACAAGGAATGAGATAATGCAGAACATTGAAGTTTGAAGGAAGGAATTATTGGTACCAATATATATTATATAGACCAGACCAATTTTAGATATTTAACTTCTATAAAAAATAATTATGAAAACTTTATTTTTTAATCTAGTTGAAATTTCCAATATTATGCATTCAAAACTTTTTTATTAAAATTTAAAGAATTTTTAAGAAACTTTAGGAATACACTGTAATATTTGAAATTTTCAAGTGGTCAAATATTAATGATGAAGCTGTTTTTCTAAATCACAGAACAAAAATATTTTTGGGGATTATGTTCTTTCTAATAAATAAAATAAAAAAACATTCAATTCTTAAATAGGAATATTTTCTTTCTTATTGTTCTACAATGAGCGTCTATCAGTGATTTCCTATCAAGCCAAATTGATTTTTCATAACAGGCACGGAACTTTTAATTTTTGATGAGAGATTAAGAGACTTTCAGTATAATTAATTTTTTTTTTATAATAATCAAACTTTTACAAATCAATTCAAAGCCAGAAGGGATACTGAAGTCGTGAACAAATGAGTGAGAATTCAAGTCACATGGCAATAGCAATAAATTTCTTTTTAACATAATAGCTTATTCTAGAAAAGCACCTTTTTATTTCCATTACTTCATGCAAGTTCTATTTCAAGAATATTGTTTACTTCTTCCTTTTGCAATGTTAAAATCAATTTATGATTGTCGCAGAATTATTTACCACCCTCATCTTTTAATTTGAACTAAATAATAAAATAAAAAAGTAAATATTAACATACACATTTGTATTTATAAATCGTTTAATTCAACAAAAATCGTGTAATTTAAGCCAAAAACAGCCAAGCCTACAATTTCGTGAAATATAAAATTTGAATGGTATTTCACGAAATTGTAGGCTTGGCCGTTTTTGGCTTAAATTACACGATTTTGATTTTTGTTGAATTAACGATTTATAAATACAAATGTGTGTGTTAATATTTACTTTTTTATTTTATTATATTGTTCAAATTAAAAGATGAGGGAGGTAAATAATTCTACTTATTTAATTTAATATTAATTTGACCGCACCCCCTGATCAACTCCTTCTCATATTATATCAAGTGTCATCAACCATCTCTACATCATTATAAAATTTAAATATGCACAGATCCTGAAATGGATAGATATTTGAATCCGAAGTATTTACACGCAAGCATGTATTATAACATGGAAACCCGACCTCTATTCATCAATAATGTAACAAAAAATTATTATTTATTTCTATATTTATCTGGGTTTTTTTTTTCATAACTTTTTTAGGTAAGATGGTCTAGTTGTAATATTTTTAGCACGCAAGATCATGCTGCCGCAGCTATGGCAAAGAGCGGAGTGCCTGTATTCGCTTGGAAAGGTGAAACAGACGAAGAGTACATCTGGTGTATAGAACAAACTTTAGAAGGATTTTCCGATAAAAAGGTAATAGTTAAATATTTACTATAATTATATAACTAAGAGATTCCATATCACCCTGCGGATCTAATCGGGTGGGGGAGCTAAAGACCTGAAGCCCTCTCTCCCCAAACAGATATATACGCACATGTCTTATGAAAAAAATATCAACAAATTATCTTTTCACTAATTTTTTTTCCCATATGTCAATCTAATAAATAATCACATTTCGTTTTTGATTAACGTTTTGGGGTACTCAGGAGTAGTCATCCTCTTTACCAAATGAAATTACTGATAAGTTTGGTCACTAACGGATCCAGGATTTAGTTTTGGGGGAGAGGGGCTTCAGCCTGAAAGATTTTTTTTTTTGTATAAATATATTACCGTAATTATTTAGGAAGAAAGAAAAAAACTAACTACCCGTATGATATAGTTTTTAAATGATTGGTGGGCGGGGTGACCGAATGGGCTAAAGCGTGTGCACTGCACCGCCGTTGCCCGGCAACCAGATATATGAATCAAAGATATAAAAATAGTCACGAGTTCGCGTCCCGGTGCCGGGGGAATCTTTTAAATCCTTGCCCACACTCCCTGGCCCGGGAAAGTCACGTATAGCCTTAACGGCGAGGAAGGGGAGGACCAAAAAAAAAAGTCTAAGTGATTCCTTTAAGTCCTATTAACTATAATTAGACTAACAATAATACTTTTAGAGATAATTTTTTTCATAAAATTTGATTATATTTTACCATTTAGGAGGAGAGAGGAGTTCTTCAGCCCGAAAGCCCCGCCTGTGAGATTAGTTAATAACTTTAGTTAAACTATAAAATTTTAATTTTCCCTAATCGTCTCTTAAAAAAATTAGTTGAACTTAAGCCATTGACTTAGCTTATCAGTAATTTGAACTTGCCCGATTTCATGTCAATCATATATTGAAGACGGAATAAAGATTCCCCAAAACGTTCATTAATAAACAATAATCGAAACATAAATGTTATTATTTATTACATTGGCTACAGGCAAAAAATTATTGAAAAGATAATTTAGAAAAAAGATTAAAACTTGAAAATGGAAAAATTATCTCTAAAAGTATTATTGTTCGTGTAAATACGTTTTAATAGGACTGCAAGAATAACTTGGAAATAGTGTATATAATAAATAAAAATATAAATTTTAGTTTGTATAAACAGCTAATCTCTGAAAGTTCTTCACTGATAGCTTTAAAATTTTGATACAACGTTGCAATCAAATTCAGAAGTGCTTTTATGTACATTTCATTACCATCCGGCCTTTCGTTTCGAAACGGCAGCCAAAAAACATGATTCGCTTTAGACTGTAACGCCAAAACAGCTGTAATGATTTTAATGAAGGCTTTTTTAATTTATTTACATAATAAAAGTGACTGAAAAACAAGCTTGTTATGATGAATTCAGAATTTTATTCGCGAATAACTCAAACAGTACACAACTTTTTATAATACCCATATATATTCAACAGCTTTTTGAATTCCCTACAAAATGAATAATATTTCATTGAAATCGGACAATTTGGTGCAGGGATCTTGAAATCGTTAAGAATCATGTTTTATAAGATATTTTATAGAATTTTTTTTTACATTTTCTTCATTTTATATTTTTTACGATTGATCTATTGTGCCTAATTTATGTTTGAATTATAGGTATAATATAAGTGCAGTATTGAAATAATAAAATTGTACTGACAGAAGGAGAAAAGTGGGTTTAAATTACTTTTTAAAGGAGGAACAAAATTGAGATTGGTATTTTGTACCACAAAAAACACTCAGATACGGATTTTCTCAACAATAGAAAAATACAAATTGTTTGCCTCAAATGTTCACTGAGTGAGGGAAAATGGGTTCCAATATTTTTATTTTTTTTCTAAAAAAGTTGCGATGGATTCACATTTCTATTTGCCAAATGATACTGTTATATTTTCTTTTCTAAGTTCTTATAAAAGTGAATGCACGAATATATAAGAGTAGAAAAATTGTTGGTGACATGCAAATTCATTTATGTTTTCCTCAAATGTTTAATTATGATTATGTTCGAATCTCGACCACTTGGCGGACATTAGTATTACTAAATATTTGTAATGCTTGTTCGATTATTTTTAAATGTTCTGAACAAATTTATTTTTCATTTGTTATTATAATGTATACTATATTTTATGTTTTTCTAGCCCCTTAATATGATACTTGACGACGGAGGAGATTTGACCAACCTGGTCCATACTAAATATTCTCATTTGTTGCCTAATATCAAGGGCATCAGTGAAGAAACTACAACTGGAGTCCACAACTTATATAGAATGTTAAAAGAAGGAAAGCTTAAAGTTCCTGCTATCAATGTTAATGATTCAGTTACTAAAGTAAGTTCCATCTCATAAGAAGTATTATTTTTATCAGTAATCGGTTTTTACTTTCCTACCTATACTAGGTAAAGAAAGTATTGCAATCGGGTCAAATTTCCGACATGCGGTTTTCGACGGATCTATACGTTTCAGAGCACCCTGAGTTCGGAAAACATTTTTAGCCATTGGTCTGTCTGTCTGTCTGTGCCAAGATTTTCTCGGAAACTTCTGAACCGATTTTGTTGCTTCTTTTTTTATTTTGTAGGGTTTTGACTACCGATGCCTGTGACAGAAATTCGGTGCTCATGCGCAATAGCTTGCGCGTAATAAATGAAAAACATGTTTTTCTATAGACTAGCGCAAAAACGGCTCTAACGATTTTGATGAAACTGTCCTATAATGTTCTAATCATTGTCCTTTCAATTTTCATATATAGACTAAATTCCTAAAAATTTGAAAGGTAATGAAATTCCTTACAAAGCCATATAAAAATCATTCATTTTGGACAACTATTAACGAAGTTACGGCTATTCAATTTCCAATCTAAGATTACGTTTTCATATCCTGGTGTCAAAAAGGGGTGAGTGAGAGAATAAAGATGACTAAGTGAATGTAAGAAAATCTACTGCCCGCATCGCACAATCTTCACTATTTCCTCTACATTTAACAGAAATTAACTACCTTAAGCCGGTTTACATTGCTTTAGTTTATCAAATAAATCGTGCTCAAATCTTATGTTAGATCAATTTTCAGGAAAATTTATCTAGTTCAATTCTTTTTTTGTTTCTTCATGAACATATGTAAAGATATAAAAATTTTTCTGAAATAGGTAGGAAAGTCGTGTGAGTGGACACACCAGATTTTTTACAATTAATTTTTATTTATATTCATAGTTGAGAAAAGCATTATTTATTTTTTTCTAATCTCTTCTTAAACTTAAATTAAATTACATTTTAATATATATGTACTTACATAGACATAGCTAAAAGACCAGTGAAGACTTCTGTTTCTTCAAACAAAATGGCGACATCTCCAACATCCAACTCAGCATTTCAGTTTGAGCCACACCCTTTCCCCACTCTCCATTACCTTGGCTTCTACCATGACCAACAAAAAAATAATACATATATATAAAATCAATTTAATCACTATATCTAGATAAATTATATGTTAATATATACATACAGGGAGACGAGAGGCAGTTACGGAGTTATGATGATTCAGTGACTTTTATATCTCTTACAACTGACTGTGCAATTCTGTCCAAGCCACACCCTTCCCCACCACTATTTCATGCGCAATAACGTTTCCCCTCCTCCTATTCCATGGCGTCACCAAGGCTGAGATAGAAATAATAAATAAATTTCGGCTTGTATATTTAGACAAATCATATGTTGATACACAGAGAGGCGGCTATAAAGTTATGATGATTCAGGGTACTTCTATATGTTCTACATGAAGAATTCAACAACCAGCTATGCAATTCTGTCTGTGCCGCTATAAAATAAAATAAAATAAATAAATAAATAAAATATAAAATAAATTTTGGCTAATATATTCAGATGAACTGTATGTTAATCTTATGTACCTACACAGACATAAAAAGAGAGACAGTTATAAAATTATGATGATTCGGGGACTTCTATTTATCCAACATTAGAAATATCAACAACCAACTCCACTGTTCTGCCTAGCCACACTCTTTCCCTACTCCTCTTCACTTAGCTTCTACCGTGAACAATATAAAAATAATACATCAATTTTGTTTTTCAATATTTTGGTAAATTATACATAATTAAATACATACATGTACAGATGTGGATAGAGAATGAGATATCTATGGTCGTTTAGGAACTTCTATTTCTCCAACTACAACCGACGACACTCTTCTCTCTGAGCCACACCCTTTCCCACCATTTATTTCATGCGCACTAGCCTTTACCCCCTCCCCATTCATAAGCTTCTACCATAACCAGTATAAAAGTAAATTTTGGTTTGTATATTTAGATAAATTGTATGTAAATAAGTAAATTTAAAAAGAGCGACAATTATAGAGTTATGATTCAGGGACTTCTATATCTTCTACGATATTGAAATTTCAACAATCAACTACCCAATTCTGCCTGTACCACAACCTTTCCTTTAGTTTCTATCATGATTAATATAAAATAAATAGTTATACTTAAAAAAATTATAAAAATATAATATGTAGATTGTGCGAGATCTATGAAGGTTTAAGGACTTCTATTTCTACAAAATGTAGGCATCGACAAACAAACTTGACACTTCTGAGCACTAGTCTTTACCCTTCTCCTCTTCCCATTTCTCAGCTTCAACCAGGACCAACATAAAAATAATAAATAAATTTTGGCTTATACATTTAGATTGTATAGTCAATAAATACATACACAGATATAGACAGCGAAAGATTTATTACTCAATATTGCTAATTGCTCAATTCTTTTTATTATTATAGAATAATTAAAATAGAATTTACAGACACAGAATCTATCCTCTAGGCTATGAAAAATTTGTTTTCAACTAATCCATTAGTCACAAACACAGTGTTGTTAGACATACAAAAACATTGGAGACCGTTGGATGTAAGATACAATTTTTGTGGTTACCGGGTCACTCAGATGTTAAAGATAATAAGCTGGACGATACCATGGCAAAAAAACGCAATCAAGGAAGGTTATCCATAAGAGGATGATGTTACAAAGGAAGTAGTGGCTTTGCTAAAGAGAAAGGCTCTTGAGAAATGGCAGTTTCTCTGGCATGTTTTAAGGAATAATAGGTTGTTAGTGGTTGATTCCTCTATTAGTTCCAAATCGAGCAGATCTGTTGAAAACAGGAGAAGAGAACCTAGCAAGACTATGGATCGGATATTCAAGGCTAACATATGAACACCTAATGACAAAGGGGCCACCCCCTCAGTGTTTTTCTTGCACGGTAAATATAACAATGAGCTATTTATTGACTAAGTGTTATGCCTATGAAGTGGAGTTGTAAAATAATATTGCTTATATTTTTACAAACTTCACCAAAATAGCATAAAAATTGTTTTTATTTCTTCAAAAAATACAACCATTTAACAAAATTTAATTTTTTTTTTTGAAATTTTAATATTTTCTACCTTCAAGTTTATTGTTAAATTTTATATTCTGTAAAGGCTAAAATGACCTATAATAGGTTGAGGACCCTCCATTATTTGAAATAAATTTATAGTATTGCAATTATTATACTTCATAAATCAATGAGTATAGAATATTGTTATTATCTTATCGTTAGTCTAAAACATAAAAATTATGTTTTTTTATATTTATTAATTTTATTAAGAAAGAAAAGTTTTGAAAACAGGTGACAATAGTTTGATAACTTGTTTTCTTTAGATTTATAATAATTCAGGAAATTAAACTTTCCCAACAACCTAAACCGCATTTATTCGACAAACAAATCCGCTGCTCTTCTCTAGCCGCTCCTTTTCTCTACTTTCCTTGACCAGTATAATAATGATATATATAAATATCTCCAAATTATACTCTTATATATATAAAAATAACGACTGAGAGATAATTATGGAATTATTATGATTCAGGAACTTCTATATTTTCTTACAACATGGAGACATCAACAACCCACTCCGCACTTCTGTCTGAGCCACACTCTTTTTCCCTATTATCTCCTTAATTTCTACCATGACTAACATGCAAATAATAAGTGGCTAGCCTTTGTCCTTTCATTCTTTGACATGCACCCGTACTAAGGTCACTTTTTATTATGCGAGACATTGATCTGACAGAGATTCCCATTTCCTGAGACATGATTTGTTTTTTTCGAATGGGATTTCTTCTGATTTGAGCAGCCACTGCTCTCACTGCATTTGCCATTCTCGGTGGAGGTCTGTCCCATACAGATAGGGTCTCATTATATCTATTTATAGTGCGGTACATAAACATACCGCTGATACCCAAAGATTTCGAAATGTTGAAAATCTCTGGCCTACATTTTCCAACTTAGTGTAAGGCGATCACAGCAATTCGGTTTTCTTTATCACCCCACTCCATGTTAACTGAGTTAAAGAAAAATACAAACTAGTTGTGATTATCTAAGTAATAGCCAAGGATGTAATCTAAGTTCAACTTTTGTAACAGTATTTATGGCAGAACTAGGTAGATAGACATTGAAAGATCTTATTTTTGTTTTGTCCTTCTCTTCTTCGCCTTTTAGGCTATAGGATTTTTTCTTGGATCAGAGTGATTAGGGCAGAGGATTAATGCCTCAGTTAAAAGCTACCCCTGGCACTGGGATGCGAACTCATAATTATTTTGTCTATCTATGATGTGGGTTGCTGGGCAATGCCGGTACTGTGCACACACATAACTCGCTCGGCCACCCCTCCCCCTCCTCTCCCCAAAGTTCTGCCTATGATGGTTCGAGGACTTCTATTTCTCAAACTATTTTGTCTCATTCATTTTTACTTTCCACCTGGTAGCGAAATTAAAAATCTCATCAAGACGGTTTTACATAATAAGAGATGTTATTAATGGATTTCTGTGAGGTGTAAGAAGTACAGTATTTGCTGCTATTTCATTTCTAAGTAATACATATTTATTACTTTTTATAATTTACATTGTATTAAACTTTTTCAGAGTAAATTTGACAATTTATATGGTTGCCGAGAGTCGCTAGTCGACGGAATCAAACGTGCTACGGACATCATGCTTGCTGGCAAGGTGAGTGTCGTAGCTGGATACGGCGACGTCGGAAAAGGCTGTGCTCAGTCTCTAAAGTCCTTCGGAAGTCGAGTGATTATAACTGAAATCGATCCGATCAATGCCCTTCAAGCTGCAATGGAAGGTTATGAGGTTTGTTTATTTATTTTTTATAATTGATAATTAGTTTTAGCATTATTTCAGCTTTTTCCTTATTAATCATTTATCATATTATACAGGATTTTTCAGGGTTAAGTGCCCAAACTGCAAAAATGAACTAAGGACCTCAAAACAAGAAAGAAATTTCCTCTAAAGGTTATGTCCGCAAAGGCTTTGTTTAGGAGATATTCACACCTAAAGATTTTTGTTGTAATGAATTATTTACGTTATATGAAATAAATAAAATCTGTTTATTTTTTCTCTACTTTATTAATTGAATGTAAACGTTAACATTCATATTAAATGTTCACAATGATTTTCTTTAGCGTTAAGACAGGCTCGGCATCATTCTTCAACAGCAGCAGTGGCAGAACGACACTGGATATGTGTTATTGTTTCACAAGATTCAATTATCCTTCTTCGTAAGGAATTAAGGTCATTGACTGGACTTGCATAGATTTTTTGCTTAATGTCATCCCCTCCCAAAAAAAGGCAAATATCTCATGGCACTGTATTTTTTTTTGTTTGCGGTGACATTAAACAAAAAGTATGCAAGTCCAGTCAATGACCTTAATTCCTTATGAAAAGGATAATAGAATCTTGTGAAACAATAAGACATATCCAGTGCTGTTCTGCCACTGCTTTTATTGAAGAAAGATGCCGAGCCTGTCTTAATACTCAAGGAAATCACTTTTAACAACATTTAATATGAATGTTAATGTTTAAATTTAATAAATAAAGTAGTTAGAAAAAATAAATAGATTTTATTTATTTCATATAACGTAAATAATTCATAACAACGAAAATCTTAGGTGTGAATATCTCCTAAACAGCATTTGCAGACATACCTTCAGAGGAAATTTTTTTCTTGTTTTGAGGACCTTGGTTCATTTTTGCAGTTTGACCACTTAACCTTGAAACATCCTGTATACGATTAAGTGTTTAATCTAATGTAATTCTTATCGCAAATTTTTTATTTTTCAATAGTACTGTGTGTTTATTTGAGATATAGTTCTTTTTAACTAATAACTGTCTCTAGTCTAGGCGCCACAATACATTTTGCTAGTATGATAAAGGACTTAATTTAATTTATTATCCTTGGGTACACTATTTTACTATTTTATTTTACTCTCCGGGTGGTGTGGTGGGGACTGGAAGAGCTAGAGTCCACCTTATGATGACTTATACTGCTAACAAACAACAGCTCAACCTCTCAAATCAGCTTATTTTATTTAATTATAAGAGCTAATAAAATACATTATAAACTAAATATCTTTAGTCAGAGACGTTTAAAAAAAAGAAGATATTTTTTCAGATAGAAGTTTTAAAGCTGGGAAACACAAGTAAAAGATAATAAGTATATGGTATCCTACGATATGAACTAGGCGCTGGCAGCCTTTGAGTTAGCCATGTTTCCCCTCACGTGACGTAGCTCCATCCACATTATATTTCTTTAACGCTAATAATCTTTGCAAATACACAAACATTTGTAACTTTTTGAATTTTTATTGTAGTTAGGTTATTGTTATCTTCACTGATGAATGCAAATTGAAAATTCTGGTTATTACTTTAGTTGTTTTCTATTAATTCATATTAGTAATAATTAAATAACAAATATGTATGATGGTGGAGATAGAGAGAAACACTTTATTTTCATAAAATATAAAGGATTGCTGCCCAATTATATTGGGTTGCTATATACACAGCATACTCTTCTATCCTTAGGACAATATATGAACTTATATATATATATATATATATATATATATATATATATATATACATTTTTATTATTTTTTTTTTTTTTCCTTTTTCCTTCCTTTCATTGTTCATGCTTTTTTTTTTTAAGATAATAAATAAATAAAAGAAAGTTTTATTTATTTACTTTAATGTGCACAAGAAAATAAATCTTTTTTGTGCATACTTTCATTTTTTACTGCACACCCAACCAATGTCTACTATAACTACATATATGATTTTTTATATATATTTTTTTTTTCAGGTTACTACAATGGAGGAGGCTTGTAAAATAGGTCAAATATTCGTCACTACTACAGGTTGTAAAGATATCATTACGGATAAACATTTTGTTCAAATGAAGGATGACTCCATCGTCTGTAATATAGGCCATTTTGATATCGAAATTCAAGTAGCCTGGTTAGAAAAAAATTCTATCGAAAAAGTGAATATAAAACCACAGGTATGTTTTGTTTCATTTAAAGAAATATTATTAATTTGAATTATTGTTATTTACTTATATCTAGTACAATATTAGAGCTCCCATTACTCTGTGGTTGTATATAATAATTTCACAAACAATGGGAAACCAAATTGTGTAAAAGGGATGTTTCTCAAGGCTAGTGTTTGTGCCCAAAATCCATCTTCTGTCGGTTTTTAAAGAGAAATCAAAGAGAGTTTGGGTAAGAATTTGTGTCGCTTTTACACATTTGTTTACTGTTTGTGTATCTTGAGGAGTGTTAAAATTAATATTTCCTGGTACGATTTAAATTAATTTTCTTCATCCACCATCTTTGACGAATTTTAACTTTCTTTCGTTTTCTTTTGTATTTTTTAAAAATCACAATAGGTTAAACCAAGAGTCCTCAATCTTTTTCTACTCGAGGGAACATTTACATGTTAATTAATAGTATTTTTTTTTTTTTGTGTTCTTTCTAGCTTTTTCATTGTTTGATATTTTTAATAATCTCTCTATTATAAAAAAAAAAGTTTTTGGTGAGTCATATTTTATTTTACATACACAGACCGTAATTACTCCCACAATTATTTCTCCCTTATTACGGTTACAAATTGGAAATCAGAATAATTATAACTATATAATAATATAATTTGGCTATAAGGTGTGATGTATAATCTAAATTTTTAAAGAAATTAAAAATTTGTCCGAACTGTGGTTTCATTCAGTTTATTTTATGTTGATAAAAAACAATACATTTTGAACTACAGAATGCATCTCCATTATAGTTTACCATTTGAGCGACGAGTAGTACAATTAAATGAACAGTTGTATATTTTGTAAAATGGAGGTAGTAATAAAAAAGAATAATTTTAACATCTGAAAAAATATTACTTTTAATCTTATATAATATAAATAAATAAATATAAATACTCTAGATAATATGATATTTTCACTGCATTTCATTGGTACGTACTTCATAATTTACAAACAAAAATTATGATAATTTGTAACAGTAAAATAAGATATCGTCTTATCTACAAATACAGTGGTTCACAGTCAAAATGATACTCCTTCATATTTTGCTAGAAATTATTGAATAAATAAATATTACAATAATTTATTGTAATCAGTAAACATACTAGTAAAGTTTATTTTCTTATGTTATGTTTTTTGTTCATTTCATTATGCATTAACGGTATGATAAAGTTATATTTGTATAATTATAACTAATTAATAAAAAAATTTTAAATTTGAAGTAGAAATTAGAAAAACACGAAATTTTTAACAAAGAAGCCTTCCTCAAAGAACAGAACAGACTAAAAGGAGTGGTAGAAAATGTATTGCCTTCAAGGTATTGAAATAAATTAATAGTATTTAAAAGCTAATAAGAAGTTAGGTTTATTATTTTGACTGTGTGGTAAAATTATCCAGTTATTAATTTTTTTAAATGATCACAGTTAAATATTTTAATTATTTTGAATTTGTACATATTAAAAATGAGATTTTAAATAAATTATTGATGAGTTTCTGGTTTTATTTGTTTACTGTAACTCATTTAAGTATTTTTTTCTATTTGTCTACGGGGTGTATCAATTTCACTGTGGGCCGCTGTATTTAGTGATTATATAGGTTGAATGTAAAAATGACCAACTTTCTAATTTAGTTTTCATTCTTGAAAAATAATAAAGATATTATTTTAGAAAATATTATTAAGAAGCTATGATATCAGTGACTATTTTCGAAAAACGACTGTTATATTACAAAAAAGTGTGATATTTTCAATTATTTACTAAGATATTTTAAAAAATCGTTGAATTGCGATTCCGTAAAAATGGTTGCAGTAGTAATTGCTGTTACAGGCTAAATTAGGCAGGTACTGGGTTAATGTAATCACTCTAACAATTTCCATATACGCTATGTTCTGTTTTAATCTGTTCTTCTGGTGTCAAGCCGCCTAAATGTTAGCAATATTATTTAAAGCTTTGATGGGTTTGGATTTTAATTTCTATTGTTTTATATTTACTATCTATAAACATGTTGTTTATAATTATCTTTTAAAGTTACTTTTGTTAATAGGTTGATAGGTATACGCTATCGAATGGAAGACACATCATTGTGCTGGCTGAAGGAAGACTAGTCAACCTCGGATGTGCTACCGGTCATCCATCTTTCGTCATGAGCAATTCATTTACGAATCAAGTTTTGGCTCAAATTGAACTTTGGACCAAGAATGAAAAATATCCAGTCGGCGTATATATATTACCTAAGAAAGTTAGTACATTTTTCGATTATCGATTTTATCTTTTTTTTTTTTTTTTTAATGGTGTAAAACTTAACAATAATCTATTGTTGTCTTGTTTGGCCTTGATTTGAAAAAGTTCTAATTAACAAATTTAAGCAAATTGAGTTTTCACTCAGAAATCTCTTACCAACAAAGTTATTTATAGTGCAAATGAATTTTAGTTCCATCAGTTGAAATGTATGGAAACTAGCCTTGTTACGTGGTTATATCAGCTGATCAACTTTTGAAAGTAATTGGTTTGAGAAGGTTCTAACTTCTATACTATGTAGCCGAACTTGATTTATAATTATTTTAATGAGCATTAAATATGAAATTATATCATTTATATTATTAATAACGATTTGGTCTTTGTGTGTAACATATTTGAATCGGTCATTTCATGATGTTTTCATAATTTTTAGAAAAAAAACTTGAACAAATTTATCATATTAAAATAGTTCTAGAACTATAAGATAAAAAATCTGCTGCGTGCAACATACAACTTTCACTTACCGATCTACTTTGAATAGAAATTATTTTCTGGCAATGCTGGGCTATTATAAAATTTTTTGAAGTGCATTTTAAACGGAGCTAAAGCTTAAAGCTTACAGATAACAAGTCATTAAGACCATTATAATTACAAAATGTCTATTTAATATATCGACAGTAGGCAATAAAAATTTAGTCACTCCATCTGCTTTTATAAACCACACAACTTTCTTTGCTTTTATAAACCACAGAATGACTAACTCCAATTTCAACATTTTTGAGTGATGTCATTTTAGTGATATTTTTAGTTGAAAATGTTATCTATGCAGACAATGAGTAAGTTGATTCCAGAGGTGGTGATTGCAGTGTTGAAATATAGAACTGAGAATAAAGGTATAAATTTAGGTACTTGGGAAATGGTTAACTTTTTAAAATAAACCATATTAAAGGTACTTAAGATGAAGACATATATGAACATTGGGCATTTAAGCCGTGTAAAGTGACATCAACGGGGATAAGACCTAAATTATATTAAAGACCGCTTAATTATACAATGATACACCGAGTTTGATGAAAATCGTTAGTCGTTTTTTAGAAAATTGTAAAAATATGTTTCAGCGTTCATACAAAGTGGCACTTTCGGTTGGCCGATTTTAACGAAAAAGTTGCTGTCACATCCGGCCCATTTACAAACCTTAAATACTTAATATCAGTTTCGTACTACTTTTCATTTATGAGCTAACACACACACCATTTTGCGACACTTGGTTATTTGAACTCAGGGGACCTCAAAACATGTATTTCCATTGGAAACTGAGATTCGAAAATTTTCACGATTGCAATATAAACGGCTTATTGAATTTTACCGTATAATATATACTTAGGGAGTTAGGCCCCATAACATTTTTCTTTTCTTTATAACTTTTTTCCTGAATTTTTTCGGCAATTTAGTCCATATACGAAAATTGATTAGAACATTATAGGAAAGTTTTATTAAAATCGTTAAAGCCGTTTTGGCGCTAGTCTATAGAAAAACATGTTTTTTGTTAGATTTTACAATATCTCAATTTTCTATTTATATCTATTATTTCCTTACATAACTTCATATTCCTTTTCTCTGTTTTACATTTTATTGTATTACCATTTTTCATTTCTTATGTTACGTTATTTTGATTATGTTTATTTCAATATTCCGTACTTTGTTGCCGTTATTATTATTTATTTCTTAGTTCTCTGTTACTGTTATTATTCTATCCACTTTATTTTACTTTAATGTTCCCTTTATCTATTTCATTTTACTTTAAGTTTTTTCTACCTACATTTTTTAGTCTACCTTTCACCTTTTAATTTAAATTCTTTTTTATTCAATGTTTATAGTTTCTCATACTTATTGTTATCTGGTTCTTTTCTTGGCCCTGATGAAGGCATGAACTTTGGGATGAAAAGTCGCCAAATATTAAAATAAACATAATTATTTATTTTTATTTTGACTGATCATCCCAAACATTCTTCTCTTCAACATCTACCATCTCGTTACAGGTTACTTATGTCTTGCTGTCATACGGTTTACACTTTGCTTTTATATATTTAATTTTTATTATCCTCATTCTAAATTTTTCTTAATCATAATACTTTATTATGATTTGCAAAATATTAATATAACTTTCTTTTATTTTCAGTTGGATGAAGAGGTAGCTGCTTTGCATTTAGATCATCTTGGAGTTAAATTAACCAAGTTAACGACTGAGCAAGCACAATATTTAGATATCCCAGTCGAAGGACCTTACAAACCAGATTATTATCGTTATTAATTTATAAAATAAAAATAAAAAAAAGTAAGAAAACATTGATAAAAAACATTTTAATAAATAAATATATTTATTTATATTTTGTCTTTTTATTTTTTAATTAAACACTACAAAATTCACAATATTTCAGTCTCTATGGCTTGTTTCATTATAGAAAAAGTCAAACTTTTCAATTACAAAGACAAGAAATAGATTTTTTAAAAACATGTATAGGTTTCCAATACATGGCATTTTTAAACCGCTGTTCTTTGTAATGCAAGCTCTTTTAATTGGGCACGGAGAGAAGCGATTTCTTCATCCTTTGCTATTGATTCCCTTTTCAGCTTCATTATGGTCTCGGTCTGCTCAGCCAGGACACGTTGGGTGTCCGAAATCTGAGATTCATCGAGTACTGCAAGAAGTTCACTGGATGAAGGTCGCCTTTTGATACTTTTGCTGATCGCCTGACTTATGATGTTTGCCTAAAAACATAATGGAAAACCTTTATTATATTCAATTAAATATAATTTGTTGTACAATAGCGCTATATATAGTATAAGTATTAATTTGTAGACATTAAAGAAGGTTAAACTTTTACACAGGATATTCTTTATAACAGGGGTCCCCAACCTGTCTTCATCTGCAGGCACATTCATGGGTTATGTGGTACGCGGTGATTACTGTCTTTGTTTTTTTATATTAAATATGAATGGCAGGGAGGTTAATCTTTAAAATATTGAAAAAAGAAAATGTCAGGTAAAATTTTATATAATAGTGGATTGAAGGTTGACTGTAGTAAATAATTGAAGAGAAGTTGGTTGGAGTGTTCAGTAAAAAAACAAAACAAATCAGTAATAAATAAATGATATTTGTTTTGTTTTTTCTGACACCCCAACCAACCAACTCTTCAAAATTTTATACAGTTTTCTTATATTAGATTTACAGTTTTTTAAATCAAAATTTGAAAATGATTATAAGTAAAATGGGAGTACTTTTCTGATAGCTGGGCAGGACGAAACCTCCCTTCTTATCTCCTGTAAGCTGTGAGTTATTCCATAGTTTATTTTTGTTCCTCATGCAAGCTGTGAGTTATTCCATTGTTTATTTTTGTTCCATTTGTGTGATTTTAGTCAAATTATGGGTGCTGTTACATTCTGGGAATTAGTCTTCAGAAGAAGAGGCTATCGAATATTTTCAAAACGTCGGGATAATTACAAACGTGAAATTGTGCAAAGAAGATTATCACATAAGACGAAATGGAAACGCTTTCATACCACTTATAACAAAAAATGTTTTTATAAGGAAACGAACGTGGTTAGAGGGGTCGAGGATTTTGTTTTTTAACGGCTTTAAAATTAATTTATGAGTGGACCCATAATTTAAGAACAATACAGTAGGAAAAAGAACAGCTGAAACTATCTAAGCCAACTATGATAACGTGGAACAAATTTTTAAGAGAGGTTTGTGCCTATAACATGTTATACAGGTCAAGTAAAAAAATTGGAGAGCCTGGCAAAGTCGTTGAAGTAGACGAGTCTTTTTTCTTAACGAAAAGATCATGTAGGGAGAGTTCTACCTGTGCAATGGATGTATGGCGGAGTTTGCCGAGAAACAGAGGAGTGTTTTATCGTCAAAATAGACATATTATAATACAATAAAGATGAATAGGAAGATAGAAATCATCAGTACCTTATCAGAATTATTAGTGTTCAGGTTATAAACATTGGCAGATAGCAGTCAGTCCCATCCAGCTATCTGACAAGTACTGAAATGGGTTATAATTAGGTATGAAATAAGTTGAATGCAGTGTTACTAACAGTGTCTTTATATTGTTTTATTGCTAATAATAGTGATGATATATCGATAAATGAATTATTATTTTCAAATGATTGACTTAGACTTTTGAATTATATATAATCTTGTAAGCTTTTTAAATATACATATATTAAAGGAAAAAAAACATTTTAGTTTTAAATTCATGTATCTGCATCTTGCCACATAAAACAATAATATGAGAAGTTGGTCGAGGAGTGCGGTCATGATTATATTATAAGAATAGTATTTTGTTCATTACGCCATATTTTTATTCTTATAATACAGTATTTATACGACCGAATCCCCCGACCAACTCCTCACATAATCACGGTCAACCATCTCAACACCATTATAAAACAATAATGATTGAAAAGAACTTTAAAATGTAGTTATATAAATAAATCATTATATACAAAGAAATCACCCATACTTGAAATTAATTGTAAGCAGTTTATTATAATATGAGGAGTTGGTGGGTCAAATGAATACTATATATCAAAATAGTACTTTATTGTTTTATAAATAGTACTTTATCTCTACACTATTATTTATTATAATATATACATTCAGTAATAATAATAAAAGGCTTAGCGAACCTGAAGGTTCAATATCATTAATCACTTATTATATACTTCTCTCCACTGGTGGCCGTCCAACCCCATTCCCTTCAGATCGGCCTTAACAGTTCACACAATTCGGCATTGTGTAACCATCAAAATTCTCCGGTTAACTTATCCTTCTTTGGTCTGAATATTCTACGCAATACTTTATTTTCAAAAACCTTAAGACGTTGCTCATCCCTTAATGTAAGTGGCCACAGTTCACATCCATACAGAACCGTAGATAGGAGAATGGTTTTATAGATTCTAGTTTTCCGGGACAGGAAGCTTGAGCGAAGTAGTTATGTTATGGAAAAATGACAAGCATTTCCCGCCTTCAGTCTAATCTTAATCTCCTCTTCAATTTCTTTGTTTTCTCTAGTTATCATGGATCCTAGATACATAAACTTCTCTATGTGTTTCAAACATATTACTTTCTACATCGATATCACCGACATTATCGCTATTTTTGCAGTTAACCATATATTATGTCTTATCCGTGTTTATTTCGAGCCCTAGAACCCTAAAACTGTTGCCAAGATGATCGCCAATAAAGGTTATGATCTAGATAAGCCACTGTAAGTTAAACTACCACATATTCAATCGCCAAGGGACGATGAATCCGCTATGCAGATTCTGTCAAGAGGAGAATGAAACAGCCTTTCACATCGTTTGCTGATGTGATAGATTTTCGCAAGGCTTAGACTGAAATTATTTGGGAAAGAACGGATGGATCTTCCCAGTAGCTACGAGTCGGTCAATCCAACTAGCCTACTAAGATAAGAGGAAGAGGCAAAAATAACGTTTTGAGAATAAATGAACAGCTTAATTGGCGCACAATAGATCGTTCGATGGTTGAGGTGCTCTAAGCCAACAAATTAAAAAAAAAAAAAAAGTTATGTTAGAGCCGTAGAACCCTAAAACTGTTGCCAAGATGATCGCCAATAAAGGTTATGACCTAGATAGGCCACTGTAAGTTAAACTACCACATGTTCAATCTTAGACAGTCACAAGTTTTTTCGTGTGCACAGTGTCAGCGACCCCTCTAGGTTGAAGACTCCTGCTTTAAAACATCGGATACAACAACGTAATAATTATAGTAACATATAGCAGCTTACCTGAATGGGGAAAGATGAAACCAAATCTGATGGTATATTTCCTGATTTCAATTGACCAATTACTTTACTTCTTTCCATCGCAGTAGAGAAAGGCTGAAGAAGTTCGAAGAAAATTATACCTAAACTATAAACATCGCTCTGAAAATGAAAAGAACAATAATTAGTTTATTAATTATTATATTGATACAATATTATAAGTACAACAGACTATTTATAAAAACAAAAGTTGTGGTTAAAAATTTTGACACCTAAAGGCATCTTTTTGAAAGCAAATAATTTTTTAACTAGTAGGCCCGTGCCAAAAATTCGCACAGCATATTGTTATCAAATGCCAAATTAATAAGAAAAGAAAATAATGCAACGTATCAAAAGATAAATAAATCAATTATTACTTTATTGATAAATATAATCGACAAAGGAAACAAAAATTAATTTAAATCTTCATTTTTGTTTGGAACCAACATGTTTACAAATTTCAATAAGCTGTATCTTTGCTAAAAATTGTCCGATCTCGATGATTTTTTTTTCCTTTTGTAGGGAATTCAGTAATCTTTTATATAATCATGGGCACAACTAAGGGAAAAGTGTGTAATTTTTCAGTTATTCGCAAATAAAGTTTGTTTTCCTTCATAACTCGTTTGCCTGAATTTTCGGGGTGATTGGACTATTTTGCCCGCCTGAAGGAAGCCTTCGAAATTGGTGGCTCATTCTTGAGATTTGGTGAAGAATTAACGATGATATGGCTTGCCGATCATAGAGGCCTCAAATAGACGAAATGAAACATGTATTCAATGACAGTACTACAATTAACGTAAGGTGGTGTGGATATGTTGCATTATTTTATTTTATTATTAATTTGGCATTTGATAACAATATGCTGTGCGAATTTTTCGCACGGGACTACTAGTAGTAATTAAAACAGAAATTGATACCTTAGGATGACAGTAGCCGTTCAATTGCTCTGGAGCTGCGTACAACTTGGTTCCTAACTGACCGGGCTGATGAGTTTCAACAACGGATATATTAGGCTGATGATGAGTTATAAGGTTACATGCCAGCCCAAAGTCTCCGACCTGTATCTGTTTCAAGTCATGGCTCACGAACACATTGCTCGGCTAAAAGACAAAATTTAATTTTTTTTAAAACTGTTAATTACTGAAATATAAAACATAATTATTATTATTAATAAAATAGTAATTATTAACATAATAACACACTACTTCCCGACAGCAATTCCTTGTTGGTGTTTTCCTTTTCCAAGTCCTCAGAATCAAAAACCCTCCCTACATCTTAGAATAACTTACTTTCGCTCCTCTATCCACTCTCTCAATACCAGATCTCAACCTATAGATTTATATATCCCCTCACATAAAACCACTTCCTTCAGTAAATCCTTTATCATTCGTGCTACTTCCTTATGGAACTCCTTACCCATCTCCAAACGTCAAACCACGTCCATAAACTCCTTAAAACAACTCCTATTCCTCCACCTACTACAAATTCAAACTTCCGCAAGCTTGTAAAAATTTCTGGGTTATATAATTATGCTGCTCACCAGCAGTTAATTGATAGAAGTCATTTTATTTTTATTTATTCACTTTTTTTATATCTCAGTATTTATCGTATATATTCATGTTTTGTGGTTATATGTGTGTATATATATATTTACAATTTCCTAAGTACTTTTTATATACATTTATATGATACCTATATTTTTTTAACTACTATTATTCTAAGGGGACTTCAGTCCCAGAATAAAATTATTTTTCATTTAATTTCAAATTATTATAATAAAGCCTAATTATTCACATTTTCAATTCAAAAAATAAATTAGGCCATATAAATGTTCCTAAATTCGAATGTTTGATATAACAACCACTTCACTATAGCTATAATAAATAAATAATTAACAATAATAAAAAATCTTTAAAATCCTATTTTTACTATAAGCAGCACATCCTGGCATAAAGTATTTTCGAAACCTTCGCTTCCGTTCATACAATGGTACACCTTAGTAGCGAAGAACTCTGATACGTACAAATACATTAAAATGTGACCCAGCTATCCTAAAATCAGTAGCATTTTCAAAAACTAGGCATAATTTTATTATCACAAAGGAAATATGAAAATTTTAGAGATGGGTAAATGGTCAACTAATCAATTATGAGAATGAAACAAAAACGATAATTAGTACAATAATAAATATAAAACTGTAAGGATAATAAGAGTGAAGAATAATAGTAAAATGATTTTTTGATATAAATAAATGAAAAAGGTAAGTATACAGAAAATTATAAAAAGCAATTAATTGTGAATGACAATAATAAAATCAATTCAATAAATAAGAAGTGTGCAAAAACAACCCGCTATGGAGATTCTGTCATGAGGAGAATGAAACAGCCTTTCATATTGTGACAGGTTTGCAAGGTATTAAGCTATTTGGGGAGGATCGAGTGGATTTCCCCCGAACTAGGAGTCTATCAACCCTTTAAGCCTACTAAGATGCACGGAAGAGGCTAAACTAACATTTTAGGAATAAAATGGATGAAAACACATAGCGCACAATAGATCCTAAAGGGTCGTAGTGCCTTATGCGGACAGAGGAAAGAAAAGAAAACAGTTACCTATCGTTCGGATGTCGAGACAAGAACTGAGAGGTTAATGGAAATCTGTGTTTGGATGGGAGGTACGTAAGGGAAGCATTAGGGTAATGGCTATTTTATCTAAATAATCTGTACCACTACGACCCATGAAGGGTCTTTAATCTTTAGGTTCAGTACTTTGTAAGGAAGTGATCCCCCTTAATTATTTAATTAAGAGTACCATCTTTGTAGAGGCTGGGTATGCCACAGGAGGATCGATCCACGGCTGATGAAACAGAATAAATAATTTATCTCTCATCAGTCGGATACTTAAAAGATAATATATATTTATTTGAAATTTAAATAAAATTTGTCCAATTGTGGCTTGTATCTCTTTACTTCCATAGCACAGTTAACAATAGCTTGTAGATTAAATGAGTGAGCACTGGCTGGACAGGTCACGAATTAATTTCTGATCTATCTATGGAATTAATACTATTTCTTTCCTCAAAAATTCGCTACCTCTTTGCTTCAAATAATAGCTCATAACATGAAAGACTACAAATTAATAGTAAAAATAACAAGAATACTACTTAGAAATACCTTTAAATCATGGTGTACAATTCCTTGTGAATGTATGTACTCGACACCTTTAACAATTTGTCGAAATATCTCAACGCACTGGTTGATATCTATTTCAGGAGAGTCAACGTTTCTTATATCCAACCACTGCCTCAGAGTCTGTTGGCACAACTGCATCTGAATATAAAGAACGGCCCACTCCGTGACAGCGTTTTTATCTTCGTAATCATATTTACACCTGTACATGAGGTCTACATTACTAGAAAATTTACAAACTTCATCGCCGATTTCTTCTATTTTACTGCTAACCGAGCTTTCAAACACAACTTCAAGAGAGTCTTCTTTCATGCTTTCCTCACTAGACATACTATAAAGAATATTTTTAATAAAAACAAATTCTATATTTGTATATTGTATTTTAGTTTATTGTATATATTTTTTCATACCTCATTTCGATGGCAGGGATTAGTTTTTTCTTCTTCTTAAAAGGTTCTAACCAGGCTGCTTTGTAAGCTACGATATTCGGATGATTGAATTTTGCCAACATTTTTACTTCTTTTAAGTTTTGAAGAAAATCAGGGACATTATAGTACCTAAAAATAAAATTTCAATTTCAATTATAAAGGTGCTATCATCAAATAAACTAGTAAAATCCAATATCACTTAAATCAGTCAAATAGATGTATGGTTAAATAGATCTATTTAATTGTCTATGAGAATTTATGGTACAGTTTGTGCTAATGGAATCTAGAGGATAAGGATGAATTCTGAGCTAACAAGACTATAAAGAGCCCAGATATCGTAAAGATATCTATTCGATGGGCAGATCATATGATTAGAATCAGGATCAGATCCTAGGATGGTCTTAGACGAAAGTATTTATAGGATACAAAAAGTGTGGGGAAAGACCTCGGCTCCGATGGATTGATGGAGTTGCAGCGAATGCCAGGTCCGTTTTGGGAATTTCCAATTGGAGAGCAGCGGCAACTATGTTGTAGTACCACGAATGATGATAATTCAATTATTTCCGAAGATATATTTCCTTCAGCTTGAAAGAATTGACCACGATTTGTTGCAAACCATGTTAATATATCTCGACCTTATCACTCTGCCTAGAGTTGTTGTTTAATAGCGCATACGATAACCACGCCTTCCTCCTCTAGGTAGAGTAGGTAAGGATATTAAAACCGATAAAAAATTACAGAGCACATTACCTGGAAGCACTGTTTCTTTGTTTCTATTTTTGGTCTTTTAAGTAAATGCAACAAAAAATTGTTTTTCAATTAATCTTTTTAAAACCCAGACCCTGCATATTATTTGTGATAGTCTTCATCCAGTTAATCAATACATCATATGTAAATTTAAAAAATCAACTAGATTCAATAAAAATATTGATTTAATATAAATAACTTACCTGAGAAAAATTTTCTTCACAGCATAGAAACCTCCGTCTAATTTATGCTGTACTTTGTAGACGTGTCCAAAACCACCTTTTGCAATGTAATCTAATTCTTCAAATTCTGTCGAATATCTCGACCATTCAATTACACCTTTTGCAGGAATGTTTAATTTATCTGGCCTATAAAAAAAAATAAAATATTCACCATTAGAAAATAATAAATAAATAAGTAACTATTTATAAAACTCTTAATAAGGTAAAGACACACACACAGCAGAAAGAATGGCAGCTTTAGTATCAACTGAGGTAGTTTTCGCAGTAGTGAGAAAGTGATATAAAGCTTTTTGGTAGTAACTGCGCATAAATGCAAATTCTTCTTTCTCATAATTTTCGTCAATTAAATTCATTTGGTGCAGTTTTTCGCATACATCTGAAAATCAAGAAAAAAAATATGAAAATGATTTGTAAGATACAGTTTTCCAAGAAACGGTATGATTAGAAAATGTTTTTCTACAATTGTTTAGCCCCATAATATCACTTCAAAATTAGTAAGATCATTGACCTGGGAAAGGTAGCGTTAATGAATGAGTTTAGGTAGAACTGATTCTCAAAAATAAAGAACTAAAATGGAACCCAGCTAGTGAAGCAGTAAAATACCTCGGAGTTTATCTGGACTGCCGCCTTACGTGGAATTACCATATAAATAATAAACTGACCCAAACATACGCAAGGTTAGCAATGTTATATCCCATAGTAAATAGAAAATCTAGTTTAAAACCAGAGACAACTGTTCTTATTCATAAAACCATACTAAGACCCTTGCTAATGTACGGATGTGAAGTCTGGGGAGCCGCTTCAGCTACAAAAAGAAAAAAACTACAATCCTTTCAAAACAAGGTATTAAGAATTGCAGTAGATGCCCTCTGGTTCATAAGAAACGCTCAACTACATCGAGAACTAAAATTGGAAACAATAGATGAATTCATCAAAAAACTATTTAAAAAATTCCATACGCAGCTACCAGCAGTTAAAGGTGCAGTGGCCTGCAACTTAGGACCCAACCTCATCTCGAAGACTGAAGCCCAGACTGATCCAAGACATCATGTTATGAACAATTAATAATTTTCTCTTTATTAATTGTAATTATTCAATAATTATAATGTATAAATAGTTAGGGGTGTCTTTTGCAAAGACTATACCCCACCAGAACAAATTATTAAAAATCATCAAATTGTTACAACAACCATGTAAGGCCCACCAGGCCGATCTGGTAATAAATAAATTAAAAAAAAAAAAAAAAGTGAGTTTAGGTAGGTTGTTTTCCATCAAGAAACTGTCAAGATCCTAAACAATCGGAGAATACCAAAGACAGCCAGTAAAGAGTTGAGAATTCTAATAAAATTTATGAAAATATGTAATCTATCAGTCGATACAAGCACTACTTTTCCCAGGTTAAGATTATACAGAAAAAGATAAAATTAAGTAATATCACATTAAGGACATACCTAAATACAGTTTCCTGCGTTTTTTTGGGTTCTTCTCCACTAACTTACATAGCTGCTCAATTAACGATTCGACAAGTAGACTAGAAGGCGAAAATTTCTGTAGCTCGTCCGAATCTACCCTAACAGCTAATGTAGAATCATCTCCTTAAAATAAATCATAGAATACACATTGATACATAACAGTTAATGTAAATCATAATCTGTTTGAATATATTTAATACCTTACAGAACACAAGTCCATTTATTTCATATTTTGGCTTTATCATTTTTTTTCTTTTTTTAATGCTCAAAAACCTACATCAATAAAATCGTTGTACAACATAGGAAAATATGAATTAAAATAAATAATAAACCACAAATAATAAATTTTAATTTTTGCAGTTATTATAAATTTCTGAGAATGGACAGTGCGCTTTAAGGTTTATTGTTTTTCAATATTCTCAAAATATATATCAAACCTTTATCAAAAGAAGACACAGTCTTCAAAGAAGAAAATTCAGATTCTTCACTTAACATGGTTGACACAATTCAGAGAGAACACTTTCAAAAATAACAACTAAAATAACATTCTATTTAGGACTTTATGTCATTAAAATGAACAATTTTTTCTCTTCGAAATAATGTCATATACAATCATTTTCAGACCTCCAGTTAACATTCACAAAAGATAGATGAAACCTGCAGAACTATAACCTTATAATGTCTTGTGCAGAAGGCTATTTAAAAATAAAATGTTCAAAAATGAGGGAAAATTTTAATATTTTGACATTGAATATTTGATGAAAAAAGTATAAAAAAGAATTTTTTTGTTTAATGGTGTGAATCTCTATCAAAAGAACAGGAACGAACAGCTGTTACTGTTTTGGTCAGCAAAGAACAACTAAAGTTACTTGGACAACTCTTGTGAACCTCCAAAGCGACCATGGTTTTTCAGGTATAGAAGGTCTCAACAAAAGGGTATGATCTAGAATGTTCCTTTAGGTCTTCAACAGTTCAATGTCCTTAAACTGTGTGTCAACATTAAAAAATAAAGTCTTTACAATTGATAAATAAATACCTTCCTTTGCTTTAAACATTGTACTCTTTCTAATACTAAAAAAAAAATCAGACAACTAACCCATCAAATATGATAGAGTATATTTATTATCTTATATGTGAAAACCATATTATTTTTTTTTAATATTGTGGCTTTGTGAGGAAACGTAGCTGATATCTGAAATACCACATTTTAAAGGCATAAGTACCAAGTCCTAGTAGCCCTGGAGCCAAGGCCCAAAAATCGACCTGATCGTAGGTTTGATTGTAAATAACCAAAGTGTATGTTATTCTGAGTAAAAAGAACCTTGTCTGCCGTTTCAGAGCCGCTGCTTTCAAAAATGGCGGCTGATTTAATTGTGAGAAAAGTTTTTATTTTTTTTAACTTTTATATATGGATTTAAACATGTGAAAAAACAAAATTGCTAACGCGGGCCACCAAGGGATAACTTTTTTACAGCCAAAAAAGAGATTTTTTCGTTATTTTTTGTTGTTTTCACCTATAACTCCTACCTAGACACCGCACGATAACCGGAGCAATCTGGGATCAGACTACTAACACATGGAGAAGAGAGTCCAATACAAAATTGCTTACAGAAACTGGTCAAACAATATCCCATGATATGAAGGCACGGGTGTTAAGATGGGCGGGGTACGTAACTCGTACCAATCCATCTGGAAACCTCTACGTAACAACGAATTCCTCAATAGAAGGTGAAAGACTATGGAAGGCCAATGGAATACAGTGGAAGGCCAAAACGCAGATGGATAGATATAATCAATAAAGATCCAACAGAGCTGGGTGCAGAAAAATGGAAAGAAATAGCCCAAGGCAGGTAGAGATGGAGCAGGCTTGTTAAGGCGGCAAAAGATCAACATCGTCTGTAATGACAATAAAAAAAAATAGAAATACATATATATATATATATATATATATATATATATATATATAGGGAGCGGGGTAGCTCAGTGGATGAGCACTGACTTCCAGAGCTTAAGGTCCTAGGTTCGAATCCGGCTAATGAATAGTAATTTTTCATTAGCCCGTGGATCGATCCTCCTGGAGCACACCCAGCCTCTACATTGTGGGTACCATTAATTAAAAAAAAATTATTAAGGGGAAAACCTGGCGGTTGAGCGTGATATCGACCCCAGCACAACCATTGGCCTTGTAACAGTACTTCCTCTCACGTAGTACTCCATCCAAAGACCATTCATGGGTTGTAATGGCACAGGATTTATATATACACTAACGCAAAAAATTCCACCCACTTGATTTTTTCATGTTTTCGTCTAAAAATATTTCTACTTTGGATTGGTCTATTGTTTTTAATGCATAAATAGGTAATCTTTTTGTTTGTTTTCAATTAGAATTGTTAATATACAGGACAAAAACCCTTAATCCTTAATTCAATGACATGATTCTAGATTCCAATGTTTACTTTCTATGGAATCAAAATGTTTATTCAGTATCATTAGTTCAGTGCCGTTTCTTGCAGCACATTTCTTAGTCTCCGGCTTTTAATTTTTTCAATATTAAGTTTAAAAATACCTCTTGGTGCTGAGGATGTTGCGCGTGGTGTGGCACTTATTGATGATGGACGTTCCATTAGATATGCAGCTAATGCCATCGGGGTTCCAAATGAAACTTTACGAGACACCGTCAGGCGTTTTCTGGAAACTGGTTCTTACAATAGAAGGCCCGGTTCTGGACGGCCTAGGGTAACAGAACCACGGGATGACCGGTTTTTGACCTTGAGAATTTTACGAAACCGGCACTTTACCATTGTTCAAGCGATTCATCAGCTCGAAGAAGTTCGAGGTGTGCAAATTTCTGAACGTACCGCTCGGAGAAGATTAAATGAGTATGGATTAATGGCTTTTCGTCAAGTAAGAGGACCAGAATTGACCAGAAATCACAGAGTAACACGGCTGGGTTTTGCTCGAGAACACAGTCATTGGACTATGGACGAAGGGAGTGCTGTACTTTTTACAGATGAGTCAAGATTCGTTCTTCGATCTGCAGACGGGCGTGAAAGGGTGTGGAGAAGAAGAAACGAAAGATATGCAGCCTGTAAGATATGTTCCCAGATCCAATCTTTCCAACGTGGTTCCTTAATGGTGTGGGCTGGGATTTCAATGGAGCGCCACACAGAATTGGTTGTTGTTCGTGGAGGATCTTTGGCGGCCATTCGCTATGTAGATGAGATTCTGGAACCTCATGTGTTGCCTATTCTCAACGAAATCGGCGATCATTCTATTCTAATGCACGATAATGCACGCCCACATGTCGCCCGCATAGTGCAGACGTTCCTTCAACAGAACAATATTGAGGTTTTAGCCTGGCCAGCTCGTTCTCCAGATTTGAACCCCATTGAGCATTTATGGGATAACCTCAGAAGACGAATAAGAGCGCGTGCAACACTGCCTGATACACTGCAGGACCTTGGAAGGGCTGTTCGGGAGCAATGGGCTATCCTCCAGCAAAGGGACATTTCCCGACTGGTGGAAAGTATGCGTCTTCAAGAAGTAGTGAAGGCAAGAGGAGGAAACACGCGCTACTAAACGATGATGTAACTAATTTCTTTTTGAATAATAATGGTTCGTTTTTCAATTTTTTTTCTCTAATCTTTCTTACCCAATCACATTTTGATTATTAAAGATAAAAAAGATTATAAAATTCCATAAATACTAAGTATTGTCTACAAATACCATGTATTATATACAAATACAACTTTTTTTACAAGTGAGTGGAATTTTTTATCTGTTAGTGTATTTTGATAGATTTTACGATATGTCAAATTTCTATTTATATCTATTATTTCCTTATATAACTTCATATTCTTGTTCTCTGTTTTACATTTTATTCTATTACTATTTTTCATTTCTTATGTTATGTTATTTTGATTATGTTTATTTCATTAGTCCGTACTTTGTTGCCGTTATTATTATTTATTTCTAAGTTCTCTGTTATTTTTATTATTCTACCTACTTTATTTTACTTTAATGTTCACTCTATCTATTTCATTTTACTTTAATTTTTTTTTTTACCTACATTTTTTAGTCTATACCTTTCACCTTTTAATTTAAATACTTTTTTTATTCAATGTTCATAGTTTCTCATACTTATTGTTATCTGGTTCTTTTCTTGGCCCTGATGAAGGCATGAACTTTGGGACGAAAAGTCGCCAAATATAAAAATAAACATAATTATATAGTTCTACTAATTTTTGAAGAGAAGAATAGTTGGGGTGCTCAGTCAAAAAAAGGAAGGCAAAAAATAAATAAAAAATTTACTAATTTTTATTTTGACTGATCATCCCATTCTTCTCTTTAATATCTACCATCTCGTTGCAAGTTACTAATGTCTTGCTGTCATACTGTTCACACTTTGCTTTTATATATTTAATTTTTATATTGAATTTTTTGCCTGTCAGTGTATATATAGAGTTTAAATTTTGAATTATCTGAATTTCAATTCTCTTAGTAATAAATGTTTAGTAAGTATGACTGTTTAGTAAGTATATTTACCAAATTAATAATTTTTAACATTGAAATTGAACACTACTTTCGTGAAACACAGTTCGAGAACTTTAACCTGGTGGCACAGCGGATCTACGACAGGGGGAGGTGGCTTTCGGGCTGAAGCCCCTCCTAAGATGGTTAATATAACCATGTTTTACAGAAAAAAAAATATTAAAAACTATATCTTAAAATATTCTTGTTCATTTTATTAAATTTAATAGGACGTCGAGAACCACATAAACACCATTTCATATAGGTCGTCAATTTCTTTCTTTTAATTTTCTTTTTTCTAATTATTTATTGTTATATGTATATGAAAAAAAATCTTTCGGGCTGAAGCCCCCCTCCCAAAATTAAATCCTAGATCCGCTAGTGCCTGGTGGAAGCTAGTTTCTGACGAGTATTTAGGGATGCAAGAGGAAAAGCGGTTCCCTGCCACAGACCAAAGTGATGATTTGGTCGCATTTGTGTTCTTCAAAACCGGTTTACAAGAAGAACAATGGAGAGCCAACATAATTCCAGAATGGTGCGAGGGGAAAAAGTTGTCTTATAGCCGTTTCAATGATCCATAGTATCCCTTATATAGGAACTGTGAATAGAAACCATCCTATTAATATAATGATTTAGTTGTAAGGGTACCCTTTCTGTAACATTAGATATTCAGCCTTAATGACCATTTAGAATATAGTAGTGGGTATTCTGAAACATACGAAGAGTTGTTTGTTGTATGGCTTTTCTGAGAAACATAAATAGAAGTATCTTCCATGAAGTGGAGGACCAAACAACGGAAGAGAGAAACCAAAGAAAGTTAATGACAAGTCCAACAAAGTATTTATCACTCTTTATCAACGTTTGGTAGTGAAGGATCCTCTCCGGTTACTGGGTCTTGCAGTTCTATACAGAGAATGCTTTTAGACCAAGTAGGCAAGGTTTATGACTTTATAAAGAGCTTTGAAGAAGCATTAACCGATGCCTAATAAAAAAAAATAACCTAATACAATAATATTACAAAATAAATTTGTTAATTTTGTTTTATTATTTTTCAATAATGTACTTTAGTTATGTTCAGGATTTTTTTATTTTTATTTCACACAAAATTTGAAGTCTGAAGTTTCAAGATACGTTGAATCCAAAAATCCAATACCAAAAAAAAAAATTGTTCATCCACCGTCTGCGTTTTTTCTTTATGTCAAAATTCGACATTTCCATCAATTTTTTTTCTTATTTTGACAAGTTGAGATTTGATAAAAGTTTCACACTTTTAAAATTATATGAGCAAATTTAAATATAATATTCAATGCTTTATATCGGTATTTTCAATACTAATATTATCTTGCCGTGTAAAGAATGCTGTGTCTTATTATCAATAATTAACTATTATAAAAATTTTGATTCTGCGCCATTATTAGTTGTGGTTGATAAGTAAAAGACCGCAATAGAAGTAAAACATAACAGCTACACTATATTCTAATAGCTTATTTATTGAAATATATTACAATCTGTCTCAGGAACATTAATAATAGTGTTCACAGATCACATTCACACTCTATGTACAACACTATATTAATAAATATATTAATCGTTAAAAAAAAAAAAACCAATCTAGTTTAAGAAAATTGTAACAGCATGATGTACTGAATCTGTTTAAAGTTTAAGTGTATTATTAATTTAATCTTTCGTTAAATAAAAATAATTATGTGTATCGTTTTGATGTTGATGACACTTATCTTTTACAAAAATGATATGAATATATTTACTAACTTATATTACAACTAATTAGGTACTTAATATAATATATATAAAAAGAAATCGTATTGGGAAGAGAAAGGATAGGAGAAGGCGTCCACCCATCCAATAATTTAGGAAATTTAGAAGGTAATTCAAATTTCGACAATTGAAGTAAAACATTTTGAAACCAACAGCAAATTATTTTTAGGAAGGCTTTCGGGCTGAAGCCCCCTCCTCCCCTCCCCAAATGGTAAAATATAACCGTGTTTTATAGAATAAAATATTAAAAACTATCTCTTAAAGTATTATTATTCGTGTAATTACATTTAATAGGACTACAAGAATCACTTAAACACCATGTCATATAAATAGTTTGTTTTTTTTCAAATTGATTATGGTTATATATATATGAAAAAAAAGCTCTCGGGCTGAAGCCCCCTCCCCCCACCAAAAAAAAAAAAAATTAAATTCTGGATCCGCTAATGTATAGATGTAAAGTGTAATTGAATAGAAAAGAAAATTATTAAAGTCAAGTGTAAATATTCGCATTTCTGAACCAAATAAATGCATTGTATTTAAAAAAAAAAATGTTTCATGAAATTTTATTTCATTGGAGTTTAATCAAAAAGAAACAAAGTAAAAAATAAATAAATTATATTTATTTAAAAAAATAATAATGTTTCTGTGTCCAGAGATCGTATTTATGAATCAAAAGTAAAAATGAAAAATTGAAGTTTTTTTATGAAAAAGTATTCAACAAGAAATTGTGAAAAAAATTTAATTCAAACTTAAATTAGAAGTACAATTATAGTTGACAAAAAAATATTGCCTAGGTCTTATAAAACAGATTTCAGGTATTTTAAAAATAAATATTTTAGAGTTACTAAAAATCAATGAATTTTCATAGGACGAATTTATTAAAACGTAATTATAAAAATAATTAAATATATGTGCTTCATATTTTACTTAAAGTTTTCAATGAATACTTAGGAACGATAGTTGTTTATTGCTTTTAAATGATATTTAAATATAGTAATGTTTTAGGATTTTCGAGTTCATAATCTTTCATGTTTATAAGGTCTTTTAATAAATCATATTAAAAACTATTTAATTTGTTTCTGTAGGCGGTAATAAAGCATGTATGTACTTGAAATAACTTGGTTTTATCTTCTACGTTTTGAATACTTCTAGTATGTGAATTCAGACATTTCAAAAACTATGGGAAGCACAATTATCTAACTTAACTTACAGTGACATTATTACTGAACCAAACTGTTTTATTTCTCTTGATACCGACAGTAGATGGAAAATATTAAAAACAAGAAACAAATATACTAGAATAGTAAAATCTGTCTGTCCTATAGTTTGAGAAATGTTTAAACGCACCTTAAAATATACAGCTCATAATAAACATACATTTTTCAAAAAGATTTCAGTTAATCTACATAATATGTAATTATCATTATGAAATATTTATATTACATAACATTGAAAATGAAGATGAGTATTAAGGTACTTTAACCAAAACTAGAAAAGTAACACTTTTCTATTAACACTTTTCGGTCATACTCCATTAAGAATATTTTACACATTTAACATTGAGCAGGATAATAAAACATTACACTTGCTGTTATTTTATGCAGCAATTTTTTTTTTAATTTAACAAGTAAAATTAAGATAGAGAGTTCAATGGAATGTAGTCAAAACTTTCTGAACTTTTATTTCAATTAATTAATTTTTGATTTATGGTCACATTAACATAACCTTTTTTTAAAAATAAATATTAACCTAAAGACCAACAAAAAAAATTAATAACCTATCTTTACTTAGAGCCATTGCTACGAAACAATAAACAAATAATATGATCACTGCTCAGTGAATCGTGAACCGACCTTGGTGAGCCGCATTGCCTCTTTAACGGCAGTATAACTTCTTGAATATTAATAATATTTTCTTTTATAAATATATTAAAAATATTTTTCTATTTATAATTCGAAGATTACAATATTTTTAATTAGAAATAAACAGAGTTTACTTTCTCATTAGCATGTATAGTCAAAAAATATATCTGGTAGGCATTGGTTTGCAATCGACTAGTCATTCTTTAATGGTCGCTGAAAACGCCATTGGAGCAGTTATTTTAGGGGGATATAGTTGTTGAGGGCTTTCATATTCATTTATGTGTATACGTTAGCAGTTAAAGTTTATCTGTTGTTGCAGTTTATATTTACTCTCTATCTTGGAAAGAATTCTGTTTTAACTGGAGAGGTTTTGAAGAAACTCATCGATTTCGATTCACGCCCAGCATTAGTATTTTAACTATTGTTATAAACGTTAGGAGGTAAAAAGGCAGTTTTTTGTTGTTGTTTTTTATAACTCCGAAAACAATAAGCTTTCTATTTAGTATTTAATATCAAGTGAAGTTATTCCTAAAGATTCTACTCAGTTTCAATTCTCTAGGTCGTAATGGCAGAAGACTTCGTTGAGGCTATGCTAGAAGCACCGTACAAGAAAGGGGTATGTATTATTTATTAAATTTTCTTGTATTGCACATGTTTTAATGGTAGTAGTTATCATATTTACTTATGAAGGTGTGGTTTTGCAATATATGGTTAAATTTAGTCTGTATTGCACTCTTTACTACTACCACACCACTTTGACCAGTTTCTACTCATTAAGCCATTTATATAATTTTTTTTTAATGATTGACACAATACCCATTCTCTATCTTGTAGAATGTTAACATGTCTCTGCTTGAGCCAGTGTCTCTTGATGCTCCTGCTCTCTAATAAGGTAGTTGAAATTAATTGGTTTCAAATGTTATCAGTTACTTAGTCTTTCAAGTTAAAATTTAACCATTTATTAATTTTCTAAAATAAATTTTACCTCTTTTGCTTTAAACCATAATATGTATAATTGAAAATGGTTAAGTTTTTCTTATTAAAAAATAATGAAAATTTTAGTATAATTTGGTATTGGTATTCTAAAACAGGGAAATAATCACCAGGATAGAATGCACTGAAGCGCTTAATTTTTTTTTTTTTTTTTTTAATAGTGTTGCTGTTTAAATGTTTTATAATTGTACTCATATGAATTTCACAGTTGTTTTAATAAAATGAATGCACTTAATGTTCCATATATTCTAATTATTTTAACTCTAGTATTTCAACTATTTTAGTAAAAAATTTAAATTTTATTTCATTGGATTTTACTACTATCATGAATAGCATTAATATTTTATGGTCTTATGTCTTTGGTACTTAATTTTTTAATGTTTAAATAAAATTTATTGGCAATTCTAAGGTAATTACAACTTCTTTTTATTTTATTTTTGATGTTTTATGACTATTGTTCTACAGAGTCAATTGTTTTTTATTAATTGCTGTCTTTAAAATTTAATATCCGTATTGTCATATTAGCTATTTTAAAAATTTATTATGGTAATTAACTATGTCCTTAACATCTGTCAATATTACTAAATGAGTTTTGTACGTAATATTGTGGATATATTTTATGAAACCTCTTTTGCTTATTGAACATATATAAATAAAGAAACTAAATTTGTTTTGAACTGAATATTTTTTTTCATATAACCATAGAAGTCGTTATCTAATAATGTTTTACTTGTATTTTTCTACTTTATTGTTTTTCTAAAAGTATAAACCTATGATAATTTATTGTTTCATTAATTCTTGTTCTTTGTTAATTGTTGTTAAAATTATACACAAGGTAATAATGATTAAAAAATAAAAAGAAAATAGTAATGATAAATTATGGATAAACAATGGATGTTAAGTTATTATCGATATTATAAACTTATGGTTTTATTTTTTTTTAGCCTCGTATTGATATTTTATGTGAAGTTATGGTCATAATTAGTTTGCCTTTATCAAATTTATCAATGTTACAATTTTTAAGTTTACAGATTTTTTCATGCAACCCTTTTTTATGCAACCCCCCCTTAGTTTAAGATCATTTGTTTTTTCAATTATTAAGGAATGTTGATGTGCTTATCTTGTGGGTTATATAATTTTTATTCTTAGTTCTTTTTTTTCTGTGAAAATGTATTTACTAGACTAAAAAAAATTAAAATTTACAAAATCCAATATAAAATTTTATATAACTAGGAAATCTTGCAGTTTAAGATAAACTAATAATTATTCAATTTGTTTCCCTGGATTGAATGATGGTATGTTTTATAAGAAGTTAAACAAATTCAATTTTTTTTTTTTTTTTTTTTAATGCAGTTGTTCGTTTCTCGATTGGTTTTAAAATCACATAGAACATACCGTAGATGAATCCTACCTAACTGTGTCTATAGTAGATAATAACTATAAAAGCAGACAGAAATGACTGTTTTTTTTTACTCTCTCTGTTAACTTCTTGGTATTTCAAGTATCATGATGAACCGACTTATTGAAATGTTTCGTGAAACTTTCATTTCCTCTTAAGATATAAATACCAAAATAAACTTATATTATTGACTTAACTTCTTATAAGTCTGACTTTACTTCTTGTACAGCAACCCTGATGAAGGCCTGAACTTCGGGCCGAATCGTCGGCGAATGTGAAAATAAATAAAATTATTTATTTTTTACCATTTCAATTTGACTGAACACCCCAACTATCCTTCTCTTCAATTATTCACTACGGTCAACCACAAACCCACAAATTATAAACTTAATTTTGATTAAAACAAGGAATTAGATTAAAATAATTGTGATTAAGTACTGCTATAACCAAAATAATATTTTTATTTGAAATGCATTTCTCTGCATCCTACAATTATAAATAATATAATCATCATAAAAGAGAAGAAACTTATGTCTTTGTATAAAAATATGGTTGTCAATACTTGATTACTTTAGCCGTTTCTTGGGATTCCATCTATAGTGTGTTCGATGTGATCTTATAACCAACTTCCTCTTAGATATACGATTCCCAACTAGTACCAATAATTTTCTATTTCTTTATTTAATGTACCCTAACTTGTTTTTAAATTTCATCTTTAACATTGATTTTTTGTTGTCCTGACTAGGTATGTAATTAATTTTCTGTTTAATAATTAATATCAAAATTCTATATGAATTATTATCTTTTTAATATCACATTTTTTTACTGTAAACAACTACATTGATTTCCCATGGAACAAATATTTACTCTTTTTTTTTTTTTTTTCTTTTTACTTGATAATTTTTATTCCTTTGAATTCATAATATTCGTTTGATTATAAAGACTAAAATTATAAATTATTAATTAGGGTTGTAGAAAAAAATTAAAATTTAATTAGTAAATGATTTCTGATTTTTGACTAATCTCATCTCTCCCTCAACCAACACTATTTTTAAAATTCAGATTCAGTCATTATTATGTTGTTCACTTGGTATAAATTATTAACAAAAAAGATAGATATTCTATTATGGAATGGACGAGTTCCATGATTACTGAAATATATGTGTTTAGATTAACAAAAGTGTGCTTTACTCTGATATTTACTTGTTCTATTTCTTATCATAAGCAATATTAGAACTATTTAAGTTAGCGTGGAAGGTGATATCGATATACAATTATTTTTTATTATTAATGGATCCTTCAAACTATGGTGGACTACAACACTTCTTAAGTTCATCTTAATTTTGTTATTTTCTCATAATATTTTTACTCTACTTGATTTGATAATTATCGATTGTAAGCCACTACTATGAGACAAACATCTGTAGTTATGATGTATTACTCTTGTTTGACGACTTATTTCTTGATTAATTATAAATTTATTTCCAAACATTCATTATTCATTGTAAACATAAGTTTTATTCTAATGAAAATCGAGAATGACTTAATGTTTTTTTTTTTAATGTGATGGACTTTGTTTCGCTTCTTTTGGAAGAAAACTAACATTATTCATACTCTTGAGTAATCATAATCATGTTGATAATGATCAAAATATTGTGGAAAAAACATTAATTTTTAAAATGTGCAGGCTTTCTTCTAAAGTAGCGACTTATAAATACGTATATATAAGTATTTATATGTTTTTCAAATCAACACATATATATATACACTCATAAACATACCAACCTATTTTATTAAATAGCCAAGTTATTTTTTGAGTTGTACCTGTCTTCTTCTCTATTAGTGATATGCATTTTGTTAAAAAAATTTTACTTGATCTGTCATTGACGTCTTGTAGTGTAAAGATGTGGCTAGAAGTTTATCTATCGTTTGATTAGAACACGTATGTTTCATTATATTTTTTTTTCTTCTATTATTATTGTTAAGATTTCGGATCGTGTAAACTGAGAAGTGTTTTACCCACATTTTGATATTTTGCAGATACGAAGTAATTTCAGTATGATTGGGAAGGGACACGCTATGTGGCTTTGCCCCTATTGTTATTGATTCACAGAATTAGGTAGGTTGTTTTAGCCTCAATTTATTTAATCTTCCTTCTGTACTCACCACATTATTTACAGAAATGCATTTCCACTTCTCGTCATCTGAAGAATCTATGGTGTTGCGAGAACCTGCTACATATGTTCATGAGGCTTTTAAATTGTCATATTAAGGAATGAAGCTGTGGGTTCTTTTTTACTTCGCTACTCGCAAATCACTTTTCAATAAGAATATGTGATTTTAGTTTCAATTGTTTTAACCGTCACTCAGTGCCGGCCTTATACATTAGGCACCCCCGGACAATGACGTCATATCTCCCCCTTTCCCTAAAAAATTTAATTTATTTCTTAAGCTATTTAATATTATGTAATATTTGAATTTTATTTCATTCAATGTTTCTCTTAAACAGTTGCTGTATTAATTGGCAAAATTAATTATTTTAATACATTTTGTAGTTTTTTAAATTTGTAACAAGTAGGGAGCTCCTTTGAAGATCGGCACTGCTGATATCTATTGATTGTGTTATTTTTTGTATATGTTCTGGCGTGCTTCAATACTAAAAATAACTATCCTTTTACAATTATATGCTACATGCTAGAGTGAAGAGAACTTGTACATATAACTAATAAATTTGTTTGGCGTGGAAGGCATGAGAAAAAAGACCTCTTCAAAGTTTTATAATGGAAAACATAAAAGAATACTGGTCTTCTTCATGAGTAAAATAGAATTTTTTTGTTGTTCACCTTTTATTATTCATGTAAATTTCAAATAAATATTGTCAGTTTCATTTTTTATTGGTTAAAAAGAAAACATATCTATTTATTTTAAAATGATGTTTTAAGTACTTAACGATATTTATTAACAAGTATGTAACAAGGAAATCATATGTTTTTATTAAAAAGTGATTTGTGGCAGCAAAGTAAATTAGAACCAAAGTTGTATCTCTTATATTTTCTTTTTATACATTTATTTATATTTTATTCTAAGTCTTGGACTATTGAAAAGAGTTACTCAACATTTATCTTTTCAGGCAATAAACGTTTATAATTTTTTTTTCTGCATAAATGTAAATTATTCTAATTCCCCCTTTTTATTTTAATGTATAAGTCTAGCTTATTTCCATGTTGATTTAATTGCCCTATTTTGTATATCATGCGTGCATAGTAAAAGTGAAATTGTGGATGATTAAACTTAATTCAATGGCAGAAACTAGAGTTTTAAATTGGTGTAATCCAAGTAATTAGCTAAGAAGTGTTGATAATTAAGGATAATAAATATATGTAAAATTATTATTTTTTTGAATGTGAAGGTTATGTTCTATTTTAGTTACCATGGTAACCTTATAATTATCCTCCAGCTGTTGTCTTTTGCCTTGGTTGCTATTGGCAACTAGAATTGTATTTAATAATTTTAAACTTGTAAAAAGGTTATGAGGTTATTAATGCATGTATGAGATTAGAATCCAATAGAAAATTTTTTATTATTGTTTTTTCTTGAGTTTTTATTTCATACCGCGAATTCAGGGTCATGCTTTTCCTTTATTTATCATATGATTGTTTGATATAAATAGAACCTTAGGGTTTTGTTGGAAAACGAAAACTTTTGAAATATATAATTTTGCCTTTCATTAATTCATTATTTTTATTTTTACTTATTTTAACTATTCTATTTCTCAAAATTGTTTAATATAACAAAATGATACTGTACATATTAAGTTTATTTCATTATTTTTCAAACAAATGTTTTAAAATATCACGTATATAATCATAAGCATTGTGAAATTATTCCTATTTTAGCACCAATAAACAGCTTTGAATTGTTACCAATATTCTCCCTCTTCCACAATATTGGTAATAGGCATTACTTAAGAGATAATATAGCTGTAGTTATGTAACTATGGACAAACAGCGTTCCCTATGTAACTATGGACAAACAGCGTTCCCTGTTAGTAGTATGAATAAAAAAAAAAAAAACTAAGTCCTTCATGGTAACTAAAATAAGACTACAAAAACTAACAGTATGGGTTTGGGATATAAATATAGTTTTCCATTTTTTTAATGTTTAAATTAATCGGAATTATTATTTTAAAGGTTTGATTTTAGGCAGATGCTTTTCATTATATTTTTGTTTTAAAGCAAAATATTCATGGTATTGTGATTAGCGTAAGTATGTTGCCAAAATTACATTTTTGATAAGTTTTAAGTTGGGATGATAACCGAGAGAAGATTATATTAATAAAGTTGCGAGAAAATATGAATTAAAATATTTATAATTAAAATTTCTATGTAACAAGAAATTATTTCGGGTTATGCTTATTTTCAGTTTTACTTGTAATATTTTTATTCGATTAATTGAAAAAATTGGTTATAAAAAAGGTATGATATAGACGGATGGTTAATTTATATATTGGTTAATTATTTAAAAAATAAATAAATATTCTTCTATCGTGTTGGGAAGTTATTAAAATGAAGACTTCATAAAGCTGAATACCGATGAAAGCAGCGTTCTATTATAGTATATTGTTATTAAATAATTCTTGCCTTTATTCTTTGTTATTTCTTCTGGACTCTTTGGAATTCTAGTTTGCTTATTGAATTTCATTAATATCTTAAAACTTTCTTTTTTTCTGGTGGTTGTTGTTTATTAATTTTTCTCTCTCTTCAAGGATCCATCTTTGTTTTATTATCTTATATTAAAAAGAAAATAACGAATTTTTCAGATGAAAGAATTGCTTTCTTGCAGTCGTTGTGTTGGTGAAATCATGTTCAATAAATAAACTATATATTTTGTTGGAAACTATCATCTATTCATATTTCTCTCCTCTTTCTATGGAGGAGCGTTTAATAAAAAATAACGAACTTTATGTTCATCGACCACATATGAAATTGGATTATTTTGTAATTACACTTAATTTTATATCATTGAGAATCATCTGATTATAATGTACAGTTGGACCTCTGTATATTGAAATTCCATTTATTGAAAATATGTATTAAATTTTTCTTTTGGAAATTGAAAATTTTATTAGATAAAATATTCTATATATTGAATAAAATTTCTATAAACAGAATGGTAGGTTCTTCTAACTCTGTGTGTCCCAAGAAATTATTAAAGAATATTTGTTTTATTAATAATTGCAGATTAATGAAACTTTTTTTTTTAACTGAAAACTTCTTTAGGTGTGCTTTGCACTTTTTTTCTGGGTAGTGAATGAGACTGAGCCATCACTCTGATATGTAATGCTCACTCTGGTAAAGTCGGCTGGAGTCGACTAATTGAAGTGTTTTTGCATTTGGATTAAAATATCTTAAAAACTAAAAATCGGACTTCCATATGGAATGCGAGGTAAAATGTTCAGCATTTCATCCGCTTTGTAATAAGCAATTATTCAAAATTGTATCTTAACGTGATGCCGTGTTAGAGAGGCAAAAAGGGAAAAATATACTATCGAAAACCAAATGATAACGAGTTTCGTTGAACATATGGTTTAAAATAAAATTTGAACCTGCATACTGTAAGCGAGAGAAATATTCAGCATTTCATCCTTTTTGTGTAATGAGTTCTAATTCAAAATTGTATTGTGATGTGAGGCCGAGTTAGATAGTCGGAAATTGGAAAAAATAAATAATAATGCCTTTTTCTAGCATTTGGACTAAAATATTTCAAAATTTAAATACCATGGAGAATTCTGAAAACAATTTGCAGAAGGAAATATAGATTTTTTTTTTTAATTAGCTATAAAAAAAAAAAAAGAAATTAGGTATTTCTATTTAATTTTCTGTTGCATCTTGATAGTGTTTCGACGATGGTCATTAAAATAGTGATAGAAAGAAATTAGTTTATACACAATTATAATCGAATATGTAGTAAATTTTATTACTTTATGAACAACTCAACAACAACAACTCAAAAGAAATTGCTAAAAAAGAAAAGTTTCACTTATAATTAATAAAATAAATAATTTTTTTCCTGCATTTAAAGCAAACAACAATATATCGAGGTTCGGCTGTATTAACCTTTATAAAAGAAAATAAACTTTTGTTTCATTGTAATTTTTTTTTTAATTCATATGTGGATTAACACTTTCCAAATGATGATTTTTCCATTAGGTATGAATTGATTTTTTTTTTTAATTTTATTAATTTAACATTAAAAAAAAAGAAAAGAGTGTGTCCATATTGAGGTTTTACTGAATTGTTATTTATGTTTCCTAGATGAAAACCTTGTGCATTAGTCTATCCTGATTTCCTCTGAAGTTGATAGCTCATTTTTACTACAAATTATTTGAGAGCATTAAAACATAATTTATTTATTAAGGTAAGGTGGTGATTTATTTCCCTTTCTTAGAATTAAAATACACACATCCCAATTATAGACAAAACAGAAAAGAAAAGTCCATAAGAGACTTTTTTATTATTATTTTTTCTTATGTATGTATTGATTTAAAATACAATTGAGTTCCGTTTTATTATAAAACCACATAAAATCCGTTCTTTCGGCTTAGGAAACGATAAATGATGGGTTAAGCCATTTCAGTAAACTGAGAAGAGAGGACTTCGATCAGCATATTTACGAAGAACTGGTAAATTGTGGATAAGTGCTATTTGTAGATTAATTTAGTAAATCATATCTCAAAAGACTTAATTTTTTTTTTTTAAGTAAATTAACGTAACGATAAATTTTTTTTAACTGCAAATAAAGGCCATTTTAAAAAAAAAAAATAATAAATTAAAATAGATTTAACTTATTTAATTTTGGAAATAAATATATAATTTAAATATTTTAATTGGCCTATGGAAAGAAAATTAATGATCTGTTATTTTCTCAAAACAAAATGTTCATTGGCCTTCATCTTTGCAGAAATAAGGCTGTTGTTGACATAAATAATGGACTGGGTTCGAAGGATGCGCCATCAAAGGTAAGATAGAACCGGAAGTAAGCTAAAGATGGCGAATAGGAAACAAACATGACCTTTTCTCATCACTACTATTCCTTTTTTCTTTACTTATTACCTTGTCCCCTTATCCCCCTCAATATCTTTAACTGATACATTGTTATTAATATTAACTTTTCTGTGTTGTTTTCCTTTTTCTTTTTGCGGTGGCTGTGGATTACCTGGATTTTGCTGTTTAGGAGGAGTTGGTTGTCAGTTCGAAGCATAAGGAGAACGGAGTATCCAGCGGACATAAGTCGTCGAGGTGAGTATTACCTGTTTTTAATTATTTTAATTTTTCGTTTATTTAGTATTAGTTTTTAGTAAATAGTAAATGATTAGATGAGTCGTTTATTTCCAAAGTGAACCGTAATAGATTTTTATGGAAATTAAGATAGTAATCTATTCCCTTGTGAAATCGGCCAATGAATAAACGAAACTAAATATTAAAAAAAGTATTCTTGAAACCAGCCTCTTTTTTTTTTTTTTTTTTTTTTTTTTTTAATAAGGAATGTTAGTGCAAAAGGTCGTACATAAAAAATGAGTTTTTTTTTTTACAGAATTGGAGTGCTACCAATGGGTAGTTTCTCCTCATGTTGTACATGTCATATTACTTGTTGTATTTATTATTAATTACAGTTGTAAATTTCGTTAATAAAAAAAAAAAAAATTTTTTTTACAGAAAAGCATAAAAATTTATTATTGAAGGAAGTTAGTCGACTGTTCTACATATCATGGGCGATAAATATTCAGGACGCTGTGTTTTTAAAAAAAAAAAAATATTTTAATTTTTTATTTACGCCGTTTCAACCCAAACATGTGGAGATATAGTATAATATAATAATAGATATAATATTATGCAATAGATAATGGTAAATAATAAACTATAGTGATTGATGGTACATGAATCTTAACTAATATTGCAATACAAATATTAGAAATAATATATGTAAATATTTATACAAACTAAAAATTAAAAAACTAATGTATATAATCCATTTATACAAATCTGTAATATTTTCTCTTACTCGCCGTGGTTTGAGCAATATCTCTGATTGTATTTTAAAAAACTTTCATCCCTGAAGATGACCCAAATGTTTTTAATTTTTTTTTTAAAATGGCTGCGTCCTGAATATTTATCATCCATGATAAAAATGTATTATTTTTTTATGGTTCGTTAGTATAATTTCATATTTTATTTTCCTCTACTATTTTCCATCGTAGGAGACTACTTATTATTACGGTTGCAGACTACCAAATGTAACCTTTTGTACTGATAGAATAAATTTGGAATATTGTTACATACGACCTTTTCCACTAATTGTACCGTTATGAAACTTGCATTTCTTAAGTGCTTAAAAAAAATATTCATCAAAAGCCTTTTTAACCGTTTTATGAAAATGAAAATGAAAAATAAATTTATTTGAATGTACTTCCATTATTGTAAACCAAAAAGTTTATTTTTTATAACTTTTACCCTTCAGATCATTTTACTCCAAGACAAACCCCAATCAACCTTTTTTTTTTTTTTTTTTTCAAAAACGAACCTTGAAATTTGTTTCTTCTCAAAATATTTCATCGAAATCAGAGCATTATTAGTTAATAAGATATCAGCGTTTTTAAATATTTTTGGTTTATTTTCATTAATCAACCATTGTAATCGTCCATTTAATCCCTGTTGAAGTCTTCTCCTTAAAGCCATTTTAATTCATGTACATAACATACTTTCCTGAAAAAAAATTGGAAAAATATGTACGTTAGATTCAGAATTTTATTAGCAAATAACTAAAAAAATTAAAGAAATTGTACTGAACTGTTTTGTATTGTAAGTACATATAAAAGTGCAAACTAGAAACATGCAAATTTATATGTTTTCCTTTAATTATGGTCGAATGATTAAGCCAACTGGCCACTGAAAGGACAGCGGAGCTAAGCGTAGCAAGAGGTTGTCGGCAACCGATTGCGTAGCGGAGCTCAGCTCAGACAGCAATTTGCCTTGCATCGGTATCCTTCTCATATTCTGTATGACATTTTCAGAAAAAACTTTATGGTATATAATATATAACATTTTAAAAAATTAGCAAAGTTGATAATGTCCGAATTGATAAGAAAAATTGAATATTTTTCCTTATACATTCCATTAAGAATTCTTCCACATGCATTCCATATTTTATACTGAACCAAAATAAAATAATTTGAGAGGTTGTACAGTGAAAACAAGTGGATAATATTTTCAGGAAAAAATTTATAGTATATAATATAAAACATTTTAAAAAATTAGCAAAGTAGATCATGTCAGGGTTGAAAAGAAAAATTGATTATTTGTGTCTAAAATAGAATATTTTTCCTTAGGGATTCGATTAAGAATTCTTTCTCATGCATCGCATATTTTATAATGAAACAAAACAAAATAGTTTGAGATGTTGTACAGTGAAAACAAGCGGATAACATTTATAAAAAAGTATATATAGCATATATATAATATTTTTAAAAAATAGCAAAGATGATCATATCAGAGCTAAAAAGAAAAATCGAATATTTGTGTATAAAATAGAATATTTTCTCTTACACATTCAATTAAGAATTCTTCCACATCCATTGCATATTTTATACTGAACCAAAATAAAATAATTTGAGAGGTTGTGCAGTGAAAACTAGGATGACACTGTGGAACAAAGCTCCACGGTTGTGACAGAGTAGGTGTGGTGGGGGAAGCTAAGCCTAGCGGAGTCAGTTTCCAAAACCGAACCCGAGTCGACCCAAAGCTGAGCTGAGCTGACCCTTGCTGCGCCGCTCGACTCACTCAGCTTCTGGTGGCCGGGCCACCTATTGAGAGCATTTGATTTGGTTCGGTTGCGGAAGCTGACTCAGCTCTGCTCCGCTACGCTTTCGGTGGCCAGTCAGCTTAATTATTCACGAATTTCGGTGAACGCTAGTGTAGATTAACAAACATCCATAGAGCTCTATAAATAATTCTGAGAAAGTGCTATAATTTTGACAAGAGATAACATTTAAAAACCAATGTGACTGTAGCTTCATTGTCAGTAAGGGTAGCTTCATTTTTTATTATTTATTGGGATAATATAAATAAAATATGTTTGATTGTAAGAATGTAATAGCAATAATTAGCACAATTATTAATAAGATGTGTGTGTATTAATAATTTACAATTTTCATTATTTTAAATTACAAATTTTAATGGAGGCTTTGTGTCAAATGTTCACTTCACATAATTTAAAATTCGTAATTAGCATACAATGTAACCTTAAATCTGAGAGCTGATTACAATTATAACTTCTTTCACGAGGAAACTTCTTTTTATATAGTTGGTGGACCATTGCCGAGAGTCAAGTCTCTATTACTGCCTTTGTTACATTATATTTCAATTTTACCCAGAATGTCCATAATACAGTATTAATCTGACTTAAAAAAAATTATCTATCATATTCTAAAAAAACTCATATTACATTATAAGGAAGTTATGACAATACAATGATGACTACAGTTGTCAAACGATTCCCCTCTTAAAAAATCATATATTGGGTTGGCAAATAAGTCCTTTCAGTTTTTCAGGATGAAAAAACCCCCAATGTATTATAGACATAAATCATATTCAGAGGAGGTTTTCCTGATTGTTGACAATTTTAAGAATAACAAGGCTTCCTGTTCAGAAAACTAACATTATTTAACGTATATCACATGTTACAAATGAAATTTTCCTACTGAATAAATTTTTTTCCAAGTTTTAAAAGAAGTATTTAAATTTCACTGAATCATACCAATGCCATTGTTTAAAATACTATTTAATTGTACTTGTGTGAAAGAAGAACTGAAATATAAAAATATTTCATGGATATGTTTATAACCTTAAATATATTTACTGTAGTTTAATAATTCTAGATATGATATTATAGTTAAATAATTCGGTATCTATTGGCCATTTATTCCAAAACATCATCAAGTAACCTTTTAAAAAATTAAATTAGTAAATCATTTTCTAAATTTTCCCTTTGTGAAATCCCAACAATATCCATTTACAATTAGTGTGACAACTTTTGCCCTATCCATGGCAGGCAATGAAAATCTCGTAATTTCATTTTAGTAAACTTTATAATAAAAGATGACAGTTTAATAACTAATAGTCCTAAAATCTATATCTACTGCATACTGCATTCACCTACTCTGAAATCAACTTTACTCACTGTCTGTATAGATATTACTTTTTCAACTAGCAATATCACTAAAATGACATTACTTAAAAATGTTGAAATTAGAGTTAGTCATTCTGTCAATTGAAAGGCTCAGAGACTGAAGTTGTATAATTTATAAAAGTAACTAGATTTTTATTGCCTACCGTCGATATAATAAATATACTTTTTGTAATTTTAATGGTCTTAATGATTTGCTATCTAGAAGCTTTAAGCTTTTGTTTAAAATGCACTTCAAAAATTTTATAATAGCCCAATATTGCCAGGAAATAATTTCTATTCAAAGTAGAGGAGGGGTAAATGAAAGTTGTGTGTTGCTCTCACCAGATTTTTGTCATTAACTGATTAAAATTAGAAAGTAACTTATAATTTTTTTATTTTTTTACTATGACTATTTAATAACTCAGTATTTTGGTTTATGTATCTATGAGGATCCTTAGTCCACATTTCTGTCTTTATGTATTATTCTAAAGGAACTTTTGAATAATACAATTATAACATAATACGATTATGTATTAATAAAAAAATGTATTAATTTTTTTTTTACAGCAAGAGCAAACACCGGGATCGTGACCGAAGCAAATCGCGGGACAGAAGACATGGAAGTAGGGATAAAGATAAGGATAAGGATCGCAAGCGACGTAGCAAGAGCAGAGATAAGAGCCGGGATAGGGACCGAGATAAGAGGAGCAGGGAGAGGAGGAGCCGCAGCAGGGACAAGAAGAAGAGGAGCAAGAGCAGGGACCGCGAGAGGGACAGGCCGCGCAGGAAGAGGTCGCTCACTCCTCTTCTTTTACCCGGCAGGAAAGAACCCTACGTCAAGTACAAAAAGTCCCCTCCGGTTGGAGTGTAAGTACCAGTACATTTTAATATTTATTGAATTATATTTTTGTTTTCGTTTTCTTGAGCCACGTCCACATCTACCATGATGATCTGAACCTAAAAAAAAATTTTATTGGAGCAGCTGTTGGTTGCTTTAGATGGAGATCCATGCAATCTTGTGAAACTCAAAACACATTATCTGCTTCAAGAAGATCAAATCAAGTCAAATTTAAAGTTTTATTAATTTGGATCTCATTGACTTGAAATAAAATTTGATGTAACAGTGTGTTTTTGTAATCTTTATTTTAAGTAAAATATTAAATGTGTAGTTTAGATTGTTAGTATCGTTCAATTTAGTCATTTATGTTTCATCCATCGTAACATTATTTGATCCGGTATTCTTATTTTTCTCCATCTTTAAATTTAATATATCCTTTATTACATTTATGTAGTACTATCCATTGAGCGTCAATTTTGTTAGCAAAGGAACAAAACTTATTTTCTTATGTGTGCCCAATGGAACATCTAGAGCAAGACTTGACCTTACCATAAAAAAACAAATCTCGAACTGAATGATCGGTGAACTTTTATTCTCTTATGTTCGCTCTGTTCTGTCTGCCTGGTGTGGATGTGGCTTTATGGTAGCTGTTGATCAAAAATTAGAAATTACTCACCTCCTCCCCCTCCAAAAAAACAAATAAATGTTTTTAAGTTAAATCAAAAAAATTTTTTTTTGTATTTTTACAGGAAATCGGTGATCCTTTCAAACTATTTAAAATATCGAATTTTTTATTTAATAATTTTTCTTAACATGTTTTTGAATTATTCTAAAATCAAAGCCTTTAGTTAAATAGTAGTAAATTACTAAGCAATCAATTTTTGGCCAATTCAGGCATCATCTGAAGAGAAAATGATAAAATCTCATAAATGCAGATCGGAACGAGCCCGACTCACGTCAACAGTCTCAAAAAGGCTAAGGCTAATTGAGATAAAAGATCGCTCCGAGGCATATCAACTTATAAACAAACTTTAAGTAATTATTTGAAAATAGATTTTTGTTTAATTTTAGAAAATAACTGAATGATTTAATGAGGGGTCCATTTGGACCGCAGTTGGATCATGCTTAATATCAATTTTAAAATTACGTTAATCAATGATGTAGAGATGGTTGACCGTTGATATAATATGAGAAGGAGTTAGTCGAGGGTGCGGTCAAATAAATAAAAAAAATTAAAATATATAAATTATTTTAATTTTTGCCGACGTTTCGACCCACTTTGCAGGTCGTCTTCAGGGCTACAAAAGATACAAAACATGTTGAAAATAAAAAAATAAATATAAAAGTATATATAAAATACGAAGAAGTTGTCAGATACAGAAATAAAAGATGGTATCAGAGATATAGTGGGTGACAATGTAGTTAAATATTAAGAATTATATATGTAGAAGATACAAATAAATGGAAAATAAGTAGGAATAAAAATAAAGGAGAATATAGCAATGAATCTGTTTACTTTGAACTTACATGCTATATTCTCCTTTATTTTTATTTTTATTCCTACTTATTTTCCATTTATTTGTATCTTCTACATATATAATTCTTAATATTTAACTACATTGTCACCCACTATATCTCTGATACCATCTTTTATTTCTGTATCTGACAACTTCTTCGTATTTTATATATACTTATATTTATTTTTTTATTTTCAACATGTTTTGTATCTTTTGTAGCCCTGAAGACGACCTGCAAAGTGGGTCGAAACGTCGGCAAAAATTAAAAGAATTTATATATTTTAATTTTTTTATTTATTTGACCGCACCCTCGACTAACTCCTTCTCATAGGTTAATCAATATTGCTCTTTTATCTGATTTGATATTTTGACAGTGATGCATGAGTATTTTCAGTGAAAACTTTATTATTAGTATAGCTAAAAACTTCTACGGTTATGCCATAAATAACCTCAGTCTAAAAGAAGTAAAATTATTTTCTTGATTTCAGGCCTCCATTAGACGATTTATCTCCCGAGGAAAGAGATGCACGCACAGTTTTTTGTATGCAGTTGTCCCAAAGAGTCAGAGCTCGGGACCTTGAAGAGTTCTTTTCGTCTGTGGGAAAGGTAATATTCAATACCAGTTTTTGTTGTATGTTATCTATTCTTAGTTTTTATATTTTATTTTGTAATAGGTTCGCATTTTCGATGTGTCATCTTTTGTATGGGTGTCCTCCTCTTTTGATCTCATTAATTAGAGAATGGGATGGCTGAGCAAGTTGGGGTATGATTATAGGTCCCAGGGTGCCCGGTTCTGAACGTTGTGGGACCGATTTCCACCTCGATCCATTAACATTTATTCCTCAGAGGTCTCAGGATCACAACAAGTCTCACTTGCCAGCCTAGTTCCCCTCCCTCCATTACTAATAACAGTACTAGTTAATTTTGAAAATTAAATAAAGAAGAAATAACCCCGACCTCGCCCGAAAGATTAGTAGTGGCTTCCATATGTAACATGAGCTTAATATAATACGGACCCCGACAATATTATGTATATTGTAATGTCAACATTACATGGCATTTGGATAGTGGCGCAAAGGTGGTGATGGCGCGAACTACGGGAAGAAAGTGGGGGAAACAAGCTTCATGTAAGGCAGAAGGAGACAAGCTGCCAAGGGGGAAGGTGCCAGCCAGCAAGTGGAGAAATTAGGAAAAGGAGTCTTAGCCGGTTGAGGCCACTAGTGAAGATTATTTTATGTTGGAAGAAAGAATATAGCAGAAATTAATTAAGTGGTACAGAAACATTAAGTGGACAATCGTAAGTAAGAAGAGATTATTTCGCTGGCAGGCGTAAACATTTGGGTGAGTGCTAACAATGCCATTTATGTTGACAGAGGGATAGAACCAAAAGTTTAGACCAGGACAAATTATTTAATAAAATATTTTAAATTATAAATAAGTGTAGTAGTAATTAATGAATTAGTGTACATTGTCTTTATAAATAGGAATGAGTGTTCAGGTGTCAAAACCCAACCTAAAGATGTATATTATGTGTTAAAATAAATAATATATTCATGTTGTAACGTTTTCAAAAGGAACAAAAACAAACAAACGAGTTTCCTTTTTGAATATCTTATTTATTTTACACTTATAACATTAATCTCAGGTTGGGTTCTGACACCTGAACACTCATTCCTATTTATAAAGACAATGTACACTAATTCATTAATTACTACTACACTTATTTATAATTTAAAATATTTTATTAAATAATTTGTTCTGGTCTAAACTTTTGGTTCTATCCCTCTGTCAACATAAATGGCATTGTTAGCACTCACCCAAATGTTTACGCCTGCCAGCGAAATAATCTCTTCTTACTTACGATTGTCCACTTAATGTTTCTGTACCACTTAATTAATTTCTGCTATATTCTTTCTTCCAACATAAAATAATCTTCACTAGTGGCCTCAACCGGCTAAGACTCCTTTTCCTAATTTCTCCACTTGCTGGCTGGCACCTTCCCCCTTGGCAGCTTGTCTCCTTCTGCCTTACATGAAGCTTGTTTCCCCCACTTTCTTCCCGTAGTTCGCGCCATCACCACCTTCGCGCCACTATCCAAATGCCATGTAATGTTGACATTACAATATATAAATATACGGTTTTCATAAATTCTATCTGTGGTATTATTTAATATTTAATTGGGTAGATTACAACGATATAAATATTAAAATTTGTATATATGAGGGTAATTAAACAAATAAAAATACCCGCAATGAAATATAAATGAATATAGTGTCTATAATTTTACTTTCACTTCCCCTTTGTCTGAAAATACTTATTTTTGCTAAGGAGAGGGTGGTAAGTGAAAGTCGTGTAATTCGCACACCACATTTTTATACACTGACTGGCAAAAAATTCTACCCACTTGTAACCCATTAAGGAACCACGTTGGAAAGGTTGGCTCTGGGAAAAATTACAGGCTGCATATCTTTCGTTTCTTCTTCTCCACACCCTTTCACGCCCGTCTAGAGATCGAAGAGCGAATCTTGACCCATCTGTAAAAAGTACAGCACCCCATTCGTCCACAGTCAAATGGCTATGTTCTCGAGCAAAAGCCAGCTGTGTTACTCTATGAGTTCTGGTCAACTCTGGTCCTCTTACTGGGCGAAAAGCCATTAATCCATGTTCATTTAATCTTTTCCGAGCGGTACATTAAAAAATTTGCACACCTCGAACTTCTTCGGGGCGATGAATCGCTTGAACAGCGGTAAGGTGGTGACGGTTTCGTAAAATTCTAAAAGTCAAAAACCAGTCATCCCGTAGTTCTGTTACCGTAGGCCGTCCAGAACTGGACCTTCTATTGTAAGAATCAGTTTCCCGAAAACCCCTGACGGTGTCTCGTAAAGTTTCATATGGAACTCCGATGGCATTAGCTGCATATCTAATGGAACGTCCATCATCAATAAGTGCCACACCACGTGCAACATCCTCAGCACTAAGAGGCATTTTTAAACTTCATATTAAAAAAATTAAAAGCTGGGGACTAAGAAATGTACTGTAAGAAACAGCACTGAACTAATGATACTGAATAAACATTTTGATTCCATAGAAAGTAAACATTGGAATCTAGAATCATTTCATTGAATTAAGGATTAAGGGTTATTGTCCTCTATATTAACATTGCTAATTGAAAACAAACAAAAAGATTACCTTTTTATTCATTAAAAACAATAGACCAATCCAAAGCCGAAATATTTTTAGATGAAAACATGAAAAAATCAAGTGGGTGGAATTTTTTGCCTGTCAGTGTATATTACAATTGTGCAAATTTGGACTTTCATGAGTTAAGAAATAAGGCTGGTTGATTAAGAGTAATTGAAATTAAATATAGAGAGATTTGAGCATAATTATATCCTGATCTTCCACTCTTGTTGGTTCCTGAACGGTAATCACTCTATGTAGAATGGGGAAGAGAATTGCATTGCAAATAGACTGTAGTTTGGTTTTTTGATCTTCTTCGACTTATAAAATATCACAGTGTTGGATTCCCGGTGCCTGGGAACTTTTAACTAACATTGATCTTCTGCCCTCTATCCCCTCGTCCCGGAAAATCTCTTTATAGTTGTTATTGGCAAGGAAGTAGAGGAAAAAAGAAAGAGTGGATCGGTATTTTCATATATATTAAGAAGGCAAAGTTAAAACTATGTTACAACTTCATTTAAAACAATTAATTACTATTTTTTTCCTGCCCATCGAATCTGTTAAATTTTTTGGTTTATGTGTCAATTATTTATCTCATGAAATGTACTTTTTGTTTGTTTAGGATAATAATAATTTTTTATTTTATAGGTGAGGGATGTTCGATTGATTACCTGCAATAAAACAAGAAGGTTCAAAGGCATCGCTTACATAGAATTTAAGGATCCTGACTCAGTGCCGCTGGTAAACCATTTGTTTTATATAGAATAGAAAAATTATCTATCTGTATTCTGGGACAAAATCCCTTAAGAATAACAATATTGTTCATACAACCTTAAATCTATTACGATAAAGAACAATTAAAACATAAGTAATAAGATAAGCATGTACATAGCTACAAAGATATGCTATGTTTGAACGAATACTTATAATTGTATTTTAAACTATATGAGTCTTTCAGTTGACAGAATGACTTAACTCCAATTTCAATATTTTTTATTATTAATTTTAGTGATATTTCTTGTGGGAAAATTGATACCTATATTCATAGTTCTATTTCTATATAGTTACTTCCGTCACCTATTTCCCCTTAAAACCCGTAGGCTCTTAGTCACTTCTTTTTTCCCCTCTTTGACTATTACTGTACGGTATATGGGGGCGTCTCTGGGTATCTCGAGGCGAAACTAAAACATTTGATAAATTGCTTTATACCATTCATCTTTGGGATCCCAGAGAGAGCCTTCTAAATAAAAATTTGGACAAGAAATAGTCTTGGTGAACCTGTAGTGCATAATTTGGCTAAATTAATTCCAGAAGCTGTAATAATTCTACAATTTCAAGTGTAAATTGCACAAACTGGTAGTTTGATTTTTTTGAATAGAAAATTATAACTTTAATTTGAAAATTTCTAAAATCGGTCTTTAGAAACTGGTAGTTTGATTTTTTTGAATAGAAAATTATAACTTTAATTTGAAAATTTCTAAAATTGGTCTTTAAATACTATAATGCCCAACCTTATTATTCGTAATAAGTACTACGTCTAAGGAATTTAAAGAAAACTAAAATCCTTATTTGTTTTGGAATGTTCTGAGTTTGATTTGGAAAAATACCAATTTGGTTTAGAAAGTTCTAAATTTGATTTGGAACAATACCATTTTATTTTGGGAAATTCTAAATTAGGCTTAAAAATGCTATAAAATGTTTATAATTTTATTATATAATGTTTTACAGTTAGTTTTTATTATTTTTTTTTTTTAAGTTAATTTATTATATTTTTTTTTCAGGCTTTAGGACTGACAGGTCAGAAACTTTTAGGTGTACCAATAATTGTTCAGCAAACACAGGCTGAAAAAAATAGGACTGGTAATTCAATGCCAAATTTAATACCTCGAGGAATTCCGGGACCGATGAGGCTGTACATCGGTTCGTTACACTTCAACATTACCGAAGATATGCTACGAGGAATTTTCGAACCATTCGGAAAGATAGATAGTATTCAGCTTATGACAGATCCCGAAACTGGAAGGTCCAAAGGTTTCGGTTTTATAACTGTAAGTTGTTTTAAAATAAACATTACATTTTTTTTTTTTTTATAATTTCAAGCTACTTGTAATTATTATTTTTTTTATTTTTTATTTATTTTTTTATTTTTTTTTCAGTTCCACCATTCAGAAGACGCAAAACGTGCTCTCGAACAGCTGAACGGTTTTGAATTAGCGGGCAGACCAATGAAAGTAGGAACAGTTTCCGAACGAATGGATATGGGCCACTCGTTCACGCCTCACATAGACACTGACGAGCTGGACAGGTCAGGGATAGATCTCGGTGCTACCGGCAGATTGCAGCTCATGTTCAAATTAGCTGAAGGTTAGTATATTAGATATGACTTATTTGTATTGTTTTTTATCTACAATAACTTTTCAGAGTCCTTTCTCCAAAGTCCAAGAAACACGTAGATCAGTTTCATGATTATTTCTTGAACGGATGAATCAATTTTGAAAATCTTTTATTCGGAACCGTTTTAATTTTCATATACACCCAATAGAAAAATAGAAACAAGATTTCAATGGTTACAGTAAATAAATAAAACCACAGAAAGTCGTCAATAGATTAATTTATAATCTCATATTGAATATTTAATAGCCGACCGTTGCATTATAAAGGAAGGAGATGGTCCAGGGTGGCGGTCATAAATAGGCTAAATAGTGGCAAAACTATTTTATTAAAAGCCAACGTTTTGATCCGACTTGCAGGTCTTCTTAAGGGAGGTATGTTCAGCTAGGAGTTTCACTTCAAACTGAAGTTCTAAGTAGTAGAATTTCAGTTCTATATGAAACTCCTAGCTGAACAAACCTCCCTGAAGATCTGCAAAGTCGGATAAAAACGTTGGCTTTTAATAAAATAGTTTTGTCACTATTTAGCCTATTTATGACCGCCACCCTGGACCATCTCCTTCCTTCATTTATAATCTCATTTGAAATATGTACAAACTCAATAAAATTAAAAGATTCACCTTACTTGTTATTAACATTTAAATACTATTAATTTAGTTCAACACCTCGTAGGCAAGCCATTATTTTCTAGCTATCCTTTCAATCTGTTTGTAATGGAGTTGACCGATTCTTTGGTGATTCCAGGTTTAGCCTGTTCCGTTCTTCAAGGAGATATTTTTTAAAGTCTTATTTGCTAGAAATTTCGTGTTTTCTAATTTCTACCCCCAATTTTTTCCACAGCAGCAGTGGCAGAACGGCATTGGATATGTCTTATTGTTTTACAAGATTCAATTATACTTCTTCATTAGGAATTTAGGTCATTGACCGGAGTTGCATAGACTTTTTGACCAGTGGCTTGGTTGGCCTGCACGCTCTCCAGATCTGACCACTAGTTTTTTTTGTTTGGGCTGATATTAAACAAAAAGTCTATGCAAGTCCGGTCAATGACATTAATTAATTAACTATTGCTGTTAAAGAAAGATGCCAAGCCTGTCCTAATGCTCAAAGAAATCACTTTGAACAACATTTACTAAGAATTTAATGTTTACGTTAAATTAATAATGTATTAAAATGATTCCAGGTTTCGCCTGTTCTGTTCTTCGAGGAGATATTTTTTTAAGTCTTATTTGCTAGAAAAGTAGTTGTAATAAATACGTAACTTTTATTTACTTAATATATATACGTATACGTAAATAATTCATAACAACGGAAATCTTTAGGTGTGAATCTCCTAAACTGAGCGTTTGCGGACATACCTTCAGAGGAATGTTTTTCTTGTTTTGAGGTCCTTAGTTCATTTTTGCATTTGGCCACTTAACCCTGAAACACTGTTTATATTTAAAAAATCATTTTTGAAAAGTTATTGAAGTTATCGAACTGAGATCTGGTATTAGAGAAGTTTACCAATTAAAATAAAATAAATCTTCCTGTACGTTATTTTATTATTCTCTTCCACGACCCATTTCAGTCGTAAGACCTTCCAAAGGTTAATTAATACCAATTGTCATCCTCTCTTTCTTTCTTTTCAGTTGAGGACTGAGATTGTTATTTTCTGTGTCCTCAATTGACAAGCAAGAAAGGAAGACTTATCACAAATAAGCCTGTGGAAGGTGTAATGACAAAAACTCGATCTTAGAAGAAAATTATGTGATTTAAATTTCATATAAAATATGGATAAAAATGTCCACGTTGAACCATTATTGGCGGCCTGGCAGTGTATTAATTTTATCTATTGATTTATATTATTTTATTATACAATGATTTAAATGTTTTTTTTTTTTTTTTTTTATAAATTAATAGTGGTTAAAATTTGTCTGAGTTGGTAGTAAAGCTGTGTGATAGGACGGACACAGCAGATGTTTTAATTTATAAGAGAACGATAAAAAGTTACTCAATTAGTGTAATCTATTATAATTTTTTCAATAAAATTCTTATCACCCTTTATCCTTACTAAACTACAAATATAACTGACACTTGTCGACATGAAAATATAATCTGGAATCAGTGATTTCACATTTATTAGAATCAAACTCACTTTTCAATAACTGAAATAAATTAATCAGCGATATATATTAACTTTGATTAATTATTAATAACAATTTTATTAGTTTATAGTCTTGACCTTTCTTGATAAAAATAATAATTTTGGTTACAGGTACCGGTATGCAGATTCCTGCTGCAGCCGCTTCAGCCTTGAACGTTGCTGTTCCCGGGAGCATGACCTCTATGGCCTCCAATATCGCACCTCCTATAGCGACGCAGTGCTTCATGCTCTCCAACATGTTTGATCCTACGACGTAAGCAATATTTATTCTCTTAAAATGTTTTATAAAGATTTTTACAATCATCCAGTTACAATATTACAAAATCAAAATATAGTAATGGAATGCTAGAATAAAGTAAAATATAGTAAATGGAATGCTGTTACGTAACCAAAAGTCATACAAAGATCAATATAAAAATAGTAAATAATTAGATACAAAGGTCAATAAAATCCCCAAGTAGCTAGCAGCTACCCAATTATTAGTCTCATGAATGTAATGCTCCAGATATTTTTATTTTTATGTATAATACAAAAATTTAAATTATGACAAAGGAGCACACGAGGTTTTAGGTAAATATACCAAATATGTAGCAACATTACATTGACAAGCATTGTAACATACATTCATTTTAATGAAACTCTTTTCTAGGCATTAATTGCTTATTAAAGATGGGAATTTCTCGAAACGTCAACTTGGAATGAATTATAGCAAATAAACTATCTGTTATATACTTGGAAGTTTTTTTTTTTTATAATGTTATGTTTTTTTGGGTAGCTTTGATCAAGAAGAACTAAATTAACAATTTCTTGTATAGAGCTTAATCACCTGTATGGCACGATTAAACGTATCATTGCAAACTTTTATTAAATTAAAATTATTGTTTTGGAGATGAAAGGCACTAATTCATCGAAGTTATTTTATAATTTTAAAAGATGAATTGTGAGAACACACTACGACGTCGCAATGTGCGCTGGCAGGTCCTGACAAAGTGCCGTGTCTCCACTCTCGTAATGTAGCTTCATCCCTATCACTTTTCATTAACACTGATTATCTTTGAAAATATGCAGAAATAAAGAAAATTTTAAGGCTTCTGAGGATCTGCTCCAGCAAATAAAAATTACTTCTTAGTTCATTTTAACTCCTCATAGTTTATTTGAACTTTTTTTTTTTTTTAAACTATTGATTCATATCAATTATTATGATAAATATTTACATCTTTACTGTAACCAGTTCCTGGCCTAAAATCGGTACTGAAATATTTGTATAGATCATTAAAAGAAATAAACATCATATCATTGATATTAAATTAAATAACTGTTGGGTTGATGGTTGATTGTAGTGAATAATGAAGAGAAGGATGGTTAGGGGGATCAGTCAAAAATAAATAGTAATACTTATTTATTTTTTAAAAAATTAATGATTATAATAAAAGGCTTAGCGAACCCGAAGGTTCGATGCCGACACCACCAATCCCTTCACATTGGCTTTAGTGCAATCTTCCCACCTTCGCTTCGGTCTATCCCTCAGACGTTTACCATTCGGTACAGCAAATATTAACCTTTTAGGAATTCTCTCGTTACTAAACCCAACAATTTTACAAGCCCATATGATTCGCCGCGATGAAATTACCTCAATTATATTACCCTGATACAATTCACGCAATTCTGCGTTAAATAAATAAATATATAATTTTAATAAATAACTGTTGATTTTTTATTACAGTGAAACCAACCCTAACTGGGACAATGAAATACGTGATGACGTAATAGAGGAATGTAACAAACATGGCGGTGTCTTACATGTGTACGTGGACAAAGCGTCAGCTGGTAATGTTTACGTTAAATGCCCTACGATTACAACTGCCGTAGCTGCTGTCAATTCGCTCCATGGACGATGGTTCGCAGGTAAATCCTTTTTTTTTTTTAATCTTTAGTTTTGTTAATTTAACCTTTTTTTGAATATTGTTTAATTATTTTTTTTATTTTACAGGCCGAGTCATCACCGCAGCCTATGTACCACTGATAAATTACCACAGCCTTTTCCCAGACACGATGACAATAACAACATTATTATCAACGTCAAGGCGGCCTGTTTGAAATTACCTATTTTATTGTTTTGTAAATACGATGTATAAAATTTTGCATATATATATATATAAATATTATATATTGATTAGTACATATTGTGAGAAATATGTATGAAAAGAACCAGAGTAATAATAATAAGAGATCTTTTTAAATCAAATGAAATTGGAGTTTGTATTTTACAAAAAAATAAGATAAGAAAACGGCCCAAAAAAATGAAAAATAAAGAAGAAAAATCATGTATACTGTGTTAGGAATTTTTAATTTCTTATTCGCGCACTGATATGCAGTAGTAGTGTGTTAAAGCCAATTTGAATTTGAAGATGTTTTGTAAATTTTTTAATCAGCATTGTATATTTTTAATTGTTCTTTTTTTTTTTTTCCTCTGTAGTAGCTATTGCGTTTAGTTAATTATTAAAGTGAATTACTATTTTATAGTGAATTTATGGACTTGAATTTTGATTATACCTACAAAGACCTATTATTATTAGATTCATGTGTAAAGTATCATTTTTATGTGATTTTAAATTATAAATATACAAAAGTTATTTTTTTATTTGTATATTCTTGTTCAGATCTTTTATACTTGATTATATTAATTTTTTTTTTTTCATACATATATACAGTCTTGGGTCCTAGAAATTGCTCAATTTTCTTATGATAGTAATATTGAATTTATTTTTGTTTTTCTTTACTTACAACAAAAATTAAACAATGTTTTTCAGTTCAGTTTTAACTAATAACAGGATAAAAAAATTTCATAGGAAATAGTAACGAGGATATGGTACCACCAATCAATAGTAATCGTAGTTTGAAAAAAATCTTTATCAGGGCACATTATTACAAAAAATAAAAAAACTGGGAGGAGAAAACCAAACGAAAAATTTGATTGGTTAATGGTGCAGTTGTTTTTAGAATATTGTTTCAAAACTGGCAAAGAAATATCCAAAGATCTTGTAGATAGCAACATACAACAAACAGCAATTTGATTTTAAAAATGCTAAAATAATATATGAGAAAAATAGTAAGAAAAGATTAATTATTGAGTCTATATATATCACTAAAACTTTGAAGAGTTCCGTAAACAACCGTACATATGTGAACAATATAAATATCTTTAATGCAAATGACATAGATCATTGGATTAAATAATTATGTAAAATGAAATTAATTTTGTAAATAAAATGTAATCTAACAATGGCATTAAATTTTTCCAGACCATAGTGTTGGTCGAAATAAAGTATATAATTTATAATGATGTAGAGATGGTTGACCGTTGATATAATATGAAGAGTTAGTCGAGGGTGCGGTCAGATAAATAAAAAATTAAAATATATTAATTATTTTAATTTTTGCCGACGTTTCGGCTCACTTTGCAGGTCGTCTTCAGGGCGTAGGATGTGGCACTGCGGGAGGCAGTTGAAACACTGGCAGTGCCACATCCTACACCCTGAAGACGACATGCAAAGTGGGTCGAAACGTCGGCAAAAATTAACATAATATATTTTAATTTTTTATTTATCTGACCGCATCCTCGACTAACTCCATATCATAAATTTATAAAATGTTGGTGAAAAACAGCCTAATTTATAAAATAAAAAAAACTAGGAGGAGAAAACAAACAATATGACCTCTTAATGGTGCGATTGTTTTTAGAATATGGTTTCATAACTGGTAAAGAAATATCCTGAGATCTTGTAGATAGCAATTTGGTAAATAAAATAAAATTTTTACTAGGCGATGCAATTTCTATGACTAAGACTATATATAATATATATATATATATATATATATATATAGATAGATAGATAGAAGAATCAACTTTATTCTGGGACTACGTCCCTTGAGAATAATAATATTGTACATAAAATTAAACATTACATCTGGCCAAAATGTATATTACAATAAACAAAAACAAACAAACAAACAAAAAAAACAACTAAAAAATAAGGGATAAAAGAAGTGTTTACATAACTGTACAGATATCGGAAGCCATAATATGAGAAATAATGTCCTAATACTGCAAAATAGTTGCTATACACAATACGCTATGAAATTATAAATGAGCGACAGATAATAATAAAGATGTTATAGTAATAGTAGTATGTTCGTAGAACATAATAGTATAATCGAAATACAATAATAGTGTAATCGTACATACACAATATATACACCCAATAATACAATAATAGTGAGAATACAATAATAGTACAATAGTATATATACAATATACATATATTAATATATATATACATATACATACATACAATGCAACAATAGTATAATAATACAATATAGGCTACCCAGCGTCTGATTGAATTGTAAGGAGGAATTGGAAAAGGAGGGTTTTAAATGTGGATAAGGATGGTGCATGGCGGATTTTAAGTGGGATGGAATTCCAAAATGTTGTGGATCGGACAATAAAGGAGTGTTGAAATGAGGCCGATTTGTGGAAAGGGGTATAAAGGTCGGAAGGACGAGATCTTGTGGAGAGGGAGTGGATAGATGACTTGAATTGAAGGAGATTGAATGCGTAGGAAGGACGATGATTATAGATTATTTGGTAAAGGAATGTACCTAGGAAGTACTGTCTTCTGAAGGAGGGGAAGAGCCACCCTGACTCGGCGTAGTAGTGGGAAACATGAGAACGTCTCGGGGTCCCATTGACAAATCGTACTAAGCCATTCATTATTCTTTTCAGTCTGACTCCAAGTTCCGATGAGAGGCCACCGTACACTACACAGCCGTAGTCAATGTGGGGGAAGATGAGGGCGGATACTAGGAGTCTACGTGTGGATATGGGTAGGAGATGGCGGAAGCGATGGAAGAGTTTCAGGATGGAAATTGAACGTCGGGATATGAGGGAAATATGGTGATTCCAGGAGAGGGTTTGATCTATGATAACACCTAAGTTTTTAACTGAAGTGTTGAAGGTGATGGGTTGGTCATTCAGGTACAGGAGAGGAATGTTGGTATTTGATCTGAGAAGGGGTTTGGAACCGAGGACAATGGCTTGGGTTTTAGCAACGTTTAATCTTAATCCATTTTCACTTGCCCAGGCACAAATCCGATTTAGGTCTTCTTGTATTTTGGCAAACGCATCATGCCATTCAGAGGGAGCGAAGGAGAGGTAAATTTGGGAATCATCGGCATAAAGGTGATGTGAACAGTGAAGGATTGATTTATGAAGGTCGTTAATATATGAACTAAAAAGGAGAGGAGATATGCTGGAGCCCTGTGCCACTCCTGAGGACAGAGTTAGATAGGATGATAAAGGTTGGTTCGGGATAGAGACTGCTTGGGTACGTTGAGAGAGGAATGATTGAAACCAAAGGATAGAGCTGTTGGAAAAGGATAACGATTTCAATTTGGAGAAAAGGATGGAATGGTTAATGGTATCAAAGGCTTTGGAAAAGTCCAGGAGGATAAGGACCGTTAGTTTTTTATCATCTATGGCTGACTGAACATCACTAACGATTTTGATTAGGGCGGATTGTGTGGAGTAGCCTGGTCGAAAACCAGACTGGTAAGGGTCAAGTTGATTGGATTGTTCTAGGAAGTTGGAAATTTGGGATTGGACTATTCGTTCTAGAGGTTTTGCAAGGTTAGACAGAATTGAAATTGGACGGTAATCTTCAGGGGAAGAAGGGTTAGGATTTTTAAGTAAAGGACGGACAATGGCTTTTTTCCATGAGGAAGGGAATATTGCGTTCTGAAGGGAGAAATTGTAGATGAAAAGTAGAGCGGGAAGGATTTCAGGTAGGCATAATTTGATTAATTTGACGGGAATACCATCTGGACCAATGGAATTGGAATGAGATTTCATGACGGCGGATATGAGGTCTGTAGGAGAAATATCTGAAAAATAAAAGTTGTCGTCGTTAAATGATATTCCAGGAGTAAAGAAGGAAAAGGTTGATGGAGGAATGCAGGAGGAAGCTGATATAAAATATGAATTTAAATCATCAGGTTTGACTGGAAAGGCTGCTGAGGAAGGTGATCTGGAAGAGTCACAGAGGGAGAGTTTACGAAGGAGTTGCCATTTGGTTTTGGAATCAGGAGCTGCTGAAAGGGCTTCGTGGAAATAGGAGGATTTGGCTCTTCGGATATTGGTTTGTGTCAGGTTACGGAGCACCCTAAACGCTTGGTAGTCGTCAGCGAGTCTAGTGCGTCTAAAGCGTCTGCGGGCTGCATCGCGTCTCTTCTGAAGATCTTTAATTTGCTGACACATCCAGGGAGCAGGGGGGCGACGAAAGGTAGAGGTTTTGATGGGAGCATGGGAATCAAGGATATTACGGAGGTTGGAAGTTAAAATATCAACCATAGCGTCAATACATGAACAGGAATATATTCCATTCCAATCAAGGGTTTCCAGGTAGGGTAAGATTTTTTCACGAGTGAGGACATCAATATTACGGAAAGTTATGGTTCTAGGTAGGATCGGAGGAGTATGGATATTATATGAAATTTGAATTAGGTCATGAGAGGATAAAAAGGAGACCGGTACTTGTGAGGAGGAAAGGAGGTTCTGAGCGGAGTCGATAATGTAATGGTCCAACCAGGTATCGGACCTGGGGGTGTGATGAGTGGGCGAAAAAGGAACAATGAAAAGATGAAGAGAGAAAAAAAGGTTTTCGAGGTATGATTTATCGCTGGAATCGGAAAGGAAATTAGTGTTTAGGTCTCCGGAGATGATTATTTTGGTATAAAGAGGAACAAAGTTGAAGAGGGATGATTCAAATGATGGATCAAAGGGAACAAGAGGAGGTCTATACACTACGACATAAAGGATAGGAGATGTATCAAAGGAAATTTCAGCGATTAGGAACTCTACATGTGGGTGATCGGATGGTGGAGAGCAGTGGAGTATTCGGGTCTTCATGCATTCGTGAACATACAACGCTACACCTCCGCCAGTCCGGCTCGTCCGGTCGTGGCGGATTAGTGTGTAGTTAGGAAGGGAAACAGATGAGGAAGGGATGTAAGGCTTGAGCCAGGTTTCGGAAATTGCAATGATATGGTAACAATTATGGGTAAAGTATTCAAGGAATTCATCATAGTGGGCAGGGAGGGATTGGGAGTTGACGTGACAGGTATTAAGGATGCTAGACATGATTAGGCTTGAGGAAAATAAAGTCAGAATTTGGTGAGCAGACGCTGGATCGGATATGATACATTAGATGAAATAATGTAAAAATAAAAATATAAGAAAAAAAACCATTAAAAGAAAAAAAAATTTTGAATGCAATAATCAATAGAAATAAATTAATCAAAAATTTCCGGTAGTAACATAACATACATTTCAGATTTTCAGTGTAAGTCCTGTGAACTACGCCAAATTGTTTATCGATGTTGAGGAGTAAACAGGGATCGAAGAGTCAGCCGAAGACGTCTAGGTCTTGACTCTGGTCGATAAAGACAACCTGATGACCGTCATCCTTTCGACACCGCAGTCTGCCGCCGGAGAACCATATATATTTTATTTTCCCTGCTGATTTCTTCTGCCGAGCGAGCCAGTAGAGGTACCTGTTCGTCGGGGTCATTTCCTCGCTGAGATAAATA